AAAAAGAAATCGAGTTAGAAATTGTGGGAGATACGCAGAAATTGGATGAATTGGTAAGCATTTATTATTATTATTATTAACTCCTAGTATTTATAAACTAGTTTCAGTCTGATAATAATGTTTATTTGCCAGGAAGAGAAAACGTAAAAAAACATGTATGCAATTTTGAAGAAATTATTAATAATGAACCAAATTGCTTTCAAGTTTTCAAGGCAAGGAAAAAATAAGCTCTCTTTCAGTGAACTCACAATTAACAAGGCTACAGTATGTAAAGTTATGTGATTTCTTAAAAATTACGAACTTTGTAAGTTAATTTAATTGTAGGTACCACACGGAAACGTCACAAAAACGCCACAACTACTGAAATTTAAAAAATGGTAGGACCTCATTAAGCGCAGACAAAAGCAAGAATGAATTCTCATGGAAAAAAACATGAGGTATGATTTTTTTATTTTAATTAATTATATCGCTTTTCAATGAATTGGTTATAGAGCAAATAATTATTAAATAAATATTTCTGTGTAACGATTGAAATGTAGCAGAACATTGTTATTTCCATTGACAATGTATTTTTATTTCATAAGTTGGCAGTGTATTTTTATGTTTAAAAAAATTTATATTGTGTTTCACATCAGATGATTTTTTAAATTTATGCTCTGGTTGCCCATGAAGCTTATGTCAATAGTTTCAGTTTCACTGCTGACAAAGTATCATGGGTAACTACAGCAAAAATAAAAAAAAATCAACTGGTACAAATTCTCAACGAATTGGTTCTAGACAAATAATTTTTAAATGTAAAAATATTGCCGCAACGTTTCAAATACACTGTTATTTCCAGTGACAATGTATTTTTGTGTTTAATAAATTTTATATTGTATTCCATACAAGTTTTTTTTTTATATCCATACCCCCTTTCATATGAAGAACATTTATTAAATGTTCTGAACTAAATAAGTATTAAACATTGAAAATAAATATATATTCAATATTTAAAACCAATATTGATTTTCTAAAAAAAATCTGTCGTTACCCATATTATTTAAATGTCAGAACTTCAATATTTATTACATATAAAATGTTACTGGGGTATTTATTAATCACCTTGTCACCGAAACCCTCATATTTTAAATAGCTACCACAATTTTCTACACTGTAGCTTTCTGTCAGTACTTTGCTATTCGTCTCAAAACAGATTGGGTTTTATAACTACAAGGGATTACATTTTGCCCTTTTTCTCAAAATGTGTAGTCTTTTCACAACGAGAAAGGTAAAACATTTTTAAAATGGTGAATTTTTGTAGGAATGTATCGCTTTTGCAATTAAGCTCCGCCTCTCAGTCTGACAACGAATGAAAAATTCATCACAATTGAAAATTGAGATCGGGGCGGGTATGGGTGGGGCCTAATCTTTGGCCTTTGGCTTTATTTTTTTCTTAATATACATAGTACTCTTTGAACAACACGATACGCAAAACATGTTTTTAATTTCTCGTAGAGAAATAATGATTTTGCAGTTAAGTTCCGCCCCCCTGGCTAACGACGGATAAAAAAAAATATCAGAAATGAGACAGGGTGGGTGGGCGGGGCTACGTTTTGCCATTTCCTCTTAATATGTGTAGACTTCTTTCGACAACAAGAAACTAAAAAAACATATTTAAAATTATAAATTTTTGTAGTAGGGGAAAAGTGCCTAAAATGATCCCCTCAGGTCAAATGATCCCCATCAATTGTAAGAAAATTTGTGGTTCCATCTACCAAACATAACTGTCATTTGATTAAGCGCTCTGTAATTAGTACCTTCTGAAAGTTTGATGGCGTTCTGTGTATTCTGCACAGTTTTGTGCCAAAATATGTAAAATAAGCACCTCTGATCTAAGGTAAGATATATTTTAAAAGTCCATTACTTCCATTTGAAAGGTCTTATAGCGGTGGTAGTTGTTTTGACAGAATTAGATACATTTCAGTCGTAGGTTAGTTATGATCTTTTTACCGCATGTAAAAATTGAAGGTTAGTTTACAATTTTTGAATGCGGATATGCTACCTAAGGCGAAATGATCCCTTTTTCTTGAGGCAAAATGATCCCGGATCATTGGGCGGGGCTAGTACCTGCTAAGATAAGACTGATTTTTGCAAATCATATACCCTCTAAGAAAAGAGAGGGTGGGTGGGCGGGGCTAGTACCTGCTAAGATAAGACTGATTTTTGCAGATAACATATCCTGTAACCCCGCCCACCTACTCTTTATTTTCTTTGAGGGAATACCATTTGCCAATATCAGTTTTATCTTAGCAAGTACTAACCCCACCCACCCGCCCGTTATTTTCTTAGAATGTATGTTATTTGCCAATATCAGCCTTATCTTGCCAAGCACTAGCTCGGCCCATCCGCCCTTTATCTTGTTAGAGGGCTAGTACCTAATAAGATAAGACTGATTTTCGCAAATGACATATCCTTCAAGAAAAGAGAGGGTAGGTGGGCGGGGCTACTACCTGCTAAGATAAGACTGATTTTTGCAGATGACATATCCTCTAACCCCGCCCACCCACCCTTTAGTTTCTTCGAGGGAATACCATTTGCCAATACCAGTTTTATCTTAGCAGTTACTAGCCCCACCCACCTACTACCTGTAAAATAAAACTGATTTTCGCAAATGAAATACCCTCTAAGAGAGGAGAGGGAAGGTGGGTGGAGCTAGTACCTCTTAAGACGGGGAAATTTAAATAATTTAAAAGAATTTTAGAGATTTTCGTGTTCTATTTTTGGGAAATTCTCAGTCTTAAGAGGTACTAATCCCAGTCACCCGCCGTCACTTTTCTTAAAGGGTATCTCATTTGCCAAAATCAGTTTTATATTAGCAAGTATTAGCCCCACCCACCCACCCTCTCTTTTCTTAGAGGGTATATCATTTGCCAAATTCAGTTTTATCTTAGCAGTTAGTAGACCCGCCCACCCGCCCTCTCTTTTCTTAAGGGCTATATCATTTGCCAAATTCAGTCTTATCTTAGCACTTACTAACCTCACCCACCCACCCTCTTTTTTCTTAGAGGGTATATCATTTGCCAAATTCAGTCTTATCCTAGCAGTTACTAGCCCCACCCACCCACCCTCTCTTTTCTTAGAGGGTATATCATTTGCCAAATTCAGTTTTATCTTAGCAGGTAGTAGGCCCGCCCACCCGCCCTCTCTTTTCTTGGAGGGTATCCCATTTGGCAAAATTAGTCTTATCTTAGCACGTACTGATGATTAAAGTATTGTCTCAAACTCTTCCAGAAATTATACACCCCGTATTTTCGGTGCTTTTCAAACTTTTTTTGTTTATTTTTTTTTAAGAATTTATTTTTTTGTTAATTTTTGAAATAAAATATTTATCAGTTATGTCATAATTTGATTTTTCTTGTTGATGCTGCCCCCTTATGGTCAAAATTCAAAGGGATCATTATGCCCATGCCGAGGGATCATTTTACCTATGGGGATGCCTAAAATGATCCTTTTGTAAGGTCCTGGAAAAACGTTAATAACTTTTTTTATAATTATCGAATCACCAATTGGCTTATACTGTTACCTAGATAAATCAATGTTCTTACAAATAATGCTACAGTTTTACATGAATAATAATAATTTGTATTTTTTAAAGAATTTCTCCCTTAGGGGGATCATTTTAGGCACCTTTCCCCTAATCAATTTAAATCCGCTGCAACTAAAACGGGAACTACACCGAACTCTCGATTTAATTGGCACGTTTACAAAAAACTATTTAAAAATAATAATTTGCAATTCTGCGTTAATTTATTATTAGTAAATATTTCATATGACAGGCGAAAATTGTTGGCCACACTGATCAAACCTAACCTCAAAAAAAAATCCGTGCCAAACTCTAAAAGTTACAAATTCACCCCCCAACAACGTAAATCCAACAAGGCAAGAATTTCTAATCACAGCCCCTTTGTTCCAGAAACATAATCAAAATGGAGATGGACGCCCCCACCAAAATGCAATTTCTGCACTTCGACTGTGCCAAATCCTTCCCCGACCTGTACCTCTGCGACAAATGCATCTTCAAAACCGACCTCCTTATATCTCTGTGGAACCACATTAGATACATGCACTCGAAGCAACCCCTTCAACCCAACACCATCACGAAACGCCCATGCAAAAAGTGCCCCTACTCCACCCACTCGGCGCTCCACTTCCTCAACCACCGCCTCTTCCGGTGCCCCCGCAAGCGCAAAAAGTGGTTCTTGTGCGACCACTGCCCCTTCAAAACCCAGATCAAATTCTCCCACAACGCCCACATCAAACGGCACCTCTCAAAGTCCAAAAACCGCCTCCCTACGAATAACGAAAGCTACAACTGGTTCCAGTGCTCGCAGTGCAGCTACAAGTCGCTGTTCAAAGAAGCCGTCAAGCAGCACGCAGTCAACAAGCACACGGCCCCCGAAGACGTCAAGTGGTTTCATTGTGAGCAGTGCGCGTTCAAGTCCAAGAGCAAGTACTACTTGGCGACGCACGTGAATATGAACCACGCCAATCCGGAGAACCAGAAGTGGTACTTGTGTCCGCACTGCGAGTTTAAGAGTCTCGTGAAGTATTATTTGAAGACGCACATTTTGAATAAGCACGATAATTCGGAGAAGGCGTTCAAGTTTAAGTGCGATCGGTGCGAGTATAAGACGAAGCGGCGCACGCATTTGGAGAGCCACAAGTTGGCGCATCATACGGATGAGAAGGATATTAAGTGGTTTGAGTGTGAATTTTGTAGTTTTAAGACGAAGAGGAAAGAGTTGTTGGGGCGGCATGTGACGGTGAGGCATGTACCGGATGAGGAAATCGAGTGGTTTTATTGCTCGTATTGTGATTATAAGGCGAAAGTGAAGAAGAACTTGAGGATGCATCTGGATATGAGGCATGTGGATTTGGCTGTGTGAGGAAATAAATGAGGTTAGGGTGTGTCGTGGTATTGTTTAGGAGTGCTATAATGTATTAATTGCAACGAAGGTGATGTTTTATTAAGAAAACAAATACACAATTTCACGTTTTTGGTCCTTTCATATAAAAAATATAAATTTTGTAACATTAGGTACTTAACGATTATATATGGGTTTTTCGTATCGTAGTATTGCCTTCAAGTCATTATATACAGGTAAGTGATTGAGTAGAGTCTGAAACTGCATAGTATTTTTAATACCATAGTGTTTGATCAGGTTTTCGCGAGCGCACTCTCTGCTCAGTTCAAGCAATGAAGGCACATTTGGTATATTTTTTGTTAGTTCTAGAAATTTACAACATTTTACAAGTTTTGGGTGAGTAAAGAATTTGATCAAATTTTCAAAACACTCTAAAGTAAATGTCGCAGGCGACATTTTGTTAATAATTTTAAATTTCAACCTAAAATCATAAATCAAACGTGGTATTAGAAAGTCTCCTAGTTCGGTGATAATATTACATGGTTGTAGGCCGTAATATCTGTTATGACACGTACTATCATCGATCTGCATGTGTAACAGAATTTTAAATAATTCGCCAAACCCAAAACACCTGTAAATGGCATTCATGTCACACCTGGTAACTACACTACCATAACTTAACAAATAACAAATTATTTTAGTTAAAAAATTTTCCCCCATGATTTCAAACGGGATATAATTTTTGAAACAAGTTTCCATACTAGGGATGAAATCACGTAAGCTACTCTCAAACAAAACATAAATAAATCGCTCACTCTTCTCAACACTGCAGTTAGGAAATATATACATCAGAGGGGAACTTGTTGTAAACATATCCCACACAACATTTTCGTATTTATCTAGAAAAATTTTAAACGTTTCTGGCTCAATTAAATGTAAGTTAAAAACTAAGTAGTGTACATCACTGTAATCATACACAATTGAACACATATCTATCAATGGTTGAAAAAACGGCGACCCTTTTATCATTAGTACAGTCATAGCTTTCAAACTAACCTCGCACTCTTCATCAAACGTAGAATAATAAAGAACCTCCTGAACATCAGTCAGATCGTACTCCACACTAGCATCAAACGGGAAAGAATCGTCGCTGGTGAGCCTCGGATCAGCCCCAAAACACACCATAAGATGCACAAATTCTGAGTGACCTGTCACGCAAGCAGAATATAAAGGCGTCTTTCCGCGGCAGTCCTGTGCATTTATATCCGCCCCCTTCTCGATGAGCACTTGCGCCACATAAATATTGTCCGAAGCGAAGTGCAACGCACACGCACCAAGCTTGTTCCTCACGTTCAAATCAGCCCCTTTTTCGATTAAATTCAGAGCGTAGTGACTGTCGTTGTGTACAACTGCGAGCATCAAGGGCGTGAATCCCTCGAAATTACGAGCGTCGATCCTCACGTCACCGCGTGTCAAAAGATAGTCAAAGACTTCTTTCCTGCAAAGAAGCGTTTGAAACTAGCGGAGTTAAAAAAAAAACGTACTTTTGGTCCTGGACTGCCACGTGGAGTGGCGTGTTGCCGCGGTCGTCGATGATGTTGATGCTCTCTCCTGAGTTTATAAGGGATTCCAGGAGTGCTACGTTGTCTTCGATGACTGCGCGTTGCCGGAAAATGGGGCTGAGGGCATTCTACGAAATGAGGGGGTCAGTTTGTGGAAAAAAGGCGGTGGTAGTTACCCGTTGGAAGTTGTGAAGTCTCGGCTCCATCTTGACTCGACCACGAGGTTTGATTGTTTGGAAAAGAATAAACATACCACAGAAACATACCAGAGAACATAAACATACCCTTAACATAGAAACAGTGTTGCCAGGGTTAAATAATAAAACTCCGGTGCAGCAAAAAACCACGTGGGGAGGGGGGGTAGGGAAATTTCCAAAATAATTTTTTTTTCATCAATACAATATAAAGTGCCAAAATGCACAAAAAGCCTTCGCATTCAAGAAGACCAATTCCGCCACATTTTCATGTTTTTTGCCTCTACGGCGCACTGCTACGTCTGGCAACACTGCACAAAGTTTAAAAGTAGTGCCAACGTTGCAACGACATAACGACATTACTGGTTGCCTATAACAGTGTACTAAACTCTAAAGATAATGAGGCCCACTAATAACACTAGTTTCCAAATTTAAACTTTTTTTCATATCCAAAAATAAAAAAAATATTTTTTACTTCTAAATGACTTACTGATAACAAATCCAAAAACATATAATGGACAGTACTGTCGATAAAAGAAACGCTAGTGTTAATCATTTTTAATTTTCACTCATAACGTTTATAATATATACTGGGTGTGGCTTTTATTTGATACAACCCCTGTAACTTCTTTATTCTTAAAGATAAACCTGTATTTCTTTGAGCTAATTTGTAGCATTTTAAAAGATCTTTGTGAGGCCAACCTCACATTTTTATTATCACTTCCCGTAGAAAAATCAAAAGGAACCAATTATTCTAAAATCGATACTTGAAAAATTTTAAATAAAACATTGATGACAATCTAGTAGCTTGAAAAATTGACATTCATGTTATTTATTTACATAAATGGTCTTTTAAAATTATACAAATTTGCTCAAACAACTATATGTTCATATGTATTTAAAAATAAAAAAGTTATGGGTTGTATAAAAGAAAAGAAATACGGGGTATGTTTATATAAATATCTCAAAAACCTGACGTGATGGATTTTTCTGCTTTCAGATTTGAATTTCCCGAACCCAAATCCTTTAGATTCAACTATTCTTGTCTTTGGATATAAAACCTTGTAAACTAGTGTAATAATAAGCCATTTAATCACCTGTTCACCGAAACCCTCATATTTTAAATAGCTGCCATTTTGTCAGTACTTAAGCATTTCTCGACGTTTAAATCAACTAGATTTATTGCTATTCGTCTCAAAAACAGATTAGGTATTATAACTATAAAAAAACAAGTATCGATTTTGTAGTTAAGCTCCGCCCTTCGGTCTGACAACGAATGAAAAATTCATCACAATTGAGCTTGGGATGGATATGGGTGGGGCTTAATTTTTGGCTTGTTTTTTTCTTATTATACATAGTATAGTGAAAAGAAGTCTACACATATTAAAACAAAAAGGCAAAATGTAAGCCCCCCACCCGCCCTATCTCAATTGTGATGATTTTTTTTAATCCTAATACATAGTATGCTTTGAACAACACGATACTCAAAAACATATTTTTAATTTTTCGTGAAAAAATAAGGATTTTGCAATTAAGCTCCACCTTCTTGACTCACGACGAATAAAAAAAATCATCAGATTTGCGATAGGGCGGGTGGGTGGGGCTTATATTTTGCCTTTTTTTTTCTTAATATACATAGCCATCTTTTTACAACAAGAAACATAAAACAGTGTTCAAATGGCAAGGATTGCAAAATCGATATTTCCTTTTACAAATTTTTCATTTTAAACATGTCTTAAGTTTCATGTTGTGGATAAAAGTCTACACATATTGAAACAAAAAGGCAAAATATAAACCCCGCCCACCCGCCCTGTCGCAATTGTGATGATTTTTTTATTCGCCGTTAACCAAAAGGGCGGCGCTTAACTGCAAAATACTTATTTCTTTACAAAAAATTAAAAACTTGGTGTTTTATTGGGTTTAATTGGTTTTTGAATCGAAAGGGGTGCTGTCAATTTGAAGTTGACAGCAGGGATTGACACTTGAGCAAATTTTTGTGTCGGCAAATTTGAATTATTGGCAACAATGTTAACATGTCAGAACACGATTAACTTGCTGCCCTATAGCCCCTAGAAAACACATAATATCACAGTATACCATGGTATTCTGTGATAGTATCGTCACCGTGGAGCAAACCTGGCGGAAACTTAACAAAAACAAAAATTATAAACACCATTTGACAGACTGCGAAATTTAAAATGGTTTTATGTTGGATTTAAAGTTTGTAGTTTATATACAAAATATGGAGTTTTAATTTGAATAAAATATAAAATTTAATCAATACAGTCTTATTTAATAATTATTAGTTATATTAATTGACAATTAATTGACTTTAAACAAAAAGACCACGTCAAGGCCACGTGACAACAACTCTCTGCTGACACAAATTGGTTCCAAACCAGGGGAATTTTTTGCGTTACCAACTGCATTTGCTCCATTCGTACAATGGATGACGGTACCATGGTAGAAGGAGACATGGTATAGGCATCCGATGTACCAATTTAAAAATGGTCTGCGCATCCATTTGTGACGTTAGGTGGCATCAACGACCTTGTGACTCTTGTGAGTTTCGCTAGGGAAGTCTAGGGAATTTCAGCTTGAGTTGTCAGTGCTCTGTCCAATACGTCAATTAGTTATCGGATAACGAATTGTATTTTAAATTTCGCGCTAATTTCACCCCACTTGACGTCACACCCGATGCGTATGCCTATACCATGCCTCCTTCTACCATGGACGGTACTATGTATTTCTAGGGGCTATAATTTTGCCAATCAGGTTTGACATCATAAAATATTAAACATGCTGCCAGCCTGACAAAAAATCACGATCACAAGTGGTCTCTCGGTATTTTAAGTTGTTAAAGCAAATTTTTTGTGTTGGGAACTATGAATTATTGGCAGCAATGTTAACATGAGTTTACAGTTGTCAACTTTGACAGGAGCGCGCGTAACGGGTCAAAAGTGGGATTTATAAACTTGATGTTGACGTTGAAGTTCCAGTTGCAGTTGCTGTGTTGCCGTTCCCGCTCTCGTTGCTTTTACAAGAGGTGAAAATTGTCATTTATAAACTCCGTTACCAAGTTGTCGTTGATAGTAACTTTGATGTTCAACTTTTGCCGTATTTCAAGTGGTTGTGGAAGAAAAGCGGAGGATTTAAGTTGATTACTATAAAAATTTACCATTTTAGGCATGTTTTAGGTTTCTTGTTGTCGAAATAAGTCTACACATATTAAGAAAAGAAGGCAAAATAAAAGCCCCGCCCACCCACCCTATCTCAATTGTGATGATTCTTTTTTTATTCGTCGTGAGCCAAGAAGGCGGAGCCTAATTGCAAAATCCATATTTCCTTGTAAACATTTACCATTTTAAATGTGTTTCAAGTTTATGAGAAAAAAAAAATCATCACAAACGAGACGGGGTGGGTGGGCGGGGTTTATATGTTTCCTTTTTTTTAATACACATAGTATTCTTTGAACAACACAACACTCAAAAACATGTTGTTAATTTTTTGTAAAGAAATAAGTATTTTGCAGTTAAGCTCCGCCCCCTTGATTCACGGCGAATAAAAAAAATCATCACAATTGAGATAGGGCGGGTGGGCGGGCTTACTTTTTGACCTTTTGTTTTGTTTTGTGTAGACTACTTTTCACAACATGAAACTTAAAACATGTTTAAAGTGGAAAATTTTGTGTACCCTTTTAAGTTTCTTGTTGTATAAAAATGACTATGTATGATAAGAAAAAAATTGGTCTAAAGAGTTTAGTCAGTACTTCCCTCGCTGTCGGAAACGTGACGACTGCATGTCTGTTATGTTTTTTTTTCGCAGTAGATTTCATTTTTTTTTTTGAGTCACCCGTTATATGCAAATTCAAAAAATATGAATGGAATGATAAATCACAAGAAAAGACTCATCATATTTTGTACATTTTAGATAGGATTTATTCGGCAAAATTTTGTGGTGACGTCATAAATTTTTTAGGGGGGGATGAGCAAATACATTTTGATCAAAAACTTACCATGCTTATGATAACTTTAAAACACCTTCAAGATTTCAAAGCATTCGGTTTTGTAGTTCCTGAGTAAATCAGTAAAATAAATTTACCCATTCATTAATTTTTTTGAGTCACTCTGTATATACAAATCCAAAAAATATGAATGGAGTGATATATCACAAGCACAGACACATCATATTTTGTACATCTTACATAGGATTTATTTGGCAAACTTTTGAGCTGACGTCATCAATTTTTTGGAGGGGATAACCAAATATATTTTGAGTAAAGATTTATGATGCTCTTTATAGCCTTAAAACATCTGCAACATTTTAAAACATTCGGATTAGCAGATTCAAAATTAAATTGCAAAATGTTGTTTTATAAGTTTTGATTTTTTTTCCAAAAATCTGAACGTTTCGGGTAAAAACTCAATTCGGAGTCGTAAACTATATGTTTAGGACTATATTATTTTATACAATTTAAAACCCATTTACTATGTACAATTTTGAAGTGACGTCATCACATTTGTGGTGGGGATGATTAGACAAATTTTGGTTGGCGTTTTACCATCTACATGATATTCCTAATATAAGTACAAAATTTCACAACAATCGGTGCAGTACTTTCGGAGATTATGTCTAATAAAAATCCGGGACGGCAGACAGACGGACAGACGGACGGACGGACGGACAGACGGAAATGGGAGACCTATTTCTTCGTCTTCTAGGGGTCATGAAAGATCGAGAAAACGTAAAAGTAGAGAGTCGGCCGACGGACTCGATTACAATACTTCCTTTGCTTACACTCGGGAAGTAAAAAGCTAAAATATAAGCCCCGCCCACCCACCCTATTCCAATTCTGATAATTTTTTTTATTCGTCGTGAGCCAAGAAGGCGGAGCTTAACTACAAAATCCTTATTTCTTTACAAAAAAAGGCAAAATATTTTGGAAAATCACCCTTAGTGACACTGGAGTTCGCAAGCGCCAAATTTAAATAATCGATGCCAATAAAAACCTTATGAATTCATCATAATTGTAATTCGTGTGACCTGAATTAAAGTGAAGGAAACATTAATAAGCAGCTTGTAAAATTCTGGTAAATCTAGTGTCAATTTTATTCCTAGTCAGAAACACACACTGCTGCCAACATAAATCGGGGAGTCCTTTCAACATATTGTGCTTCAACGTCAACAGCAAGTTTATAAATCCCACTTAAAGGTAATTTTAAATTGAATGAAGCTGATTTCGTTAATATTTGCAGATGGTTTTCTTTATTCAGATAGAACAATTCCTTTCATACATTCTAAACATTTTTACATTGTATTCAAACATTGGGTATTTTTACCTCGCTTACGTGGTACCAACCCACTTTCGTTACAACCAAATTTAAAAAATCGCACTTGCACGTCATATTAAATACCATATATTTAAAACGCTTGCACAACATAAATAAATTAACGAAACTCAAAACAAATCCCAAACACCATTAAAAGCGCCAACTCCGCCCCCTTCAAATGTGGGTGCCTATTTAAACCTGTACAACTCCCTCTCATACGTAAGTATTTTTTTATACACTTCATTGATCGGCATCCGCTTAAGCAAACGATAGAAGTCTCTAGTCCTCTTAATCTCGAACGTATCGATAATATGTTTCCTACAAACCTCCCTCGACAACTCAATCAAACTAGGAACCGAAGGCAACTTGTCCAACTTGCGTCTGAACCCCGGCGTCGTCCCAAACCAATTCCTTACCTTCGGGGTGGCGAAAAACTTCAGTGCCTCCCTGTACGCCTTACACGGTCGCCCGACCATAACCATAAACGTATCAATAGTGAGATTTATATCGTGAATTAAGTACGGCATGACCGCTTTCGGACGCTCGAACGTGACAACAACGTCCAAATCTAACAAAAATCTGAGAATTTCGCAAAAACCGCAAGTCTGGTAAACCATGACAATGTGAACGAGTTCACAAGGTAACCCATGACTGAACAAAAAGTACACCATTTGTTTCAAGATCGGCATCGACAGGCGCTTTTCTTTGTAGAGATTCACGAGAAAGTTGACGATGTAGGTGAAGCTTGACGAGCCTTTGACGAAGTTAAAAGTAGGCCGGAACGCGAAGAGCATGGTCATGAATTCCATTAGTTTGACGACTCCGACGTCCACGTTTTCGCCCATTGTGAGTCTGTGGTGGAGATCTGGGGGGCTGAGGAGCATCTCTCGAACGACGTACCCAAACCTTGCCGTGAACATCCTGAAATATTCGGGTTTGATATAGATGGCGTTTCGACACAAATCCATTAAATCGTGTCTCGAGTACTTCACGTGGTTGATTTTGCGCAAAATTTGGGGGAATAGAGGGGAGCCGATTTTCATAGCGACTGCGACGGTGCTGAGATTGACGCTAGTTTTTTTACGTTCGAAAGTGTAGTTGAAGAGGACTTCGTGGCATTCTAGGTGTGACTGGGGGATGTCTTCACAGTTCATTGATTGTTGCATGGAGGCTGTGAGTGGTAGCACTCCGTACACGTCGGTTATGCTAGCCGCAGCCCCGTAATACAACAACATGTAGACACTATCCACTGTACCGTACTGACAAGCATGGTACAACGCAGTCTTTCCTAGTAAATTCTGGCAGTTTAAATCAGCCCCGTTGTCGAGCAAAACTTCAACTATTCTCGGGACGTATCGTGCTGCAGCTGCATGTAGTGGACTACAACACGACTCGTCAGCTAAATTAACATCAGCCCCTCTTTTAATCAATCGTTTGAGAACCTCCTCGTTGTCATTAACCACAGCTAAGTGCATACAAGTCTGTCCATAACGATTTAAAGCGTTAATATTTAAAGTCTCCATAGACATCAAGTAGTCGAACACGTCCATTCTACAAACAACAAAAGTGGGGTTAGAACCGAACAACTACTCCAGCGCCTACTTATTAAAAATAACAGAAAGATGAAGCGGACTATTCCCATGTCTGTCGGCCACTCGCAACTTCTTGTGCTCGTCAATGTGCCGCTTTAGCGAGATTAGGTCGCTATTTGCTACGATCGAAACCAATTCTGACCATGTCGACAAGTCGTTGTATTCGAAGAAAGGCATTAAGCTGACCTACAAGGGGCTCGTTAAGAGGGCGAAGCTCCAGTTGGGGACTTACCAGAGCGCAGTTGCATTTGTCGTGCCGTGTTATGGGTATAAATTTTCGGCAGATGTACAGTTCGTGAGACATTTTCTGGTATTTGAGATACAGGGTGACGGCTGTGCTTGAACATAAAGGACAAAAAAAGGGGGTTGGAGAGAGGTTTCACGCTACTGAAAACTGCAAACTTCAGTAATAATTCGCAAGTTTATATTGTTAAACTCGTGGAAGGTTAGGTGATTGAAATGTCAACTTGCAGTGGTGCCAATCGACAATATGCGTCAATGACCTTAGGCGTTTTTTAGTGGGTGGAAAATCAATTCAGACGTCGTCCAAATAATAACAAGTTGTATATTTATTAAATACATGTTTTACTAACCAGTTACAGCTTTACAGATTTAATTAATGTTGCTTCGTGGTACTTTTTAAGCGTAATATTGGCAGCACTGACCTACTGAGCACATCAGTACTTACTTAGTGCACTTAAGTCACCAAAACGAGCAACAATGACACCTCTTCGCCAACAACTTATTTTAAAACTAGAAAAGTTGGACAAAAACGATCTGATTGATCTGCTGTTATTACCGAAAAGTGGCCATAAATGTGAACATTTTCGCTCCCTCAAAAGTGAAATTGATGCTTTAAATAGCAATGCGGTAATAAGCGATAACACCTTATCAGCCGTGTTATCGCGAAATGCACAAAATCAAGATTGTGACAGATGCATTGAAGCAAAACGCATAAAATTAGAAGAAACCCTACATTTGCGAAATGATAAATATAACGTAAGTTTCATATTTGATTTGTTTATCAAGTGCGGTATTTGAAGGTCAAGGTTATTTTTGCATCGGTGCATTAATTGCAGTCGTGTTTTGCGCAGAAAACCGACTCTTTGGATACCATCGTGGGCGTGTACATGGCATATTCCATCTTCCATGGGTACTTGAACCTGGTGATTCCCAGAACGGGCACCACAGAGCCGCATCTACAAGAACTAATGCAAGACTATGAAGCCACGAACGGTGTTAAATTTGCGTGTTACAAGCTGTTTCTACTAATACCAAAGTCAACGTACTGCCCCACGACACTAGAAGAGGCGTCAAAGCGCATCACAAAGTGTGACGTAAGTGTTTAGTAGGTCCACCAACACTGCAATTAATTGTAACATGAATTTTTAAATCAGCCCCTGCCGGAGAAACTTATAACTCGAGCCGGAGTCCAAGACAGAAGTTACAAAAACTCGGTCTACAAAATTTTGAACTGGGAGACGGAAAAGTCGACGTACGTCGTAGCTGAGTATGCCACCCCCGTGAAAACCTACAAGGACGTACTGACTTATAATTACGGAGAGGACTCAGGTTTGGTCTGTCTTGGAAAATATACTTTCTGAAGTTAGTTTTTAGATGCTTATAAAAAAAACAAAGACAAAGTAGTGTTGAAGTTTAATCTGGCGCTACAAAAAATATTGCAGGAGCATGAGAACTGCACCAATTACTGCGAATTGGTGTATTATGATGGTAAGTCATGAAACTATCCACTGTTATAAGTTTTTTTAAAAAACATATACTGATGTAGACAAAAATGAAAATGGAAGTTTGAAAGATTTGGCTGACGTTTTAACCGAACGAATCGAAGCACTGAAAATTGGAGACACAGAAAATTACCCAGATTGACTTCCACCTTTGTGTTATTTTTGTTTTAATAAAATTCTATCACTGAGTTTTGTATTGTGGCGCCAAGTGCACCGGTCGCTTCAGCAATCTGCATTATCGACCCTGCTTGTTTACAATTTTGAACCCTACTCTATTGTCTTTTCATGCCCCCTCTTTTTGTGTACTCCAAGAACACAAACACCACTAATCTTTTCAACGCGGTTTTAATTATTTAATTTCGAGTTAACGACAAAACCATCAACACTGCCACCATAACCTCACTTATCATAACAAGGTGAGCAACTTTCAATCCAAAATTTCGTCGTTACAATTTTTTGCAGCATGGAGTTAGAAGACACCATGGCCTCTTTAAGACTGAACGACTCCCTAAAAAGCCCGGAGTCCGACAAAGCCCCCCCACAAGTCGAAAAATCCGACGAAGAGCCCCGTCGATCCACTCGCTTCAAATCCCGTAAAAACTACACAGAGAAGCGGCGAGTGTACACGAAACCGACTAAACTCAAAGACGACACGGTACATATCAAAACCTACTACCTCGATAAAAGTATTAAAAGACTGAGCCCCCCGTTAGAGACGATATATGAAGACAACAACGACGAGAAGTGCCTGCGGTCGTTTTTAAGAACACTTAGTAATAGTTGCAAGAATACGAAGAAAAGAAAAATGAAAGAGAAAGGTGTGTCGGCGCAGCAACGCAAAATGAACAAGGACAAGCTTTCAATGGCGTTTTTGTTGGAAAAGCTTGATAAAATCGACAAGTGATTTAGGTTATTTATTAGAATAAGTTTTCTACAAATATACGTTTTCTATGAAGTTAGGTTTTCACGAAACAACTTTCAGAGGTACTATCACAGCCTTCATATTCCTTCAAGTTTGCAGACAGTTCTGGGGTTTGTACACAAGCGCACCTGTAATCCTGGCCCGGTTGGTATAGTTGTCGCGGGACCCCAACCCAGTCCCGCGTGACGCCCCCGCTTTTATTGCTGCACCAAACGCGCGTCCCTGTGTCAGCCCCCCATTCCACGTTACACGGAGGGTACTTGATTTTGTCCAAATCTTGGTTGTTTTTAGCCAGTTCTGCCACCTCTATCAACTTTTTCACTTCTCGTCCATATCCAGTGAGTTCGCCGTTTTTGTCGTAATAACTCCCGATTAATTTACCCACTCTTTTGTATTCTTTACCATAAAACCCGACCCAGTGGTTGAGCGACCGCAGCTCTTCTTGAGACAAATCAGAAACTCGATCATCGACGTCGTTGTCACCGAATTTGCCTGTAATGAAGCTCCGAGAAGCGTCTTTACCTACGAAAAAATTGTAAGCTTTGCCCGGCCCGTAATGCTTGGAACCTTTCGAAACGTCGAAAATTTTACCCAAAACTGCCAAATACAGCTCGGGTTTGTCGTTCCCGTTGTAGAGTTGGAGTTCCTCGGGAGTGAACAGTCTGGAATTTTTGGGGTTAGGTTTTTGTGGCGCGAATTTAGCCAAAAAGGGTACAAATGAGGGGTAGTAGAAGGCAAGGAGGGCGAAAAAAATAGATACGAGGGCGATTTTGACAAACATTGGGGCTGTTTACGTAAACAAAAACAAAGATAGGTTATGTTTGGGTACAAATTGTCTACCAATTGACGTTTAGAGTGTCGCAGTGGAACTACTCCCAAAAACTTAGTTTGTCGACGCACCTAAAATGATGTCAAAATATAACTCATTTACATTGTATATTATTAAACAAAACAAAGAAGTACCATATATAAATTCAATTTTATGTAACGAATTTTAAATTCAATAGTAGTACAAACAACCCCGTGACATAACCTTAAAATATCTTTTCCCTGACACCGCTTGAAAATGGTCGAATTACAGCTTCGCTTTGCCCCCTTGAGCGGCCAATTTATTCAAAACGGTGTGCGCCTCTTCGTAGTAGGGACTACACTCCTTCCGAACGCGTTCCAGCCAGGCCTTCAGCACTGGTCGCCCTTCAGTGGGGTCATATCCAGCAGCCCCTAAAAAGACTCTCAAAGATTGAAATTATCACAATGGTGTTAATTACGCGGCTGCTCGATTTCACAAGCTGCGAAAATATCAGCTACTGAAATCCTGTTTCCGGTTATGTATGGACCATTAGCCAACCAAATTGTCTCAACGGTGTGCAAACAACTGTCCATGTTGTCTTCGTACTTTTGCAGTTGGTCGGGGTCCGTGGGTTTGCCAGTAAGAATGGGAATTAGCCACTAGAAACGAAATAAAGTCCCCAAAATTGGTTTTCGTTACACAACGTACTTTTTTTTGGAAGTACATGGCACAAAAGGCTCGAGTGTTGTGGTGCTGCCATTCCAAGTACTCGTCAACTTGGGCCTGCTCTTGTGGGTTTTTGGGGTACCAGTTGTTGTCTAGACTGTGTTTGGTGGAGACATAGCGAACAATGGCCACACTTTCTGCAAGTCTGAATTGACCGTCATGAATGAAAGGCACTCGTTGGAAGCGGTTAAAGTCCTTTTGAAATTCCTCTGTCAAATGTACACCTACAAAAACCTGTCGTATGCTTGTTTTTTCGCTTTTTTCATTGTTTGTTTACCTTTGCGCAAGGCCACTTGACACGCTTCGAACGGGATTTTGTTAATTTTCAGAAAAATGTACAAAGCCCTGGAGGGCTGGGACAAGAAATCAAAGTACAGCTTGAGAGTCATTGTAGCTTACACAATCTGATTCAAAGTCGTTTGAGGTAAACAAGTGGGGTTCAAAGGTCAATCTAAATTTATAAAAAAAGATAATCCACGTTAACAACTAGAAAAAATCTTGTCGAAGTCCAATATCACCGTCCTCGATTATTTATTTGTTGTGGAATTTACAATATTTACACTTTCTTGGTTGACAGATGTCTAACACCATAACCTAATTTTTAGAATCAAGTATTTAATCTTTTAATGGTTCTGGTAAATAGCGTTATCAAAAGATACAAAATTTGACCAATTACGAGTCCGGCGAGTTGTCGCTTCGATGAAAAAGCAAACAGAGTGTGATTATATTTTCTAGAACGCAAACAGGAGGGTTTCAAGTGGCTGTGATTTTTTGTGTTGTGATAAAAACTCGTAAGTAGATAAATAGTGATAAGATAAGGAATTTAATAAGATAAGGCACTCCAGGCATGAGTTGGGATTTTCAGCTACTAAGAATTTGCACCACCAAGCCAAAAACAAAAATTCGGAACTGTATCTGGAAATCTGCTGATAAGAGATGGCGCAGATAAAGGTGATAACACGAGTTGTATTTCTTCGAAATTAGGAAACTGGATGCTTTTTTGAAAATTGGAACTTAAGGCGCCAAATTTCAAATGTCAATTTTTATAACCTAAAATGGAAATCGAGTTTCATTATTTAACACCGCCTGATTGCAGACTGAAGACTCCCGCAAACTACAACGATTACGAGCGGTCGAAAATTTTTTGATTTGCGACAGGCATGAAATGGGCCGTATGGTTGGCAACATTGTGTGAAAATGACGTAAGCAGAACCTTCGCCCTCTGTTCATACAAGATTATCAGAGTATACAGTTGTGTACAGGCTTTAATATACCTCGCTCCATATGGTTACCACCTGGTGGATGTTGAACGTACTCGAAAAATGCATTTCTGCATCGTTTTTTGATTTGAGTTGGCGCTAAAATCAACTTTGGTTTGTTGCAGCCTTGGCGGTCAAGGTCTTCAACCGTCCTATTTTTTTCAAGTGTGTAAACTCATCAACTTTTTTTTAATCAGCCGAGATTATCGCCGACATGTAGGTTTTTAGCCGATTTTGATCATTAATCTGAAACTGGTCTTCATTGGAACTCTGGAAAATTGCAACACACAATTAACACAGTTTCTTGACAGACACCAATGTTATTTTGTTTGCTCAATTTACGTAATAATTATAACTGAAAGTTATTTAACAAAATTACTGTCGTGCATTAATCTGAATCTAAATAAAGTTTATAAATATTAATTTTATTTTAAATCGGTATTTATTGCTCGAACAACATTTAAGGTGTTTTATACCTGTTCCGCATTTCTGTAATTTTTGTTTATTAATTTGTTTACACAGTGTTTTGTATACAGTCTGTTCCGTTTTTTGTCCACGCATAGTAATAATAAATTATCTTTTACATACATATTTGTCTTTTTTACGTCGCTGCCTGGGTATTTTTTATGTTAACACTTTAAATTTTTCTAAAATATGGTTCGTATTTCATTCTTGACTAGAGTCAACTCCGACACAACTATTTTAATTTGTTGTTTGTTTTAGTACATACGTATAATTACATACCACGGTACTTATATGTAATTAATTTTTTCCACTATCGTTCCATGGTACTTCTAAGTGTTTTTTTTTACATATTGACTATTCGTAACTTTTATGGTGTCACTTATTAATAGTTCAAATTTGTTTTTTCTTTATCTGAAATTGTTCATGCGACCTCAACGAAGACGTGGAAATCCTTCTTTTGTGTAACTTTAGTCACGGATGTGCGTTCATCTTTTTTATTTTCTGCTTCTTGTTCAATCGTACCTATGTTTGAAGATCAAACAGAAACAGCAGATAAACGGTGATAAGATAAGATAATGTGCTGATAAAACTCCCTATGTGTTGAAATGTAGGCTTAGGAAAAATAAGAAAAAACTGTATCTGAAAATCTGGCACATGTATGTGATAAAAGCCGGATTTGTGACAAATTTAGGTACAAATTTTAAACGGACTGAGTTCTTAAATATATGAAAAAATTATTATTATTATTATTATTATTATTAATTATATGAGACATACTTACCTTTTGTCAGTATTTTCATGTAAGCATAATACCAACTGAATAAATCTTCTTCGGAGAAAGAACGCCAATTTGTTTTTCTTATCTTATCAGTACATTGAACGCGGAAAATCCCAATAGCTTCTCGCTTCTTTGCTTCTTGGTAAACAACAGTGGCGTGATTTTTCTGTAATAATGACGATGATGATGATGGTGATGTACAACTGAGAGCGTCATTTCGTGCATTACTTTTTCCAGTTGGTGTACAAATGTAATGACGTGTAGAAAAACGGTTTTTGTTTTTTGACCTTCGTTTAAATATTCCACTAAAAGCGTTTATCTTCCCGGTTATAATTCTTGTCCTCACCGTCGCACATACGCGTTATCTTTATGGCCGTCCCACTTTCCCACAATACCAACAAAGCTTTGACAACTTTTATTTCGAATCGAACAATACAAAATTCATTATAAATTAAAATGTATGTACAAAATGGCTTAAGTAGTAAAAACAGTAACAAAAACAATAAATAAACGCAGAAACTTTCGAAACCTATAAAAATATAATACTCTCAGTTAAAAGTGTGCTTCAGTTTTGTTTCAGACTGCTGACGTATCTCTCAAGTAAGGTTTTCAGTCCATTCGTGTTGTACACTTTCAAGAATGTCAGAAACGAAACGGGAAGATTATTGTTGCAAATCTGATACCCGGTTACGAACTTGTAGAAAAGAAAAAAGTCCCGAGGGATGAACTTCTCGACCAAGGTCATCTCGGATACGTATTCCTCGACGGTGAGGTTGTCCTTGCAGCTGAAGAAGGTGTTCTTCGGCAGCCCGATCACCTCTTTGTCTTCCAAGGGGGTTTTGTCGTAGGCGCCGTCTGAGGTTATGCTGTCGATGAACAGCTTCTTCTGCGTGTCGTCGAAGTACCGGATGAAGCTGTTGTTGCTCTTGTAGTAGAAAAGTTTGCCATGAGGAATTTGTTTCTCTAGTCCGGTGGACTTAGGTCGGGGCGACCTGACGGACTCGCTACTGCTGCTACTGATGCTAATGGTGTCGATATCGACTGATTGTCTTCTGTTATCACCTATTATATTACTGACGGTGTAGTCTTTGGACTTAGGTCTAGGAATTGGTTCTTCTAAGCTTTTGGTACTAACTATAACCCTATTTGGTTCGGTACGAATAGGAACAGGAATGTCTTCTTTTCGCGCTTTTGCGTCGGGAGGTTTCTGCTTTTCGGCTAAGAGATCGTCGATGCGGAACAAGTGTGGCAGCTTACCCTCACCACCTGCTCGACCTGGAACTAGAACCACCAAACTTGACATTTTTGTGAAGCAAGTTCAATAGAGCGAGCGAAGCCCGTGACACGATTTTGCGTGACGAGTTAAGTTTATAAACTTGCCGTTAACGTTGCTGTTCAAAAATAGATTAGGTATTATAACCACAAGGGCTTACATTTTGCCTTTTTTTCTTAATATGTATAGTCTTCTTTTCGCAACAAGAAAGGTAAAACATGTTTAAACTGATAAATTTTTGACATTTGATGAAGTGTACACAATTTAAAACAAAAGGTCAAAAAGTAAGCCCGCCCACCCGCCCTATCTCAATTGTGATGATTTTTTTTATTCGCCGTGAATCAAGGGGGCGGAGCTTAACTGCAAAATACAAATTTTTACAAGAAATTGAAAACATGTTTTTTAGTATCGTGTTGTTCAAAGAATACTATGTATATTAAGAAAAAAGGCAACATATAAACCCCACCCACCCACCCCGTCTCGATTGTGATGATTTTTTTATTCTTAGAAACTTAAAACACATTTAAAATGGTAAATTTTAACAAGGAAGTATGGATTAGAGTTAGGCTCCGCCTTCTTGGCTCACGACGAATAAAAAAAGAATCATCACAATTGAGATAGGGCGGGTGGGCGGGGCTTATATTTTGCTTGTTTTTAAATACACTTAATCGTCTTTTCAGAACAAGGAACTTAAAACATGTTTAATACGTTAAATTTTTGTACACAAATATGGATTTTGCATTTAAGCCCCGCCCCTCGATCTGACAAGGATTGAAAAATTTATCACAATTGAGAATTGAGATCTGGGCGGGTATGGGCGTGGCCTAATTTTTGACTTAACTTTTTTTTAATATACATAATATTCTTTGAACAACACGATACTTAAAAACATGTATTTAATTTCTCGTAGAGAAATAAGGAGTTAGCAGTTAAGCTCCGCCTTCTTGGCTCACGATGAATAAAAAAATTCATCAGAATTGGGATAGGGTGGGTGGGCGGGGTTTATATTTTCGCTTTGTTTCTTATGACACATAGCCATCTTTTCACAACAAGAAACTTAAAACATGGTTAAAATGGTACACAAAATTTTCCATTTTGAACATGTTTTAAGTTTCATGTTGTGAAAAGAAGTCTACACAAATTAAAAAAAATAGGAAACATAAACCCCGCCCACCCACCCCGTCTCAATTGTGATGATTTTTTATTCTTAGAAACTTAAAACACATTTAAAATGGTAAATTTTTACAAGGAAATATGGATTTTGCAGTTAGGCTCCGCCTTCTTGGCTCACGACGAATAAAAAAAGAATCATCACAATTGAGATAGGGCGGGTGGGCGGGGCTTATATTTTGCTTTTTTTTAATACACGCAGTCGTCTTTTCAGAACAAGGAATTTAAAACATGTTTATAACGTTAAATTTTTGTACACAAATATGGATTTTGCATTTAAGCCCCGCCCCTCGATTTGACAACGATTGAAAAATTTATCACAATTGAGAATTGTGATGGGAGGCGGGAATGGGTGGGGCCTAATTTTTGACATAACTTCTTTCTTAATATACATAATTTTCCTTGAACAATACGATACTTAAAACCATGTCTTTAATTTCTCGTAGGGAAATAAGGATTTTGCAGTTAAGCTCCGCCTTCTTGGCTCACGACGAATAAAAAAATCATCAGAATTGGAATAGGGTGGGTGGGCGGGGCTTATATTTTCGCTTTTTTTCTTATGATACATAGCCTTCTTTTCACAACAAGAAACTTAAAACATGGTTAAAATGGTACACAAAATTTTCCATTTTAAACATGTTTTAAGTTTCATGTTGTGAAAAGAAGGCTATGTATCATAAGAAACTTAAAACATGGTTAAAATGGTACACAAAATTTTCCATTTTAAACATGTTTTAAGTTTCATGTTGTGAAAAGAAGGCTACACAAATTTAAAAAAAAGGAAACATATAAACTCCGCCCACCCACCCCGTCTCGATTGTGATGATTTTTTATTCTTAGAAACTTAAAACACATTTAAAATGGTAAATTTTTACAAGGAAATATGGATTTTGCAATTAGGCGCCGCCTTCTTGGCTCACGTCGAATGAAAAAAGAATCATCACAATTGAGATAGGGTGGGTGGGCGGGGCTTTTATTTTGCCTTTTTTTCGTAATATGTGTAGACTTATTTTGACAACAAGAAACTGAAAACATGGTAAATTTTTGTAGTAATCAATTTAAATCCTCCACTTTTCTTGTACAACACTTTACCTAAATACGGCCAAAGTTGAACGTCAAAGTTACTAATCAACGGCAACGTCAACGGCAAGTTTATAAATCCCACTTTAAGGAAAGCGAGTGAAGCTCGCGACACGTCTAAACTAGAGGTTTTTATCGACGCGTGATTTTTCCATTTTACCTTCATAAAGTGTACTAAGAACATTGTGAATCTTATTATTACAAATTATTATAAATCACTTTTAGTTTGTTTGATTTTAGTTTTTTTTTTTCACGTATATGTATGTAATGTAAACATATTATTATCTAATAAAAAACACGTTTCTAGGATTTTCTTGGTGATTAAATATTTACACTAGATATCAAATGTACAAATCTACTTCCCATGTTTCATACTTTTAGAAGAGATTTAAAGAATATTTACAGGATTTTATAGTTCATGGAACGTCGAGAAAACATAAAAGTAGCGGGTCGTCCAATGGACTCGATTACTTAGTTTACGCTCACGAAGTAACACGCAACGTCAAATGTGTAGATCCACTTCTTTTAGTATGAATATTATATCAAGAAATTACATCACTTACAGTTGGCAAAACAAAAAATTATGTCATAGTTGGTACCAACATAACCGGCGCCACAAAAGTCACTAAACTCAAGTGGACCCACCCATTTGTCACTTTCCGTACCTTTCGTGATCACCGGCGTGCTGGCCTTGACCACCCCATTCTGCCTGGCCTCCCCCTCGAACTTCAGCACCCCATTCACCATCTTCCCCCTCAGATAACTTGGCACTTGCGAAGAATCCCTCTCACTGACAGTAATAATAACTTCTTGCGTCACTGGGTCACTCGAGTACGTCTTGCCGCACTCGCAGTGGCAGCGGTGCTTGCCGCCGCCCTTGCCGTCCACCGTTAGGTCGATCGCCGCCACCACTTTATCCTCGTGCCGCCGCCTCTTGTGCTCCTGCAGCTCGTACTCCTGTCGCGAGAACGGGAAGTGCATCCCCGGGTAGGCGGCCTTCTGGATGGGGATGGGGCGGATGGGCGTGCGGGGGACGGGCCGCGGCGGCGATCGCGCTATGGGGTAGGGCGGCGGCGGTGGCAAGGCGGGGCGGAACGGCAGCGGGTGGGGGTAGGCGGGCGGGGCCGGGTAAGGGCGGTAGTCGGCCAGGAGCGGCCGGGGGGCGGGCGGTGTCTTAGGGAGGGGCTCGTCTTGCTTGCGGGGGCGGCGCTCGGGGACCATCTGGGGCAGTGCGTGTCCGAAGTGGGGCGGTTGCGGGCTTTCGAGTATTGTCTTGGCTGTGTAGGCGGCGCGAATGACTGGCTCGTGTGTGCTGGGGGCGGACTGGGGGACGCTGCGGTCGTCTTTGTGGGGCTCGGGGGGCGGCGGCTTGTCGACGAGGCGGCTGAGAGGCTCCTTGCTTTTGCAGAGGGTGTGCGAGGGAGCTGCAAGAGGAGAGACGTTATCGGGAGATAAGCGGGATTACGTAAGTGAAAATTTATGCGAAGTTGGCGGTGATAAGGGTGTCGTGACCTGAGATTGTGGCGGCGAGGCTGGAGGGAAAAAAGTACACACTTTTCGGGCTAAAAATATACAAAATACTACAGTTTTCACCAAAACATTTGATTAAATGGTATTTGCCTTGATAATTGACACACTGGTGTAAGTAAAAGCTGAATTTGATGAGAAGTTGAGTCAACTGGGTTTTGACTCATTTTAATTTTAACACCCAGCAATAAAATCTTTGTAATAATTAAACGTAATTTTCTACACAACATACTTTTGTAAGGAACATTAAAAAAAGCATGCAACAATTTTCACAACTTGATTCTTGAATGTTAATTATGCCGTGGCACGTGTCACATGTGATAGTAGGTCATGGTGTAAACAAGTTTATGATTTAATGTTTGAAAGAACCCATTGTTTTTGCACAAATATAATAATTTAACGGTACACAATTAAAAAATCACGTGACTCAGCACTATTTAAAGCCAGCAATTTGCACTTGCACTTGAAACTTTAAAAATTCAGTGTCAAGCTTTTGTGTCCTTTCACTAGAACAATTTGAAATTTGACATTTCCCGCCAGATATAGTATATTCACTATTTCTAAAAGGCGGCACAAGCTTGCGAAGATACAAAAACATTGATTTCTAGCCTATCACATACTACGATATGAAATTTATTTTAAACAGTTATAGACTACGGCATGTGACTCAGGTAGGTACAAATTCACACGAAACATGTAATTGCTATTACTGTGTTTGCCGCTCAAGGCTGATTGACGTTTCATGCTTGTTTTTTATGACGCCAGATTCAACTTTTCACTAAAATAAACAAATTTTATTAGTTAGCGCAAGATGTTAAATTACGTCATCAATTTTTAGAAGATACTGTACACTGAAAAATGTACCGTCATTCTGAGTTTGACGTATTGACAGTCCTTTATTTGCCGAGCTATTAAGTTAAAGCGAAGAGAATTAAATTAGCAGCAGTTTATAATAATGGGGTTCCATTAAAGATAAATTAGTACTAAATTCACGCCTTCGAAGAAGGTTAAATAACACACAAATATGTTGCATATTTTAATGCTATTTTGTTTGATACTGGCAATATTAGGGTGTCTTTAGGTGCTATAACTATAAACATAGTTAATGAACCACAAGTGATTTGAAAAATCCAGTGAGTCGTCAGAAACCACGATGACTTACTGTTATAAGATATATTGTTTGTATAAGATAGTCCCAACTGAATCATGCATTTCTTGTGCGTTGTGCAACATAAACACCACATTCTTTTCCAACCACTATATTTATTTACAATTTTTGTTCTTTGATATATTGGTGTGGTGTTCCAGGGAAATTTCCGATGAGAATAATTGCGTAATGTCTACAACAATCACTCACAAACGTGGCTTTTTAAAACTTTAAAAAAATTATAATATAATTTGTAAATATATATCGCGCCATCTACGTCCGACGAGAGGAAGCAGAATGCGAAATGTCGTACGCGTACAATTGCGAAATAAAACACTCATTAATAATTAATCAAAATGGCTGTTTAAACCTACAATTGTCTCTTTTATGTTGCGTTTAGTTTAGCTCAAAATCTAAACAGAGTAAGAATAGTAAACAACAATTTAGGGGCTGAATGCAGTAAATCATTTCGCTAATAACTTTTTTATTATTAATCCTACGTTAAAAAGTTGTAAGTCAAAGTTGTACTTGCTAAGATAAGACTGATTTTGTCACATGAGCTACCTTCTAAGAAAATACAGGGCGGGTGGGCGGGGCTAGTACTTGCTAAGATAAGACTGATTTTGGCAAATGAGATACCCGTTAAGACAATAGACGGTGGGCGGGGCTAGTGCTTGATAAGATAAGATTGATTTTGACAAATGACATCCTCCAAGAAAATATAATGTGGGTGGGCGGGGCCAAGAAAAAAACTGATTTTGGCAAATAACATACCCTCTAAGAAAATAGAGGGTGGGTGGGCGGGGCTAGCATTTATAGTGATGACTGATTTTGACATTTTTGATATTTTAGACCATTTTTCAGCCATTTTCGAAAATTCCTCAAAGACATTTGAAATTCATTTTTAATCCGAATTTTCCGGAGATTTCTAATCAGCAACTAGTAGTAAGAAAACACTATCTGCAAATTTTCTCTTAAATTTACGGTTACGAAAATAAACCAAATGTAAATTCCGACCCACTTTTTGACTTTTTTTGAAAACTAGAAACCTTTTTCCAGAATCTCTTATTGATATTTCGCAGTTTTTAGAATTTTTAAAAATTCGATTTTCAAACCGCATTTCAAAATGCATTATAATTTTGGAATCAGCAAGTCGAAATCTATATGCCAGAATTTTTTGAGCATTTTTAGACGACTTTTTCAAATTTAAAATTTTCCAGTAACTACCTACAAATTTCGACTCATTTTTGACCATTTTCGAAACTTGGTTGTATATTTCGGGCTCCTGAAGTCACTTCCAGACTCGTTTCTTCAATAATTCCAACCGTTTTTCCAGAATGCCTCTTTAAAATAGAAATAAAAAAAAAAGAATTTCAAACGGAGAATATTTCGAAAATATTGCTCCGTGACCATAAATGCGCTATATTTTTGGTACCAGGAAGTCGAGATCCACGTCCCTGAGAATTTTTTCGCAATTTTTGGACAACTTTTTTTAAAAGAGAAATTTTTCCAATGATCCCCCCTTCTTCAAAAATCGGCCAATTTTTTGACATTTTCGAAAGTTAACTAAATACTTTTTCTTGTAGATTTCGAGCTCTAGAACTCACTTCCGGCCTCGTTTCTTTGATAACTTCAACCGTTTTTCCAGAATCGACCGTTAAAATATCGAAACTTTTAGAAATTTTCAAAAATTCGCATTTCGTACCGATTCTTTCGAAAATATTGCTCCGTGACCATAAACACACTATATTTTTGGAATCAGCATGTCCAGATGTACATTCCAGAATTTTTTCATAATTTTTAGACGATTTTTTTTAAAGTGAAATTTTCTCAATGGTCCCTCCTTCAACTTTCAGGTAATTTTTGACATTTTCGAAACTTAACGAAATACATTTTCTTGTAGATTTCGAGCTCTAGAACTCACTTCCGGCTTCGTTTCTTTGATAACTCCAACCGTTTTTCCCGAATCGATCCTTGAAAAACCGAAATTTTTAGAAATTCTCAAAAATTCGCATTTCACACAAATTCTTTCGAAAATGTTCCTCCGTGACGATCAACACGCTATATTTTTAGAATCAGCACGTCGAGATCTACATCCCTGAATTTTTTCATAATTTTGAAACAACTTTTTTAAAAGTGAAATTTTTCCAATCATCATCTTCAAAAATCGGCCAATTTTTGACATTTTAGAAACTTAACTAAATACATTTTCTCGTAGATTTCGAGCTCTAGAACTCACTTCCTGCCTCGATTCTTTGATAACTCCAACCGTTTTTCGAGAATCGACCGGTGAAATACCGAAATTTTTAGAAATTTTCAAAAATTCACATTTCACACAGATTCTTTCGAAAATATTCCTCCTTTACTATCAACACGCTATATTTTTGGAATCAGCATGTCGAGATCTACGTCCCCGAATTTTTTCGCAAATTTTAGAAAAGTGAAATTTTCTCTATGGTCCCCCCTTCTTCAAAAATCGGCCAATTTTTGACATTTTCGAAATTTAACTAAACACATTTTCTTGTAGATTTCGAGCTCTGGAACTCACTTCCGCCCTCGTTTCTTTGATAACTGCAACCGTTTTTCCGGAATCGACCGTTGAAATATCGAAATTTTTAGAAATTTTCAAAATTTTGCCTTTCGTACCGATTTTTTCAAAAATGTTTGTTCGTGACCATCAACATGCTAAATTTTTGGAATCAGCATGTCGAGAATGTCCCTGAATTTTTTCACAATTTTTAAGCAAGTTTTTTGAAAGTGAAATTTTTTTAATGGTCCCCCCTTCTTCAAATTTCGGTCAAATTTCTCACATTTTCGAAACTTAGCTAAGTACATTTTCTTGTAGATTTCGAGCTCTAGAACTCACTTCGGGTCTCGCTTTTTTGATAACTCCAACCGTTTTCCCAGAATCGACCGTTGAAAAACCGAAATTTTTAGAAATTTTTGAAAAATTCGCATTTCACACAGATTCTTCCGAAAGTGTTCCTCCGTGACTATCAACACGCTATATTTTTAGAATCAGCATGTCGAGATCTACGTCCCTGATTTTTTTTCACAATTTTTAGACAACTTTATTAAAAGTGAAATTTTTTCAATGGTCTCCCGTTCTTCAAATGTCGACCAATTTTTGACATTTTCGAAACTTAACTAAATACATTTGCTTGTAGATTTCGAGCTCTGGAACTCACTTCCGGGCCCTGATTTTTTGATAACTACAACCGTTTTTCCAGAATCGTCCCTTGAAATATCGAAATTTTTAGAAATTTTCAAAAATTCGCATTTCACACAGATTCTTTCGAAAATGTTCCTCCGTGACTATCAACACGCTATATTTTTGGTATCAGCAAGTCGAGATCTACGTCCCTGAATTTTTTCATAATTTTTAGACAACTTTTTAAAAAGTGAAATTTTTCCAATGGTCCCCCCTTCTTCAAATTTCGGCCAAATTTTGACATTTTCGAAACTTAACTAAATGCATTTTCTTGTAGATTTCGAGCTCTAGAACTCACTTCCGGCCTCGTTTCTTTGATAACTCCAACCGTTTTTCCAGAAGCAACCGTTGAAATATCGAAACTTTTAGAAATATTCAAAAATTCGCATTTCACACAGATTCTTTCGAAAATGTTCCTCCGTGACTATCAACACGCTATATTTTTGGAATCAGCATGTCGAGATCTACGTCTCTGAATTTTTTCATAATTTTTACACAACTTTTTTAAAAGTGAAATTTTTCTAATGGGCCACCCTTCTTCAAATTTCGGCCAAATTTTGACATTTTCGAAACTTAACGAAATACATTTTCTTGTAGATTTCGAGCTTTAGAACTCACTTCCGACCTGGTTTCTTTGATAACTGCAACCGTTTTTCCGGAATCAACCGTTGAAATAACGAAATTTTTAGAAATGTTCAAAAATTCGGATTTCGTACCGATTCTTTCGAAAATGTTGCTCCGTGACCATCAACATATTATATTTTTGGAATCAGCATGCCGAGAGTTACGACCCTGATTTTTTTCATAATTTTTAGACAACTTTTTTAAAACTGAAATTTTCTCTATGGTCCCCCCTTCTTCAAAAATCGGCCAATTTTTGACATTTTCGAAATTTAACCAAACACATTTTCTTGTAGATTTCGAGCTCTTGAACTCACTTCTGGCTCCGATTCTTTGATAACTCCAACCGTTTTTCCAGAATCGTCCGTTGAAATATCGAAATTTTTAGATATTTTTAAAAATTGCTCCGTGACCATAAAGGCGCTATATTTTTGGAACCAGCATGCCGAGATCCCTGATTTTTAGACAACTTTTTTAAAAGTAAAATTTTCTCAATGGTCCCCCCTTCTTCAAAAATCGGCCAATTTTTGACATTTTCGAAACTTAACTAAATACATTTTCTTGTAGATTTCGAGCTCTAGAACTCACTTCCGGCCTCGTTTCTTTCATAACTCCAACCATTTTTCCAGAATCGACCGTTGAAAAACCAAAATTTTTAGAAATTTTCAAAAATTCGCATTTCACACAGATTCTTTCGAAAATGTTCCTCCGTGACTATCAATACGCTATATTTTTGGAATCAGCATGTCGAGATCTACGTCCCTTAATTTTTTCATAATTTTTAGACAACTGTTTTAAAATTAAATTTTCTCAATGGTCCCCCCTGCTTCAAAAATCGGCCAATTTTTGACATTTTAGAAACTTAACTAAATACATTTTCTTGTAGATTTCGAGCTCTAGAACTCACTTCGGGGCCCGATTCTTTGATAACTCCAACCGTTTTTCGAGAATCGACCGTTGAAATATGGGAATTTTTAGAAATTTTCAAAAATTCACATTTCACACAGATTCTTTCGAAAATGTTCCTCCTTTACTATCAACACGCTATATTTTTGGAATCAGCATGTCGAGATCTACGTCCCCGAATTTTTTCGCAATTTTTAGGCAACTTTTTTAAAAGTGAAATTTTTTCAATGGTCCCCCCCCTCTTCAAATTTCGGCAAATTTTTGACATTTTCGAAACTTAACTAAACACATTTTCTTGTAGACTTCGAGCTCTAGAACTCACTTCCGACCCCGATTCTTTGATAATTCCAACCGTTTTTTCAGAATCGACCATTGAAACATAGAAATTTTTGAAATTTTTCAAAAATTCGCAATTCGTACCGATTCTTTCGAAAATGTTGCTTCGTGACCATAAATGCGCTATATTTTTGGAATCAGCACGACGAGATCTACGTCCCTGAATTTTTTCATAATTTTTAGACAACTTTTTCACTAGTGAAATTTTCCAAATTTCGACCCATTTTTGACATTTTCGAAACTTAACCAAACACATTTTTTGTATATTTCAAGCTCCAGAAGTTAATTTCAGACTTATTTCTTCTACCCAAAGTTCCGAATTGACTGCAAGAATTAAACTTATCATAACTCTTTTATTATTAATGTTACTCCAAAAAGTTCTTACTAAAAATTGTAGATAATTGGATTCTCTACAAAAATACTTCTTACAAATTTTCTGTCAGACTCACGATTACGGAGATAAATAAAAAAAATAATTTCAATCGGTACGACCAAATCCTCACGTAACCCCAAAAATTTGGCACAATTATCACCATTGCAACAATTCTATAAACACACCACATTTCGCCACCTTGCCCAAACTTGTGCCGTTTTCGCTCCCACTCGCGCTTTCGCCGGAACACTCCGTACTACGTAGTTCCGCTCCAGCCTCAGTACCACACGCACTCTCACTTACTCGTTCCCAGCTTGATCAGCTCCATGCCCTCGTGCCGGAACTGCCCCCTGCAGTTCTTGTTCTTCCTCTTCCTCCTCACCTTGCGGCCGTTCGGCGGCGCCTCGCCCTTCTTCTTCTCCTCCACCAGGTCGTAAATCTTCGTGTTGCTCACTTCGTTGAACAAGTGCGGGCCCTTGTCGTCGCGGTCAGGTACATCGTGCTGACGGTAAATCAGTTGTTTCTTGTAGTGTCTGATAACGGAAGTCTCGGTCATGTCGGGTGCTGGTGCTGGTTGCGTACTGAACAAAAGAAGGCGATTAACGGTGCGGTGCGGGGTGCGTGCCCCAGGGGTGCGCTCGCGGACCGATGCTACTCCGGCGTCGCGCCGCCTCCAGACTGCCGCTTACCGCAATTACCGCCAAGGCCGCCCTCAGCCACCAAAACCGGTCAATTAATTATTCCTGCAACTGTTTTGCATTTGGCACCGGTGTGCTCGCATCGGGCGTTTTAATTGCACTGGCTTAGACTTACCTTGACTTAGCGCGCTAATGGTGGTCTTATCAAGAAGAAACCTTCGATACCGCGGTAAGTAGACGGCGATTATAAATCGGTCTTTTTCAGGACTGGCGACTCATTAAAAAATCATCCCGGGTAATTAAGTTTCGAGGGTTGATTAAATCCGCCCCTTTTAAAGCGGGGTGGCCGGCTCGACGCCTGGAGTCGTTAATGCGGCATGCGATTGGTTTTTTTCGTCACGTGTCGCGGGCCATTTTGGCGACCGAGCGAAGAGTGCTATCGTGCAGATAAGATAAGGAGATCGTGCTGCTTGCAAGATTTTTCCCACAGACTAAGCGATTTTTACCTCGTGCTGTGCGACGTTTCGTCATCCACGGTTCATCTTCAAGCGCTGGTCCGAATTCGGCGGTGCCTCTGGAGCGGTGCACAGGGATGCATGACACTTGACGCTATAAAAATAAATACGGACACGCAATGTAATAATCACATTCTAATGTCGTATATTTTACAGCCACGTCAGGATATATCGTATCGATTGCTCTCGGCTCGCTAACGTCCTGTTTTTGTGATAATATTGTTGCTAGATGGTTGTGGGCTCGACGAGGATTTTTGGACTTGCAGCAACGTGGTCCGACACCTAACTAGATTTTGTTATACAATTTATTTTCTGTTTGCCTTTTTCCTTATCTTATCGCGCAGGATAAGATAAGGCAATCTTTATCTTGTGGCCTGTGCTAACAATTATTAAGCCCACTGGTTATTTATAATTGCGGACTTGCAGTGGGGGTTTATTTATTTTATGCGTACAAATAGAGAGGTGCGTCATTAAAATGAACGTTTATCATTATTTTTTATGGCGGATTGCGATAAACTGTTGTAAATTCATAGTGTTTTTGTCGTCGTGTTGATAAAACGTTCCATAATTCTAATTACAGCAGTCACTCGACACGCCGTGTTGCTACGAACGAGGCTTTTAGACTAAACAAGGCTAAGTATCTTTCGAAACGAAGATACATTTTATTCTATCGATTATACTCTTTTTAATTTTAGGTATACGTGGAGGGATTGTGAGTAATTACGCTAATTGCCAACTCCCGTTGCCACCGCAGGGTTGGTAAGCTCCTAACGGGACTGAAAAAGCGAAACGTCGATCGTTCTTTTCCCACCCTAATCCGATTCGACCAACTACAACCAACTACCTCAAATTTGACTTCCCGATCTATTTCGACACGTTCTCCACGCCAATTTGCTGGTTCAAATTTAACCGGAAACTCTTATCTTAAGGTTAACCCCTTTCTAAATCCTGCGGTCACTAAATTTATTCAAAACCCAGTAAGTATACATCCATTTCGACCAAATTCCCAGTTAAAGTTGATCAGGTTTTCAGAATCAAAGTTACTTAGGTTTATGCCATCTGATCATTCCAGTGCGTTGTAAGTAACACCCAGTTTGCGTAATTGGGTTACAAACCCGACAAAATGTGGTTGGGATTTCGTACGAAATGTTGGTTGTTTCTCTTGACCAGACAGATAAAAAACAGCTAAATTTAGGTGGGGTCAAGGTTGTGCGACGAATCAGAAATTTGATTGGGGTTTCAAATGACATTTTAAAGTCCGACACTCTCTATATGTTTCTTACCCTAATTTTAATATAGGTATGTCTTCAGTTGTGGTTAAAATATGACTGACCCTATCCAAGTCAAAACATCAACTCCACATATCTATAATAAAAATTATATTAAAGTGAGTAACATTTTAATTACAAATTGGTGACAATATACAACTTTCAAAGCAGAAAGAAAGATTATTTCTAAGGACCCTGCCCTTTTGCCACAACCGGTACCAAATCATAGAGCATATTATACAAAGTTTGAATAAATTTATTCAAATTGACATTATTTGACACTTCTTTGTGTATTTGTAAGTTTGTTGTTATGACAGTTGTCAGCCATTTTTAGCCACCCCACCAACTGATCTTGTAATGGAGCTACCCATCTTGCATACCATGAATAAAGCAGCAACCAGAAAATAAAGTATACAAAGTCAAATTCAAATGACGTCCAACAAGTATTTTAATTTAGGTCTTTAATATCCTAATCGATCCATAATGTTATTACTTTTTATAAAAAAAGCATAACGTGTTTGTAAACGATTTTAAAAATAACAAATATACGAGAAGAGGAATTTGTTATTGAATTAATTTAAGGTTGTTACTTGATTTTCCAGTATGGCTACTACAGGTTCCGGCGATGTTTTCTATAATAAAATGTCAATATAAATGGTAACCAGTGGCGTAGCTGCAGAAAATTTTCCACTGTTTGTGAAAAAACGAATAATAAGATAGCAGAAGCCGTCTCGGTCAGTACAAAAGTGCAAAGGTCTTTGTATTTTTAAAGAGTGGTAATTCGTGACCTTGGTGACCCAAAACCGCATATAACTTAAACAAATTAACTAATATAAACTGACGTCATTCGTTAAAAAACCAAAAAGTCGATACCTTTCACATACTTTTAATTCCTGACGTGTATCATTATTATTGAAGACTTTGTTTGTTAAAGTAAAAAACTCGTTCCACTTGCATTCTAGATAGCAAAATACATTCTCCAAGTTCCATCAATTATCGACGACATGAAAACATACAACTAAAGCCAGTAAAATACATATTTGTGACGTTAATATTTCATGTAGATATACGAGATATGAGTACATGAACTTTCTTCATACATATTTATTAAAATTAGTCGCATTTTCTCTACAACCACACTGCAATGGTAAAAATTCCTCTTTATCATGGTCGACCTTGATAGTTTATCTATTCTAAGTCGCAACATTATGCAAGTGGTTAAAAAAAATTACATTAACCACTCGGGTAGGTTATGCAACCAACAATGTCAAATTACAAAATTTTTAATAAATTCTGGAATTACACAATTGGAATTTCCCCAGCTGATTCAACTTTTTACACGCGACCTAGAGCCAACGAACGCATCGTCGAACATTACGCCCAAAAATCAATCAGAAGCGTCATTAAATTCGAATCTGTCCAAGTCGTCGACCTTTGCCCACCCTTTAATCGATTTGAGTCTTTTTCTTCGTACTTAATCAAAACATCTTGCTGGGTCGTGTTGACACTTTTTTTTTAATCAATCTATATTGTATAGTTAGTACCTTCCGTATGGAGTAAGTACTTCTATATTAATTTAAAAATGGTACATATAAATTCGATACACTACAACAGTTGCACAAAAAGCAACCCAATGGGAGAGTACACCGACGTCTGCAACCCCAGAAACAATGAGTAAACTTGGTACGCCTTCTTAAGTTCCTCTGGTGTAACGAGACTGAAAACTCAAGTTAGAAAAACGTAGCTACCCATGACTTAATTACTTTGCAATGTTGTAACTGCAGCGACTCAAAAGGTAACCACCAGTGGTACTGAACACCAATATAGTAACAATATACTGATAATCGTGTGGCAGCAGTACCGATAAGTGTTTCCGAGGCTGGGCGTTACAAAACATGAACAGTGGAACGAAAACTAGCATCCTGATCACCGACAGAACGCTCCATCCCACACCGTTTAGTTTCTACAACACATTTATAGTAGTTGAAAGTGGTACCCAGATGAAACTTACTGGAATGACCAAAAAGGACACCCCTCTTCCAATTAAAGAGCACGAAGAATTGAGCAGATAGGTGATAGTTGGGATAAAGTATAAATCTAGAAAATAAAACTAGTGACAAGTTTGACAAAAGTACTGCTTACCGCTCCAAGGTCCGCTACCCTCGTTTTCCGAAACCACCAAAGCAGTTGGTGATGCGTCATGTGCAATAAGAAAACAACCAACGATCACCAAAGATGACCATATTTTTTTAAGTAAATGAAAAACGTCCGACGGCTTAATAATCCTGTCGGTACGTTCTTGGATTCTGTTCATATGGTACACATAGAATTTGTTTCTTCTGGTTGCTATTAGTGCCACAATTGTGACTACAATTACACCAAGTCCAATCCCGAAGTACACTAAGGCGCTATCTTGACTTGACAGATCAAACGCTAAAGAGATCATTTGTGCCACTGCTGTAAATATAGACGCTAGACCTTCACCGATGATGTACGCCCCTATGTAACTATGAGGAAAAAAGGCACAAGCTGTGTACATAGTAACAGAGAAAATACCAGTCATTGCTAAAACAACAAAATTATTTCTAGAAGATTTAAGTAGTTTGGTCTAAACACCATTCATTCCTGCTGTTATAGCCATCGCCATCGCGAAAAAACCCTCTTGCCCTATGACAAAAAACTAAACTTGGTACCACACTAGTACTACGTACATACATGAATCAGTATCGACCCTCACGAACGCCATGGTCAAGATACACAGCAACATGTTAACAATCAAAATGAAGAATTTCCTGGATCGTACTTTAAAGTACCGTCCGTAGTACACCGTCAAGAGTTGGAACGCCAAACTAGAAATTGGTTGTACGACTTTTAGAGACGAACTGAATTGTGCTTGAAGATCGGTCCTAAATTCCGAGTCCGTCGTGTCTATAGTTGTGTTTCGGAACTTGTACATCCAGAACTAAAACATCGTTTTAAGGAGGTACTACCTCCGAAGCGGTACTCACGTTCGTCGCAGTAGTGAAAAAAGTCGCCGGTAAAGAATGTACGAGACCAATCAAGAAGAAGAGGATGTAGTTGACGTAGAAGCGATCTTTGGGGAGATCGGGGTCTACATCGCTCTTTTCTTCGATTTGGGGGTGATCCTTTTGGGTATTCATGGCAGGTGTTGCCAGGTACTAATGTCATGCTAGATAGCACTTTTAGGTTTTATTGTTCTGCATACTTTAGCTTTGGAATCTGATATTAATTGTCTGATAATTAAAGATTCATAGTGATCAGTGGAAAAGTACTTGTTTTGGTCATTGTTTGTAAACTGTTTTGTATAATTGATCAGATTGTTTGTGCAGATGTGCGATTTCATTAAAGAGATGGGGCTGATCTCATAATGTATGTTGCGTGTACATGAAAATATATACACGTATTCACATCGTAGTACCGAGAAGAAATCCGTTGACAAGACAAACAATTTTCAACTAATTTCTATAATATTCTAACTTGGTGTTGCTGTGGTGGACAGCATCTATGATAAACAATAATAAACCATACAAGAGAAGTACTACACAAAATACATCATGCAAAACTTATCTTTTGAGAAGTTTCAACTACATGTTTTTGAAATGGCTCATTATTATTTTGAAGACGGTTTAGAGCACCCATTAAATGATGCATCAAAACCAGAACCTGGCTATTGTTTAGACGTGACGGTACTTCAGTTGTATCTGATATGATTAAATGGTGTTTTACATGAAACAGAATTTTATTTCATCGTGTTTTGACTGAGATAATGTAAACAAAACAAAATGCCGCCGTTTCTGCTTCATTAAAAAAAACGATGTTGGTACTTTCTTTCAGTACTTCTCTTGAAGTATTTTCAGATTACCTCAATTAGATCCCTAAAGTAAGTGAAAGTACCGATTATTATAGAAGTTAGAACATTTCTGGATTGTTATGAAAGCTTCTAAAAGTACTAGATGGTACTACATTGCCACCTCTGCTATGTTAATAGGTAAGCAAAATCTAGAAGAAACAGAAGCGTCACAACTTGTACCCACAATCTAATCACATACAAATCAACAATCGAAAACGATATGCAAAGCACGTTTTTTTCCACAATACAAAGACATTAACACTATCAGTCGAGTCCCTAATTATCAGACAATGAATATCAAATTCCAGAGCAAAGTATGCAATAAAAACAGAAATGCTATCTCAACACATTAGTACCTAGAAACATCTGACTTGCCGCAACATGAGCACTCAAAAAGATCTCCACACGTGTGAACAAAATGAAAAAAACGAAAAAACAGACTACGATCCTCCGGAAGATCATTTCTACATCAACTACATTCTGTTCTTCTTGATTGGTCTGGTTCACTCTTTACCTGGAACTTTTTTCACTACTGCTACGAACGTGAGTACCTTTCACCCGTACTACCTTTCCAAGACGACAGAACTTTTTTTAGTTCTGGATGTACAAATTCCGAAACACCACTATAGACACGACGGACTCTGAGTTCAGAACGGATCTTCAGGCGGAATTTAGCGCTTCTGTCAAGGTGGTACAGCCGATTGCCAATCTGGCGTTCCAGTTGCTAACTGTGTACTACGGACGGTACTTTAAAGTACGTCAAAGGAAGATTTTCATTTTGGTTGTTACTATGTTGCTGTGTTGCTTAACCATGATTTTCGTCAAAGTTGATACTGATTCGTGTATGTAGTACTGCGTGGTGGTAGTACCGACTTTAGTGTTTTTTGTCGTAGGGCAGGGAGGATTTTTCGCTATGGCGATGATGATTACAGGTGGATTGAATGGTGTTTATTTAACTCACAATATGGTGATTGTGAAGACTTGAGTATTCTGTTTTAGCAATGACTGGTATTTTCTCTGTTACTATGTACACGACTTGTGCCTTTTTTCCTCATGGTTACATAGGGGCGTACATTATGGGTGAAGGTCTAGCAGCTATATTTACAGCAATGGCACAGTTGATCTCTTTGGCGTTTGGTCTGTCAAGTCAGGATAGTGCTTTAGTGTACTTCGGGATAGGGCTTTTTGTAATTATAGTTACACTTTTGGCACTACTTGCAACTGGTAATAACCAGTTCTACGTCTACCATATGAACCGAATTCACGATCGTACTGACAGGATTATCAATCTGAAGGATGTCCTCCACATACTTAAAAAAATATGGTCTTCTCTAGTTATTTCAGGTTGTTATCTCATTGCGTCTGATTCTTCTCCAACGGGTCTTGTGGTTTCGGAGTACGAGGGTAGTGGCCCCTGGAACGGTACCAAAAACACAACACTTGCCAAAACTGCTAACTTTCGTCTCCTTCTAGATCTATATTTTATACCGACTATCACGTACTTGGTCAATTCTTCTTGTTCTTTGATTGGTAGAGGAATAGCATTGATGTACGTACCGGTAAGTACCACTCAAGCTAAAACAACGCTCTTTAACCTGATTTGTAGAAAGTTAAAAACGTAGTATGGAGCGTATTATCAGTGGTAAGAATGTTGATTTTTATTCCAGTATTCATGTTATGCAATGCTCAACCTCGAAACCACTTACCGGTACTAATACCGCATGATTACCAGTACATTGTAATCATACTGGTGTACAGCGTGAGTGGTGGTTATCTCTTAAGTCGTTGTAGTTACAACATAGCAAAGTAATTATGTTTTAAGTGTCAATATTTTTCTAACTGACGAATTTTAGTCTCGTTACGCAAGAAGAACTCAAAAAAGCGTACCAGGTGTACTCACTCTTCCTTGGGTTGCAAATGTCGGTGTACTCTCCCATTGGGCTGCTTTTTGTGCAGCTGTTATAGTTTCTATCGAATTTATATGTAACTAAGAATATAATAAATGTATTGGAGACAGTGTGGCATAATTTAACTTCATGTAAATGTAACATTACTGTTTTCACGTGAATCAGACGCCGCTGTCGCTTCTCAGAGTCTTAGTTAAGTTTGGAATTAATAAAACTACCCCCTTGCTTTCGTTTCTTTATTAAGGCACGTATTAGCTTGACTATGTATCAAAATCGATACAAAAATATAAACAAAATGGCACGTATATATACAAATAAATACAATCACTTTTAATATAATACCATAAGAAAGCCTAGAATACTCATTAGTACAGTAACAAAAAATGCCATCGTGGAATGATCAACAACCATAAACACTAAAACTGCTAAAACGACACACGATAAAATTCGCCATCCAGTATAAAATAACCCATTTTAGAAACGAGCAATTACAAACAACAAGACCTTAGAGATCGCAATTAAGTACAAAGAACGATCAAAAACATAAAAGCTATTAAAACAACAAACAGTTTCAGCAACAATCTAAAATTTTTCGTTGTATATAAATAGTTAAAAAATAAATCTTCTAAAAAATATACACATCTCAAAAGGCACCAGTTACTGCTTGATATAGTCACGGCCATTTTCTATCACGGCGAAGTTCGACGGGAGCAAGTAGGAGATGTTACCGCCGTCCTTCTTGAAGGTGGCGCTCTGCACCTCTGACGTCACGTTGATGTTGATAAGGCGCTTCTTACCGCCCAGGGAACAGGAAATGGTCTTGTTCACGGTCACAGGAAGATCGGTCCCCTTCAGCCTAGAAAAAGTGAGGTTATGTTATCAGTTGGTATCAATGAATTTGCTTGCAATTGGATTTGATTTCCTGTTGTAACTTTAACGCCAACAGCAAGTTTATAAATCCCACTTTAACTTAAAAATTCAGAATTTGGGTTGTCATAACCTAACTTTTTTGACATATTAAAAGTGACAGGGCTGTCAATTAAACTTACTGGAAGTAGGCGTTGCAGAGGACCCCCACGATCTCCCCAATTCTATCTTCCTGCCTCACAGAATGCAGAGACACGACTAAATCGTTGCCCCCTAGACAATGGAACACGATCAACTGATCCTGCCCCGGACTCACGCTGATCCCTGTCAAATCCTTAATCCCGGTCCCCTCCTTCATGTTCCTGAACTTCAAACTGTCCAGCTTGTAGACGGCTTGGTCAGTCACCAAAACCACCCTCTCCGCACACTTATTAAACTTGTTGAACTTGGTGACGAACGCCGAAAACAGGACCTTCCCAAAATGCTGGCTATTCTTCAAATTATTAACCGCATCGTTGAACGTCGTGTAGTTGTTATTCTCCCCGTGAGTCGCCAAATAATTCCCTTCCCACCTCCTACTCAACCCGTACCTCGGCCTCTTATTCAACAACGCGCTCGCCGCCACCACCTTCAGCTTCATCTCCGGCCACTCCGCCCTCGGGATCCTGCTCAAAATCATAAACGCGCGCCATCTGTTGTAGAACTGCTTCAGCACTCTCGTGGTCTTCTGCAGCGACACCGGCGGCGCCGGCCAGATGATGCCCTTGCCGAAGTCCTTGGCTTTGCGCGCGTGCACGAACTTGCCCTGGAGCGCGTTGATGTACGTGCGCATTTTCTTCAGGCGGTAGGCCTGGATCATGGTCATGAGGGCACGCATGCGCTTGTACTGTTGTCTGGCCACGTAGCCGCGCCAGGTCTTCTGGATCAGGGTGACGATGCCGGGGATGAGCTCGTTGCGGGCGGCTTCCAGGGCGAAGAGGGTTCGCGGCGACCGGATGAAGATTTTGGTCTTGCCGTATTTGACGTCGTCGGCGAACTTGCGCTCGTCCATGATGACTTTGACGCCGTCTTTGTCGGAGCCGGAGCGGAAGTTGGGCCAGGTGAATTGGGAGATCATCTTGTAGCGTTTGAGGAAGCGGTCGTAGCGTTGGCGGTAGGCGAAACCGGCGCGGCGCACGCGCACGTTCTCGACGAGGCCGAGGTAGCTGACTTGGTGCTTGACGCGCTCTTCGTCGAAGGCGGAGGGGGATTTTAGCTCGTTGGGTTTGATGCAGCGTACGTAGTGGGGTTCTTTACTGTAGAGGTTCTGGACTAGAGCTTGCATGGAGTTCTTGAAGAGGGTGCCGGCGGTGGGGGGGCGCTTCGTTATCTGGAAGGGAGAGAGTGATGGTTTGAGTATGGGTTAAGACCATTGACGATGGGTTTTAAAATGGTGAACATGCATATTATTGTCATTGATGAATAAGTCAGGTCAGGTCAGGTCAGACCTTCAGAGCGGCTCGTGGGTCACCCAAGTCAAGTCATAGCTTAGGTTAGGTCAAGTTAAACCAGGCTAGGTGAAATCAAACGAGGTTAAGTCAAGCCAGAGATTAAGTCAGGTCAAGGCAATTTAGGTTAAACCCAGTCGTGTCAGATTAGATTAGACAATGTCATGTTAGATCATATGATCAATTTTTATTATACACTACATTCGAAACTACCGGACCGATTGTTGTCAAATTTTGAGTGCATGTCAGGACTATCGTGTAAATGGGAAAACAGTAACTAGATTAAACAAAATTTATTTTCCCCATCAACAATTTGATGACGTCACCTTGAAATTTTGAGTAGTAAATGCTATTTAAACTTGATAAAATAACATACTCCTGTACTTGTGGTATATGGATCCGCCTTGATTTTTTGAAATTGGTTTGATGACGGGATCTACAGAAAATGATGGCGCTTTTAGGACCGCCTCGACGCAATTTTGGCCGAATCGAGGCGATGTTACTGGTTCTAAGACAGGTCAAATTGGTCGACAAAAAATGATCGCGGTCATAAACCAGGTCATATCGTTAACAAAAAATGATAGAGGTCTAAGACAGATCAAATGATTGACAAAAAATGATAGGGGTCCTAGGACAGGCAGGTCAAATAGTCGAAAAAAATGATAGGGGTCCTAAGACAGGTCAAATTGGGCGACAGAAAATGATGGGGATCCTAATTCAGGTCAAATTAGTCGACCAAAAATCATTGAGGTTCTTAGACAGGTCAAACTGGTCGTTAAAAAAAAGTGGGGGTCCCAAGACAGGTCAAATAATGGGGTCCTAAGACATGTCAAATCGGTCGACAGAAAATGATGGGGGTCCTTTGACAGGTCAAATGTTGGGGGTCCTTTGATAGGTCAAATTAGTCGATAAAAAATGATGGGGGTCCTGAGGTATTCAAATTGGTCGACATAAAATGATGGGGTCCTAAGACAGGTCAAATGGTGGACAAAAAATGATAGGGGTCCTAAAACAGGTCAAATGATGGAGGTCCTAAGACATGTCAAATTGGTCAATAAAAAATAATTAGGGTCCTAAGACATTCAAATTGGTCTACAGAAAAGGATGGGGGTCCTAAGACAGGTCAAATGGTCGACAAAAAATGATGGGGGTCCTAAAATAGGACAAATTGGTCGACAGAAAATGATGAGGTCCTAAAACAAGTCAAATGGTTAAAAAAAAATGATGGGGATCCTAAAACAGGTCAAATGATGGGAGTTCTAAGAAATGTCAAATTGGTCAACAGAAAATGACGGGGCAGGTTAAATGGTGGACAAAAATGATGGCGGTCTTAAAACAGGTCAAATGATGGGGTCCTAAAACAGGTCAACTGATAAGGGTCCTAAGACTTGTCAAATTGGTCAATAAAAAATTATGGGGGGTCCTAAAACATGTCAAATTGGTCGACAGAAAATGATTGGGATCTTAAGACAGGTCAAATGGTGGACAAAAAATGAGAGAGGCCCTAAAACAGGTAGACTGATAGGGGTCCTAAGACATGTCAAATTGGTCAATAAAAAATGATGAGGGTCCTAAGACATTCAAATTAGTCTACAGAAAAGGATGGGGGTCCTAAGACAGGTCAAATGGTGTGGGTCCCAAAATAGGGCAAATTAGTCGACAGAAAATGATGAGGTCCTAATATAAGTCAAATCGCTGACAAAAAATGATGGGGGTCCTAAAACAGGTCAAATGGTGGGAGTTCTAAGAAATGTCAAATTGATCGACAGAAAATGACGGGGTCCTAAGGCAGGTCAAATAGTGGACAAAAATGATGGGGGTCCTAAAACAGGACAAATAATGGGAATCCTAAGACATGTCAAATTATTGGACAGAAAATGATGCGATCCTAACACAGGTCAACTGATGGGGGTCCTAAGACATGTCAAACTGATCAATAAAAAATGGTGGGGGTCCTAAAACAGGACGAATAATGGGGATCCTAAGACATATCAAATTGGTCTACAGAAAAGGATGGCGATCCTAAAACAGGTCAATCGATGGGGGTTCTAAGACATGTCAAATTGGTCAATAAAAAATGATGGGGGTCTTAAAACATGTCAAATGACGAGGGTCCTAAGACAGGTCAAATGATGGGGGTCCTAATACATGTCAAATTGGTCGACAGAAAATGATGGAGGGGTCCTAAAACAGGTCAATTGATAGGGGTTCTAAGACATGTCAAATTGGTCAATAAAAAATGACGGGGGTCTTAAAACAGGTCAAACTGGTCGATAGAAAATGATGGGAGTCCTAAAACAGGTCAAATGATAGGGGTCCTTTGACAGGACAAATTAGTCGATAAAAATGATGCGGCCCTAAAACATGACAAATTACAGGGATCCTAAAACATGTCAAATTGATCGACAGAAAATGATGGGAGTCCTAAAACAGGTCAAGTGTTGCACAAAAAATGATAGGGGTCCTAAAACATGTTAAATAATGGGTGTCCTTTGACAGGTCAAATTAGTCGATGAAAAATGATGGGGGTCCTAATACATATCAAATTGGTCGACAGAAAATGATGGGGGTCCTAAAATTAGTCAAATACTGGGTGTCCTTTGACAGGTCAAATTAGTCGATAAAAAATGATGGGGGTCCTAATACATGTCAAATTGGTCGACAGAAAATGATGGGGGTCCTAAGACAGTTCAAATGTTGGACAAAAAATGGTTGGGGTCCTAAAACAGGTCAAATGATGGGGGTCCTTCGACAGGACAAATTAGTCGATAAAAACGATGGGGGCTCTAAAACATGACAAATTACAGGGACCCTAAAACAGGTCAACTAATGGGTGTGCAAAGACATGTCAAATTGGTCATTAAAAAATTATGGGAGTCCTAGAATATGTCAAATTGGTCGATAGAAAATGATGCAGGTTCTAAGACAGATCAGACAAAAAATAGTACGGGTCCTAAAATAGGTCAAATGGGGCCCCTAAAACATGTCAAATGATGGGACATGTCAAATTGGTCGACAGAAAATGATGGGGGCCTTAAAACAGGGCAAATAATGGGGTCCTAAGACATGTCAAATTGGTTGACAGAAAATGATGGGGTCCTAAGGCCCCAAATGTCAAATTGGTAAAAAAAAATGATGGAGCTCCTAAAACAGATCAAATGATGGGGGTCCTAAAACAGGATAAATAATGGGGACCCTAAGACATGTCAAATTGGTCGACAAAAAATGATGCGGTCCTAAGACAGGTCAACTGATGGGGGTCCTCAGACAGGTCAAAGGGTGGACAAAAAATTATGGATGTCCTAAAACAGGTCAAATGATAGGAGTTCTAAGAAATGTCAAATGGGTCGACAGAAAATGACGGGGTCCTAAGGCAGGTCAAATGGTGGACAAAAATCATGGAGGTCCTAAAACAGGACAAATAATGGGGATCCTAAGACATGTCAAATTGGTCGACAGAAAATGATGCGGTCCTAAGACAGGTCAACTGATGGGGGTCCTAAGACATGTCAAATTGATCAATAAACAATGAGGGGGGTCCTAAAACAGGACAAATAATGGGGATCCAAAGACATATCAAATTGGTCGACAGAAAATGACGGGGATCCAAAGACAGGTCAAATGGTGGACAAAAAATGATAGGGGTTCTAAAACAAGTCAAATGATGGGAGTTCTAAGAAATGTCAAATTGGTCGACAGAAAATGACGGGGTCCTAAGGCAGATCAAATGGTGGACAAAAATGATGGGGGTCCTAAAACAGGTCAAACGATGGAGGTCCTAGAACAGGTCAAATAATGGGGGTCCTAAGACAGGTCAAATGGTGGACAAAAAATGATGAAGGTCCTAAAACAGGTCAAATGATGGGAGTTCTAAGACAGGTTAAAAGGGGACAAAAATGATGAGTGTCCTAAAATAGGTCAAATGATGGGGTCCTAAGGCAGGTCAAATGGTGGACAAAAATGATGGGGGTCCTAAAACAGGTCAAATGATGGGGGTCCTAGAACAGGTCAAATGATGGAGGTCCTAAGACTGGTCAAATGGTGGACAAAAAATGATGAAGGTCCTAAAAGAGGTCAAATGATAGGGATTCTAAGACAGGTCACATTTCAATCCATTGATAAATGTAATTGTTTAACAAATATAAGTTTTTTAATGATTAAAAGTCAGAACTTTTTTTTAACTTTTTGCGCCATAAATTGGAAGATCCCGCCAAAAATTAAATAATGTGAAAAATTCAAAACATGATTTTTTTTCGGGACGAAAAGATGATCTGACCTGACCTGAGTTAAAATGTAACCATTTAAAGCCTTCGTAGTAAATCTCCTTTACTAAAGTCATTAAAATACAAAAATCAGCATACCTCTGAAATATGTTGCGACCCTTCCGGGAACATCTCCTTCAAATTCTCATCCCTCGAGTTATACATAAGTCTTTTAAAGTCTTGGAAAAGAGTATCTTTATTCTTATCCAGAAAACCAACAACGCAATAAGTAACATCCCCCGCATAATGCGTAATCCGAAAATCGACCTTGTGCTTCATATTCTTATCAGCGGGCTTCAACTGTCTCGACGTATAATGATGATGAGTCTTCAGCTGTTTGTCCATCGTCTCCAGAAGCAACTCATCGGTCACCTTCTCCGCAGTCATCTTCGACGCGTCATCCATAATCGACAAAATCCCCTTGTGCGGGGCCTCCACCAAGTCACAAATAATCTGATTATTGAAAAAATCGATATTCTGCCACTCGATTCCCTCCCGGTTGTACTCTTCCTGTTCCTGCTTCAGTACCAACTCTGCAGCAAAAAAATATCTAGTAAGTAAGCCACAGTACGTGTCGATTTAACGCACCGATAAACAACTGCTGAAGCTTCTCGTTACAGTAGTTGATGCAGAACTGCTCGAAGCTGTTATTATCGAAGATCTCGAACCCGTAGATGTCCAGAACCCCGATCAGCGAACTCTTGTAGTTCTTGCTGTAGTTCTTCTCGTCGACGGCGATGGCGGCGTTGATTTTATCCACCAACCAACCGAAAAGCCGCTCGTATACGGCCTTCGCCAAAGCGTCCCTTCCATAGCAAGCCTCCGCCTCCGTGTGCTCCTTCCTCATGATGTCGCCTCTCGCCGCGATCACCCGTTCACACAGCGCCGACGACAGCTCCTCCTTCTTCACCTGGAGCAACTCCGCAATCACATCGATGCTCTTCTTATTCTTAATCTGCAGCTTCTCCCCGTCGTTCACGAACTCCACGTTCCCCAGATGCAGAATCGCCGCCACCACCCTCCACAAGGTATCCTGCGCGTCCTTGGAGAACTGCAGCGTGTTCAGCGACGAGTTCACCTCCCGGAAGTCGTTCTTGTCGTTGATGGTGTCCACCCGCGCCGCCTTGCCCTGCTTCACGAAGAAGTAGTCGTCCGGGTTGCGACTCAGGTGCAGTTTGCGCAGGTGCTCGTCGCTCGCGGCCGTCAGGAGTTGGTAGAAGCTGTGGAAGTTGCGCTCGCCGGCCTGCTGGTAGATCACTCTGCTCTTTTCGAGCAGGTACTTGTTGATGTGGCCGCCGATGGGGTCGCCCTTGAAGTCGAAGTGGATGTCCATGTACTTGCCGAAGCGGGAGGAGTTGTCGTTGCGGTTGGTCTTGGCGTTGCCGAAGGCCTCGAGGATGGAGTTGGACTGCAGGAGGACGTTCTTCACGCGCTCGATTTCTTTTTGGCCGTCCTTGTTGGTCACGGCGGCGATGTATTTCATGATTATTTTGGAGGCCTCGGTCTTTCCGGCGCCGGACTCGCCGCTGATTACGATGCAAGTGTCCTTGCCTTGCTGCTGCATGACTTTGTGCGAGGCGTCGGCGATGGCGAAGATGTGCGGGGGGTTCTCGAAGAGCTCGCGACCTGGTGATTGAAAAAAAAAGGCACTTTTGTAATCATGAAGGTGGACATTTTGTATCGATATTATTTGAATCAGTATAAATCGTAATAACATTGAGACGACAAAAATTAAGTAAACTAATTATGAGTATTTTATTGAATAAAATTTTGAGATGACGTCATCAATTTTTAGAGAACATGAAGGAAAACGGGGAAAAACATGAAATTAGACACTGAACTGTTGTCTTTGCGCTAACATCCAAGGAATGAAATCTACAAATTTTGATTGTGAAGTTCAGACAGTACTCAAACACATCCAATTAATCAAGTCAGATCAAGTCAGGCACTAGGTCAGATCAGGTGCGTCAGGCGCCATGTCAGAATCATGTCAAAAGGTATGTCGGGTCAGCAGTCACGTCAGGTCAGGTCAGGTCAAGTCAGGATTCAGGTCAGGTCAAGATTCAGGTCAGGTCAGGTCAGGTCAGGTCAGGTCAGGTCAGGTCAGGTCAGGATTCAGGTCAGGTGAAGTCAGGATTCAGATCAGGTCAGGATTCCGGTCAGGTCTAGATTCAGGCGAGGTCAGGATTCCGATCACGTCAAGAATCAAGTCAATCAGACCGGGAGCTTAGTAGGTGTCAGGCCGGTCAGGAGTTAGGTTGGCAGGAGTCAAATCAGTTTCGGATTCAGGTCAGGTCAAATTAAGGCCATTTTTCTCAAAAACTGCTTTGGCAAGTATTTTTTATTTAAAATAAATGGGAAAAGTCAAGAGTCAGACGTGGGGTTAGATCAGATTTGCGTTAGGTCAGGACTCAAGTAAGGTCAGGAGATAGGTCAAGTCAGGAGATAAGTGAAGTCAGCAGATACGTCAAATTAGAAGATAGATAGGTCAAGTGAGGAGGTAGGTTAGGCAAGTCAGACTTGAGATCAGGTAAGGTCAGAATTTAAATCAGGTCAGGAATTGGGTTAGGTCAGATGAGGCCAGGTCAGATCAGATCAGATCAGGCTAGGTCAAAAGTTAGACCAGTCAGGAGTCAAATCAAGTCAGATTAGTCAGGAGTCAACTCAAGTTAGGTCAGTGAGGAGTCCAATCAAGTCACGGCAGGAGTCAAATCAAGTCAGGTCAATTAAGAATCAAATGAAGACACATCAGTCAGGAGTTAGATCAAGTCAGGAAAAGATTTTGATCAGGTCAGAAATTAGGTCAGATCAGGATTCAGTTAAGGTCAAGTCGGGATTCAAATCAGGTTAGATCAGGCCATTTTTCTCAAAAACCGCTTTGGCAAATATTTTTTATTTAAAATAAATGGGCCAAAAGTTAGGGGTCAGAAGTGGGGTTTGGTCAGGTCTCAGATTAGGTCAGGAGTCAGATCAGGTCAGGAAATAGAGCAAGTCAGAAAGTAGATAGGTCAAGTCAGAAGATAGATAGGTCAAGGCAGAAGATAAATAGGTCAAGTCAGAAGTTAGGTAGGTCAAGTCAGAAGTTAGGTAGGTCAAGTCAGAAGTTAGGTAGGTCAAGTCAGAAGTTAGGTAGGTCAAGTCAGAAGTTAGATAGGTCAAGTCACGAGATAGGTTAGGCGAATCAGTGTTGAGATCAGGTCAGGTCAAAATTTAAATCAGGTCATACCAGGAATCGAGTTAAATCAGATCAGATCCAGCCAGGTCAAAAGTCAGACCATTCAGGAGTCAAATCAAATCAGGTCAGTCAGGACCCAAATCAAGTCAGGTCACTCAGGAGTCAAATCAAGCCAGGCCAGTCAGGAGTCAAATCAAGTTAGGTCAGTGAGGAGTCCAATCAAGTTAAGTCAGTCAGGAGTTAAATCAAGTCAAACTAGTCAGAAGTCAAATCAAATCAAGTAAATCAAGAGTCAAATCAAGTCAGGTCAGTAAACGAGTCAAGTCAAGTCAGGTCAGGAGTCAAGAAAAGTCAGATCAAGTCAGGTCAAGATTTAGATCACGTCAGGATTTAAGTCAGGTCAGAAATTAGGTCAAGTCAGGATTCAGGTCAGGTCAAGTAAGGATTCAGGTGAGGTCAGGAGTCAGGTCAGAACAAGATATTTTGCTTAAAGACTTCTTTGGCAAGTCAAATTGGTCGACAGAAAATGATGGGGGTCCTAAGACAGGTCAAATAGTCGACAAAAATGATGGAGGTCCTAAGACATGTCAAATTGGTCAACAAAAACTGATGGGGGTCCTAATAGAGGTCAAATGTCAGGTCAATTACGAGTCAAATCAAGTCAGGTCAGTTAGGAATCAAATCAACTCAGGTTAGTCTGGAGTCAAAACAAGTCAAGTCAAGTAAATCAGGAGTTAAATCAAGTCAGGTCAGTCATGAGTCAAATCAAGTCAGGTCTATCAGGAGTCAAATTAAGTCGCATCAGGGGTCAAATCAAGTCAGGTCAGTTAGAAGTCAAATCAAGTCATGTCAGTTAGGAATCAAATCAAGACATGTCAGGTCAGGAGCTAGAATGGGTCAGGTCAAGATTTAGGTCAGGTCAGAAATCAAGTCAGGTTAGATCAGGCCATTTTTCTCAAAAACTGCTTTGACAAATATTTTTATTTTAGATAAATGGGCCAAAAGTCAGGACTCAGTAGTGGGGTTAGGTCAGGTTTTAGGTTAGGTCAAGAGGCAGGTCAGGTCAGGTCAGGAAATAGGTCAAGTCAGGAGATAGATTAGGCAAATCAGTCTTGAGATCAGGTCAGGTCAAGATTTAAATCGGTCATACCAGGAATCGGGTCAGGTCAGATTAGATCAGATCAAGTCAGGTCAATTAGAAATCAAATCAAGACAAGTAAGTCAGTAGTCAATTCAACTCAGGTCAGTCAGGAGTCAAACCAAGTCAGGTCAATTATCAAATATCAATCAATAAGTCAGTAGTCAATTCAAGCCAGGTCAGTCAGGAGTCAAATCAACTAAGATCACTCAGGAGTCAAATGAAGTCAGGTCAATCAGGAGTCGAATCAAGTCAGGTCAGTTAACAATCAAATCAATTCACGCTAGTCAGGAGTCAAATCAAGACAAGTAAATCAGGAGTTAAATCAAGTCAGGTCAGTCAGGAGTCAAATTAAGTGGCGTCAGGGGTGGGATTTTGTTTCTACAACGATAAAATATCGGTACCGATAAAATGTGGTCATCTTTTTCTTTCGCATCTGAAATTTATATTTTCATCCTTGTCATTTATCGCTTCGTTATCACTTCGTATAGTATCGCTAGAAACAAAATCCCACCCCAGGAGTCAAATTAAATAACGTCAGGGATCAAAACAAGTCAGGTCAGTAGTCAAAGATCAAATCAGGCCAGGTCAAGATTTAGGTTAGGTTGGAAATTAAGTCAGATCAGGATTCAGGTCAGGTCAAGGATTCTGGTGAGGTCAGGAGTCAGGTCGGATTAGGCAATTTTTCTTAAAGACTTCTTTAGCAAGAATTTTATATTTTGAATAAATGGGCCAAAAGTTAGGAGTGAGAAGTCGGTTCACGTCTGATCTGACCACAAGTTAGATCAGCAATCAGATCAGATCAGGTCAGGAGACAGGTGAAATCAAGATACAAATGAAGTCAGTAGACAGATCGGATCAATAGATAGGTCAGGTCAAGTCACCCTTGAAATCAAGTCAGTTCAAGATTTAAATCATAAAATGACAGGAGTCATGTCAGGAATTACATCAGGTCGGATCAGGTCAGGAATCAAGTCAAGTCAAAAATTTAAGTTAGATCATGGTTTTTTTCTCAGCCTCCTTTGGCAAGAATTTTGTATTACAAAAAATGGGCAAAAGTAGTTTAGACAGAATTCCCTCGCCCCTTAGCGAGAAATCCAATTTCTTAGATAAACTATAAGATTCGATTTTATGAGTTCCCAAATTTTTGTTAAAATATATTCGAATAAATTGATCATTCATTAATGCTAAGCATGAACAAACTACATAAATAATGGGTGCTCAATTGATGAAGTAATCAAGTTGGCGTTACTTTTTTGATGGAAGAAAAGGTAGCGAAAAATACATGCGTTTAATTAATCCATACTGTTGTGAATTTCCGCGTTGTCAGCTGTCATCGACCAAATTTTGGATTAATTGTAAACATACTTCTCAATGTTTACAAAAAATGAAGGCGAACTTGATGACTTTTTCATTAGAACACCCAATATGCACCTACATAAGTTTGTAAATCTGAACATTTCAAATGAAACTGACGACCAAACTTTGAGATTACGTCATTAATTTGTTGGAAGCGAGAAATTTACTACGTCTATGATATATATTTATTGTACAACTTTATTTCTTCTTTTCTTTCCAAAATTAAAATTGGGCGATTTTTAAATACGATTTACTTGACAAAATTTTGAGATGACGTCATAAAATGTTTGATGGGGATGATCAGACACATGTTGGACAGCGTTTCACCATACGCAGTATGCTTAAATTAGTTTGAAAATTTCACAAGCAGTCCGGTAGTTCCAAGGTTTATTTGTGTAGTAGAATCGCCAACAGACAGACGAAAACAGGAGATCTATTTTTTCACATTCCAATAGTTAACTTATCTTCGTCGGAAAATAAACATCCGTAGACAATAGTTCTGACTTAAACTGACCTGACATGAATGATTTGAAGCGCTCTCATGACCTACTGGTACATTACCAACAAATAAAACCAGGAATATGGAAACAACGGAAATACCAATAAAAACCGACCAAACGAACGGTACGCCAACCATAAAAACCACACACATGCACCCAGTCGTCACCGCTGCAAATCTCCGTCCCGGTCAATAAGAACCGTACCAATTTACAATTTATTTTATTCCCCATTAAATATTAATGGTATAATAGTTACGCACTGATAAGACCGAATTGGTCAGAAGGAATTCAGTGTAGGTGTCGAACCGCCTACTCCAAAAAATAGGTATAGAAAAACGCTTGTTGAATAAACAACACTCGAATTAATGAAGAACCAGCCGTTGACCCTTTGAGAAGATCACCCAACTCCAGAAACAAAGCCCGCGACTGCATCCTCGGACTACGCTTCCCGCCAACAATTAATCCGCTAATTAAAACTGTGGGAACCTGAATGTCAATACATCCGCTTCACCCTCGATAACGCTGCAAAAGGTCACAACCATCCAACCAAAAAATCGCAACCTTTCGCTCTTCCTTCGAATCGAACTGGAAAGTGTGACGCTCTGCACCTTTATCACTGTCGGTTTTGCGTTGGTTGATAATGTTGAGTAGTTAGCGATAATCAGGACTCAAGGTTGCAACAATGCGACCAAATTGATTACCTTTATATTGATCCACGTGCTTTTGGTCGTAGATGTTCATGGTCTTGTAAGGGTTGACGGAGACGCAGACTTCTCCGATGTACGTGTAGATCTTCCCATTTTTAAACCTGGAACAACCCAATAAATTGTTTAAATTTAGGAGTTATGAGGTTGTTGAGTTTCGTTGTTCACTCAATTGCATTGGAAAAACTCGTATTTATAGATTTATGGCGTCCGATGCACCGTATTTTTAGTTTCAAGGTGTGAGAACGCGTCGCTAATTAACGTGTAATTGATTTAAACGGTCGCAGGAAGTATTTTCTCGCGGAAAAAACACTTCCAGGTCATTATGCTGATTGTACTAATGGAAACTTGTATTGTCTTGGCGATCTAAATTTCCTCATTTCCTTCCTAGTAGGTAATGGGTTTTCGAAAATCTTACTAGTTTAAACACTCTTATCGCTGAGTCAATACTCAACCATTTCCTCTGCGAAAACAAAGCACAGTAAGGCATGTAATAACGAACATTACGCAAATCCAGCTTTCACTTAGCCTAATTGTACTTATTATTTAATGCAGGCACCTGGTCGCAATGCCATGAAAAATCCAACAATGTATCCAATCAAGGTATGTTAATTGCAACTCAAATAGAAGCAAATTAAAACCCGTACACCTGTGCCATTCTTTTTTCGTGCATGATAAAACCTGATTGAAATTACTTGGGTCACTGTTTATTTCTGAAAGTGTTTTCCACGCCAAAAAAGCAACGACAACACGTCATCTGCTCGCACAAAAACCAGATACAAGTTTAGTGTTTCCGCTAGTTTTTTTAATTGGGCTGCCATAAAAGGATCATAAAAACAATGTAAAAGGAATTTAGTGAATTAACGCCCAATCAAAGCGCTTTCTTTTCTAGTTGAATCGATATGGGCGGAGTTTCTTTTTGTGTTGGTGTCTTCGATAAAATAAGACACGTATTTATAGTTTACTGTTAGCGATTTTTAATTTTATGCTTCAAGCTATCTAGAGTTAGGTTCGTGTGTTTCGACCTGAACATTGGCAATTGTTGAAAAATACATTCGTAGCTTTAATTTCAATTTTAAATTTAAATCGTAACCTCAATTTTCGTTTAATATTTATGGCTTAATAAAGCAGTGGAAGCTCTTTATGGCGGTTTTAAGGAGCGCCGGGCTATTTCAAAATTTGTGTTTATTTATCGTGGTTTTAACAACAGCAATAACCTCACGATAACACGAAAATAACCAATAACGGGCTTTATTAAGACAGAAAATTAAAAAAATTGGGTTTTGTTTAAACAATATTGATAAATGCATTAAACTGTATCTAACTTATTGACATCAATCTTAAAATTACAAGTTTATAAGTTATCTTGAGACCTAAAATGTGTTTTAATCCCCACAAAAATGTGTAGATATATAAATTCCGTTTTATATAATCGAAGATAAAAACACGAAGTAACTTGAGACACAAATATTCGTCGATAAGAATTTTTTTAAAGTAGATATAATTTTATATCACGAAGATTTTATTGTTGTACTTAGCATACTTACGAAAGTGAGCTATGAAATTTTTTTAGATGACGGCATCAGTTTTTTGCAGATGATTACAAACTTAACTTGATTGACACCGTGACACTAATGATAACGTTACTGTGTTGTCGCAATTTCAGAAAAATCGCAGATTATGGATGCATGTATTTGTAAAATTACGTAGCCAACTGCAAGCACGTAATTTTTCGAACCGTACAATTATGCGTTTAATTTTTCGGCATACTTATGAAGTATTATTACGAGGTAAAAGTATACTTATTATGTGAACAATAGGAAATAATTTAAAGTGAAACCTACAAGGAAACATATGAATAAAACGTCAAACACACAGTTTGATAAGATCAATCTTTCATTTCAAAATTTATCGCTGCATGTTTTTAAGCTTTGTTTATTTATAACAATAGCAATCTTGTGTGTATCACTGTTCAAAAAATGTGATAACATCTGTAAAGTTATTTTTTGTTGCATTTCATTTTATTATATTTAAGCAACAACTCTGTAGCTAAGACTTATTAATCCGACAACACAAAGAGTGTTCATTACTGTTATCGGGGAATTACAATTTCTACTATTGTCATAACTAAATTCCCCTAAACGTAAATGTCAAACATCATAAACACCTTCAAACTATAAAAAGTCGACCCTCATAACTTTGACATAACCACATAAACCAATAACAACTCCATTGACATCTTATTCCTTCCCATAATTTATTTATTTACATTAAAGTTTATTTCCATGTCAACAGTTTTTTCGCTTTATTGCTGCTCTTTATAGCCTGTCACTGATTTCCCTCACCCCCTCAATCAATCCCACGAACTCGTCTACATCAAGATGTCACTTTTATCGCTCTTTAATTTAATGCATTTCTTATTTTATAATCTTATCACACACAAGAAAATTCTTGCAAAAACGAAAAACAATCCACTTAATGAGTGTGATGACATCATTCGTGAAAATTATGAATCAGAAAACAAATCTAGCCAGCCGTGACTAAAGCATAAGCCACACGACACGTTTCGGACGTCACACTTCTTCAATGTTCGAAAAAACACTCAAGAGTGTTATTGGCGTAATAAAGTTGGATTATTGTCTTCATTAAAGCTAATTTGATGCAAATGAGTCAGTTTTTAATGAACTGTCATCCGTGTGTTCATCAAAATAAAAAGAATAGACAAGTTATGGTTTGTCAGCATTTTCCGTCGGGCGAGCTCGGCAGCCGGAGTCGGCGGGTCGCCAACGGTCGAGACTGTCCGAGCAACACCGACGCGGTGACGGGAGGGAGAGGAATACACTTGTGTTCGGATGCTGATACACGATGATTGCGTTTTAAAAGAATAAACTGCTAAATTCTGCGTTTGGTTTCTTTTTCCTAAAACTGTGCTGACATCAGAAGTGGGATTCTTTAAACCCTTGCGTGCACTTGTACGACAATGCCGAAAGAGCAGCGACGCCATAAAAAAGACAAACGGCGACGTTCGCGCCGGAGTGAATCTAGTGATGGTGCAAGTGGGTCTCGTTCACGGCATGAGCGGCGGCAAAAGCACAAGAAGTTGCGGGAACCGACTCCAGAACCACAACTTGCGAGACGGCACCGCTTGCGAGCTCACTCGAGGACGAGGAGTGGCGACAGTCCTGGTCGCAGCAGTCCTGGTCCTGCTTCTGTTTCGCAAATCAGTGAGGCTATAGCAGCTGGGTTTGGTAAGCTGGCAGAGCAGGTGGAGGTGCGTGAGACTCGCCAGCAGGTAAGTGGGATCCCCCTTTCTACGGCCGGCAGCATTATTGCCGAATTCGATCCTTTAGAAAACGATGTTGACGAATGGTTAGAGTCGATTGGTGAGTACGCTCAAATTTATAATTGGGACGATAGGACAACGTGTCATTTGGCGTTGAGCAAACTAAGAGGCCCAGCGCAAACGTGGTATCGGACACTGCCTAGTAGAGTGTTTACGTGGCCCGAATGGCATGACATACTGTTACGAAATTTTCCACCAAAGCGCGATCTCCATAAGGCGATTCAAATGATGATGGCGTACACACCAGAGCAGTGTAAAACGCTCTACGAATATACGTTTAATAAACTTGCGCTAATTAATAAGCTAAAATTAAATATTAACCCCGTTGATCGCGTAAATCTAATAATGGGTGGAATTTGTGACGAGCAAATTAAATTCTCGGTCCAAGCTGCAGGTATTACGGACCCAATTGTTTTAGCAGGACATTTAAAAACCATCGATGATCGAGTACTTGCAACGCAAACCGCAACCCGGCACGTTTCTCACATTCCAGCGACGCGAGCTCCAGTTTCATCTATTTATAGAAACCCAAAACAAACGTCATCTCTTTCGCGCAATGATACGGCTAATAAGCCGGTCCTCGGCCCAACTTGTTTTAACTGCGGAAAATCCGGTCATTTCCGTCGATTTTGCCCTGGTAAAAACCAACAAGCGTCCAGACAGCCACCACTATTGGCCATCGAGGCAAAAAAGTCCGTGAATTTTGTTGGTACCAATCCAAACGAGAAATATTTCAAAACTATCATGATCGAAGGTCACCAAATAAAATGTTTTGTCGATTTTGGAAGCGAGTGTTCGCTGATGAGTCAGGAGGCGGTTGAAAGGCTTAAAGTGGCGGCGCTGCCTTTGGACACGGCCGTGGTTTTAATGACTCTCGGCGGGCATAAAATTTCTCCAAGCGGCTGTGTAGCAGCAAATGTAACGATCGATGGCATCAACAAAAATTTGCAATTTTATGTCGTCGAAAAGTGTGTTATGGGCGTTGAAATTCTGATTGGCCAGAATTTCACCGACTTGTACGATATTATATACGTTAAAACAGGGAACACGTTGATCTTTTCCCAGGAAACAAATATACCTTGCAATATTAACGCGATTCGCGAAACTGCGTTGAATGTAGGTATTTCTGACAGTGACGCTGTCACAAAGTTGGTTTCGCTAATAGACCAATATTCTGTTTGCACTGCTGCAAACTTGTCGCAAATTGGTATTACTTCTACGGTGCAAATGACCATTGAGTTAACGAGCTCCCAACCAATCGCTCGACGACCGCGTCACTATTCCGATTTTGAACGGGAACAGATCCGCGATATAGTTGGTGATCTACTTAAAAATGGTGTTATTCGGGAATCGCATTCACCTTATGCAAGTAGCGTACTACTGGTCAAGAAAAAGTCTGGCGAACTCCGTCTATGTGTGGACTATCGTCCCCTTAATAAGGTAACTATTAAAGATAAGTATCCTCTACCCTTAATTGAGGAACAACTAAGACGTCTGTCAGGGTTTAAATATTTCACAACTCTTGACTTATTTTCTGGATACCACCAAATACCAATGGCCCCGGAATCCATCCCTTTGACCGCCTTTGTGACCCAGGACGGGCATTATGAATTTCTACGCGTCCCTTTTGGTCTCACCAATGCGCCAGCTGTATTTATGCGGATGGTAAACACTGTATTAGGTCAACTAAGATTCACTAAGGTTCTTTGTTATTTAGACGATGTCTTGATTCCAGCTCATTCTGTTGAGGAATCGTTGGCAATTTTACAAGAGGTACTTGAGATTCTCAAACAAAATGGGTTAACTTTAAAACTGTCAAAATGCTTTTTTCTGCTCACAAGTATTGAATATTTAGGTTACGAGATTAGTGAGGCAGAAATTCGGCCGACTCGGCGTAAAATAGAGGCGGTCCGGAATTTTCCTGTGCCCACCGATGTCCATCAAGTGCGGCAATATTTGGGACTTACCGGATATTTTAGAAAATTCATCGTGGACTATGCGGCGAAATCGAGACCCTTGACTTCCTTACTGCATAAAAATACTGTTTGGTGTTGGGGCCAGTCTCAAGCCACCGCGTTTGAGGTCCTCAAACAGTGTCTAACTTCGGAACCCGTACTTGCCTTATTTAATCCGAATTTGGATATTAAATTGTATACGGACGCCAGTAGGTTGGGCGTGGCTGCTATCCTGACGCAGACAAGTGGGCAAGCTGAAAAAGTGGTAGCGTATTTTAGCAAACACACAAGTCCTAACGAACAAAAGTACCACTCGTTTGAGTTGGAGGCCCTTGCAATCGTGGCGGCTGTACGACGATTTCGGCAATATTTGCTGGGCAGGACGTTTACCATCATTACTGATTGCGCTGCGGTTAAAAACGCATTTGTTAAGAGCGATCTTAACGCCCGTATCGGTAGATGGGTTTTAGAACTTAACGAATATCGGTTTAATATCGAACACCGGAACAATGGTCGTATGCAGCACGTAGATGCGCTCAGTCGCAACTTACCACCTTGCGAATGTAATGTAAACATCACCGTCATCAGCGAGGAAGACTGGCTGTTAGCAGCTCAACAGTCGGATCGGGAGATCATCGAAATTAAGAACATTTTAGAAACGGGCGATCGCGAAAATAATACTGATATCTTTAATAATTACGCGTTAAAAGGCGGAAAAGTGTACAAAAGTACCGGACGAGGCCTACGGTGGGTAGTTCCCAAAGCTGCGCGGTTCCAAATCCTACAGATGGCCCATGACGATTCCGGTCATTTTGGGTTTGACAAAACCGTAGAGCTAGTATCAAACAAATATTGGTTCAAAAAAATGCGTCGGTTTACCCATAAGTACATCAATAATTGTCTGAACTGTCTATATTTTAAACTCCCAGGTGGGAAGCGACAAGGTAGTCTCCATCCAATCCCAAAGGTACCAGTACCGTTTCACACAATTCATCTCGACCATTTGGGACCATTCATTAAGACCAAATCGGGAAATACTCAATTATTGGTCGTCGTCGACGCATTCACAAAATATGTCCTTCTTTACCCGGTAAAAAGCACAAAGACTAAATTCGTTATTAAATCACTGCGAGATATGATTAAATTTTTCGGGGCACCCCATAGAATAATTTGTGATCGAGGCAAAGCCTTTACCAGCGACGCATTTCAGGCTTTGTGTAATGAACTAAAAATAAAATTACACTTCAACGCGGTCGCCATGCCCAGGGGAAACGGGCAGGTAGAGAGGTATAATCGTACTATTCTTAATTCCCTGGCAACAATGGGCGCCGATTCCTACGACGACCGTTGGGATAAGAATATTTCTAATCTTCAATTAGGCCTTAACGGAACGTTAAATCGAGCAATTGGAGTTTGTCCCAGTGAGGCTCTTATGGGTTTTAGAGTTGTTTCACAGAGATTGTTACAGCCAGAAGAACCCGCCATCGTCGACGTCACTGACATTCGAAACCAAATAACTGCGCGTACAATCAAGGACCAAGCTGCTCAAAAGTCTCGTTTCGACCGTGTTCGAACTGCTGGTCAACCATATCAGGAAGGAGACCTGGTGCTGATCCGTCTAACCAGCGGCCCTGCAACCGGAACTAGCCGAAAGTTACTGCCCAAGTGGCGTGGCCCATTCCGAGTTACCAAAGTTCTCGGAAATGATCGGTATGAAGTCGCAGACATACCGGGAGCAACCAGGTCCAAGTTGCAGTACCATGGAGCGGCCGGCATCGACAATATGAGGCCATGGGTCGTGTATGGGTAAGGTAGTACGGTTCAAATCGGGAGTAGTCCATGGTGATTGGCGCTACTCGCATTTGGCCGGCTTGTGGATTGTTGATGCTCGCTGATTCAGGCTTGACCAGAGGTTTCTGTGTTTGATAGTCTGGTGGGTGGCAGAGCTGGGTGACGATCACACAAGGTGTAGTTTTAGTTTTGTTTTGCGTTATTATTAAGTATTATGTTCATTTAAAAATTAAGCTTCCTTCTATGCGTTACATTTAATATTCGCCCTCATTTGTTTTGTATTGTATTCTTGCATTATGTAAGTTTGGCCAAATTTACCCTGTTTTCTTCCAGTTACCGTCCACGGCAGACAGGCAGCTTGCTTTCTGATTTATATCTTTAATGTAGGAGAAGTGACGATCAAAGTCTAAAGCCTGTTTGTATGAGTTTCAGTCCGAGGACCTGAACTGAGGTGCCCATATCCGTCGAGTGAGGACACTCTCCATGTCAGGAAAGGCCGTGTCAGCATTTTCCGTCGGGCGAGCTCGGCAGCCGGAGTCGGCGGGTCGCCAACGGTCGAGACTGTCCGAGCAACACCGACGCGGTGACGGGAGGGAGAGGAATACACTTGTGTTCGGATGCTGATACACGATGATTGCGTTTTAAAAGAATAAACTGCTAAATTCTGCGTTTGGTTTCTTTTTCCTAAAACTGTGCTGACAGGTTGTATATATTTATGGAATGTCGTAAAGGCATTCACACATGGATGGAGGCGGCACATGTGTTCCAGACATGGGCGTACCGTTAGGGGTATTTTCACTATTTATTTAGTCGATGACTTAATTTCACCGATAAGAGATAACATAAGCCGCTTATCGCTGATTGATCGTCGATGTGGCATTATGAATAGATTATTTGATCGAATTTCCAGCGAAAAAGGAAAACCGGCCCGGTGTACCTAGTGAGTAATTATTCTAACAATCGAGTAGGCGTCGATCATATTAGTAATCACCGCCGCCTATGACCCCATAAATTCATCACCCATATAAAATCATCGATTACATAAAACAAACGAAAGTCACTTAATTCCTTCTTGAAAAAAAGGAAGAGGAAGCGTATTTTTAAAATATGACTCGTTACGCGGACGCAGCCGCATAATTGGCTGAAAATCGGCTAATTACAGCATGAAACTTGAAAAAATTCAAACTCCAACCGCAAAACCAATCGAATTATCGTCTTTGTTGTTAAACAAAAGCACCTGTCACCTGTCACTCCTGATGGCCCGCCCCGTCAACGGTTGCTAGATCAGGTAAAAATCGACTCACCTGAGCTCTAGATTTTTCATGAAATTTTCCAGGTCGATCTTGTCCAAAAGGACGAAATCCCCGACGCCCACTTCTCTGTGTGTTGCCATTTTTCTTCAGTCTTCGTTCTTCGATGTTCTTCTTTTTACGAAGACACGAACCGCATTCTCGACACCGGTTCTATGACTGATGATTCACGGCACACTCGATTTCATGCACCACACGTAGAGAAACGCACGTGAGTCAAGCAGCGACATGTTGTCCTTGTCGCGGGCTGCGATTGGTCGACGAGGCACGTCGGGGATAGCAGCACGCTGAGCGTTACGTCACTCAAAACCCTCGAAACGTCAATTCGGTAAGTCAAAAAGTGAGCAATTTTCGAAAAGTGGTGTCCGAAAATGCTGCGACAACGTTTGAGTGAGAAATACGCGGCGTTCCAGAGCACGCCGCTGTCGTCGTACGGACATAACCTCAAAAACGAGAAGGGCGAAAAGCCGTTTTTGAGCGAGTATAAATGGGGCATTGTGGGGCTAGTGGTGTCCTTTTTAGTGATTACGGCTAAGTTGTTCGCCGCGTACCGTAAGTGGTTTCTGGTTTAGGTTATGTTGTCATAGTGTTACCAACTTGGGTATTTCAGGTGATGACATCAAGGAGTTTGTGGTCGATCGGCGATTGTTTATCATAGAGATTATTAACGAAGATGGGAACGTTATGTATCACCATACTTGGAAGAATGTGGTTAAATATAGCAGTATTTGGGTACCAATTTTGTGTGGGGTGTTGACCACGTATTTTACATGGATGATGGTCTATTTGGATTCGCACACCCCGGGGGTGCAGCCCCCGAGCCCTCTTTCACCCACAAAATACAAGTAAGTTTGTGTGGTTGGTAACATTGTTGTTTTGACGTGTTGTTGTTTTGTAGGTTGAGGTCAGGGCATTCATTCCATCTGAACTATGTCTTCGCGGTCTTGATGGGGGTTTTAGTTACAGGGTATATGTATTGGAGAAATATCAGTATAGAGTACTTTTAAATGATTTATGGGTTTAGTGCTTAAGGAAATTATATATTTTTATATATTATTTAACGTGGATTTTTATGTAAGCAGCTGTTTTGCTTTAACGTAAAACTTTTATTGTAACTTTATTATTTATATTAAATGACGTGGAATATTAATTTATTGTAATAAATGTGTTGTAACAATTGGGACTTTTTTTACCTGAATTTTCGCAGTTGGTATTTAAAAGATTCGGTGTATTTTGACATTTGTTATTATTTCACAATATTACTTCAATTTTATCTACCTATCTACGTCTGAACACGTGTTTATTCATTTCAGATCAGTATAAACGCACGATGGAAGTGCTGAAAATATTTGAAGACAAATTTAAGCAGATAATTCATAACAACATCAAAAGTGTTTTACTGGAAAATAATGACGCCGAAGGTAGGTTTATTATTATTTTTTTTATTAATGATCACATGCAAACCACTTGTTCCGTACTTATAGTTTTATCGTTAAATATTACTCAGATACACACCAGTCGCCACAAAAAGAGGGCACCCCCGACCGCCCCTCGTCCCTCGCTTGCTCCTACTGCCGGACCCACTTCACCACCCTAAGCGAGCAACGCGACCACTTCAAGCTCGACTGGCACCGCTACAACCTCCGCCAGTCCCTCCTGCAAAAACCGCCAATCACTGAAGAGGAATTCGCCGAAAAAACCACCAAAGGTACGCCCACTCTACCTTAACCCCTCCTACTAACCCCCTTTTCCAGACGACCTCTCCAGCATCTCCGGCTCGGACTCCGACTCCGACAAAGAGGACACCCTGGACACTTACGCCACCGCCCAAGGCAAAATCTTCCTCCAAAACTCCGACGGCAAGGTCTTCTCGCTCTACGCCTGCCTCCTCCAACAAAAAAAAGTAAGTTGTAGCTCCGCCTCCACCCACTCTAACTCCTCCCGCAGCAGGAAGACCTACCCGAGAATCTGCACTCGCGCCTCCATTCCTGCTGCGTCACGTCGCAGAAGTGGGCGGTCTTGATGCTAGGAGGCGGGCACTTCGCAGGCGCCATTTTCGACAAGTACGAGCCAATCGTGCACAAGACGTTCCACTGCTATACGGTGAGGGCGGGCCAGGGCGGGGCGCAGTCGTCGCGCGACAACAAAAGTGGCGGGACGCACCCGAAGAGCGCGGGGGCGTCGCTGCGTAGGTACAACGAGCAAGCGCTGATGCAGCACGTGCGCGGGATCGTAGAGGCGTGGCAAAGCGAACTCAATGGGTGTGGTTTAATTTTCTACAGGGCGGCGGGGCCGTACAATAGGTCGGTGTTGTTCGGGGGCGGAGCGCCGCTGTTCGACAAGGAGGACCCAAGATTGAGGAGTGTGCCGTTCTCGACGAGACGGGCGACGTTCGCGGAGGTGAAGCGGGTGCATTCGGTGCTCACTCTAGCGCACGTTTATGGTAAGTTTTTTAATCACAATAAACATATTTTTGATTGTTTTGACGGTAGAGAGTCTGGAGGCGGCGGTTGAGTGTTTTACGCGCCACAAAGTTAACGAACAGAACACCAAACGTTCGAAGGCGAAGACAACGTGTATTGATAGAGCGAAGTCCCGAGAAACCATAGAGCGCCCTCTACCGGTTCCTCGAGTGTCTGAAAGTTCCGAAGAAAATTTTAAGCGCCCTCTGGCGGTCGCTCCAGTTTCGGAAAGCTCCGACGAAGACGTGGATCTTCTGATGGAAAACCAGCAGATTTTTCTCGAGGATTCGCTTCAAGAGTTTGGAGATTCGTTGACGCCGAAGCAGAGGCAACTAAAGAAGAAGAAGAAACCGAAGAAGAGTAAAGCGAAGAAGTTGCAAGAACAAGAGGAACATCGCAAAAAGGAGCTCATCGACGTTCTAAGTACAGGCAACATCGACAAACTATCGCAACTTCTGGAGAATTTCTTGAAGGTTAGTGACAAGAAGGAAGATTTCGTGAATGAAGCAATCGATGATCAAGGGAACACACTCTTGCACGTAGCCGCACTAAACGAACAACAAGAAACTCTAGACTTTCTTCTGAAGAATGACGCAAATCCATGTCTTAAAAACCAGAAGCAACAAACCGCGTACACTTGTACACAGAGTAAAGATATTCGAGAAGTCTTGAAACAGTTCGCTCGAGATTTCCCGGACAAGTTTAATTACAATAAAGCTCAAATTCCGACGAATGTGTTAACACCAGAGGAACAAAACGAAAAGAAGAAGGTGCAGCGGAAGTTGAAGAAAGAGAAGGAGAAAGTTAAGCGGAAGGAGAACGAAATTAAACGCAAGGAAGATTTAGAGAAGGAACGATTTCTTAATTTGAGCGACAGGGAAAAGAGGGCGCTGGCTGCAGAACGCAGGATTTTAAGTCAAGCGGGTACTGTGATCAGTAGGTGTTTCTTGTGTGCAGCGGATATGTCTGGGAAAGTACCGTTTGAGTACCTAGGGAACAGATTTTGCTCCGTTGACTGTTTGAAAGCGCACAGGATGCAAAATCCAGTCGTGTTGTCATAGACTACTTCAAAATAAATTATTTATACATAACCTAAATAAATTTTGTCATTTCGTCTGTGTAATTCTGGTTTTCTGACGTTTCTGTTCAACATGGCGCAGGTTTGTTCAATAAAAGACTCGTTTGTATTGTCATAGAAGTCAAACTTTTTATTTATATAAATACATGTAAAAGAAAAATACTCAAAAGGATAGAAGACTACAAAACCGAACTAAGTACTTTAAATGCGAGGGTCTTTTCAACTTCCTCGAAGCTGAACGACCCCGGATTGTCCTTAGGAAGTCGTTTATTAAATAAAAGTTCTATAATTCTATAAAAATACTTCAAAAACAATTCGTCTAACAATTCACAGCAAACATTTAGTAACACCGTTGGTCCTTTGGTAGAAAATTACAAAATTACTCGTGTTTCAAAACAATAACACCAACCAAAACGGGAGATTAGTGGAGGTTTACTAACTTCACACAAACGTGAAAGACTAGAAAGGTACAACAAAAAAAAGTGCCCTGTAGCTGTATCACCAACATGTACTTAGGTAACTAATAACTTTCATAAGAATTTTACTCTGGCAATTTTGGACTCATCACAGGTACAATAAAGTCTTCCATATTTGGTATCACCATTAATTTCTGAAAATAAGCAAACGCCATTGATGTTAGCTCGCTTTCTGTATACTTACTTGGAACTCCAAAAGCAGCTTCTTCTCAATCCAGCTCGTGATGCGGAGGAATGTAATGTTTCGTTCGCCCACAATAGGGTGCGCCGTCAGCGCCAGAGTCGGCGTCGGCCTGAACCCCACCCAAACCCTATCACTAGGAGGCGGCGGCACGTTCAACACCAAAGTACCCACCAACTCCTTGACATCCACCTTCAACCCCAGCTCCGTATTCGACACCTCCTCCATCGCCCTCTTGATATACTTGTTCTCAGTAGCGGCCTGGAAGAACTTCGACTCGGCAATTTTATCCACCATTTTGATGAACTTCTTGCTCGTGTTGCTCGTTCCACCGAGACCTTGGACGGGCACTCCTGACGCGTCCAAGGCCGCCGGGTACTGGTTATTCTGGAACGGACAAATCGCTTCTTCGTCCGACGTGCTCTCGGCGGAGTCCTCCACGTCCGAGTGGAACATGGCGGGTTTGTCGGTGGGTTTGTCCGCGTCTGCGCAGTAACAGGAGTGGTGAAGGTCTCTGATGGACGCTGGAGGGCAGGCGGGATTGGAGGACGGGGTCAAGGTGGTCGGTAAACTGAGATATGGAAGCAATGTGGGGCAAAATCGTACAAATATATGACCGAACAAGTCGGCTATGAAATTTAGTTATAAATTTGTGATGTTGGCAACACCAAAGCAAATGTCAGCAGATAGCGCGAATTTTGAGGTTAGTTACGATTTTGTGTATCCACGTCCCCCAGGTCCTTACCGTGCGGATGCGGCTGCTTCAACTTCATCAAATTCAGCTTCGTCTGCAGAATTAGCACCACCAGCCCGTCGTAAGTGATGTCCAGGTCGATCCACAGCCCCCTGTCGTCCATCATCGGCTTAGTCGCCCTGTGGATCAGCGGCGGCATTTGCCCCAAATTTAACTCCGTCACCACTAACCCCTCGATGAAATACGGAAGCTTAATGGAAGAGAGTTTCCTCTGGATCTTGTCCTTGACTCTCTGTGTGAACGTGTCGTCCCGTAGACAGTCGAACAACACCCTGCCTACAAAAGCGTTGATCCACTGCACGTCGGCGCAGGGTAGTTCATCCCCAGATTCGTCGTTCTTGTCCTTTTGATACGACTTAGCCTGTAGAAAACATAAATGAGAGAGTTGGAAGGTTGGCGGCGACGCTTGAAAGGTATGTAGGACGGGACAAGGACCTTTGGGTTTTCCACATTAGAACACTCAGTCACCTTCTTAAAAATCAACATGTATTTGGCGTAGTCTAGCTCTTTGGCTGCCTTGTCGAGCAAGGTGTGGGATATTGCGCGCACGGTGGTCGTGGGGGTGACGGGTAAGTGCGCCCCCCGATGGGTGGCGGCTTTCAGTCTGCGAAACCAGTCTTCTTTTTCTCGGTCGGTGCGTCCGAAAAGGTACAGCTTGGTGGTGGAGGGGCTGTCATCCTACACAATACTTGTTATCCCCACCACTACTTAAGTTAAGCGAACTTACCTCAGGTGGCGTGAAGGTCCCCCAGTCGTCCAACCCCTCCACGTCCTCGTCGAACACGTCCTCGTGCTCGTCGTCCTTAGTACTTTCCTGAAAAGCATCATCAAGCGCTTTTTCCTCCTCCGCTTTTTCCTAAAATGGACATTCAAACATGCACCCACGTCCGGAGCCCCCGCTTACCGAATCGTCCTGCGACAGCGGCGACGGAGTGCTCGCTCGCGACGTCTCCGAGTCCAAATCGAACTCCTCGTTCTCCTCACTCAACTTACTGAACCTCAAAGTCTGCGACCTCCGTTTCTTCACAGCGACGTACCTCTTTGGTTTCTGGGCTTCGGGGTCCTCGTCACTCTTACTAGGTAGCGGAGGTTGGGGTACCACCGTCTCGAACTGCATCTGGTTTTTGCGCAAAGTCACACAAATGGGGTACTTTTTGCTCCAGTGCCTCTTCTTGGCTAGACCTTCGGGTAATAGCGACACTTGTGCACCTAGTAGGTTATAGATCCTGTGATGGGTGAATACTGGTTTGACTTTGGGTTCGTTCCAAAGCGCCCTCTTTGCGACCTTGCTTCTAGTGTGACTCACCCGTAACAGGTTACCTTGTAAACGCAAATAAACCGACTGAGTCTGACTTATGTGGTAAGTGTGCGGGTTGTAAGTGTCCGGGAACTCGTTGACCCAACCCTGAAGGTTATTTAACATTTTACGCGCAACTGTAGTAATAATCGTGCTTTTACCGCACTCACCTCGTACTTCGTCAAAGGTTGGAACTCCTGGACCGCCGGGACTTGCAAAATCTCCGGCGGAGGAACAAAGCTGGTTAAATAAGACGGCGTATCCAACAAATACTTCAAATAATAAACAACAACAGTAACAGCGACACCTATCGTAATCCCGGCCAAGTAAGTCGAGTAGTTGTGTATGAGCAGATACGTCACGACGAAAGCCACGCCCACCATAACCGGCCTACAACCACGCAAACCAATCAAAAACACCCACGCTGACACTCGTCGGCTTACCTAAGCACACTAATCTTCGCCGGTTTGGGTTTGACCCTGAAATCGACGTACCCCACCGGCGCGAACACGGTTTTCGGGGTTTTGGACGCCCAGTGGACCTCCCGGACCTCGCTGCCGCTCACCTCCTTGATGTTGATCACGTTCTCGGCGTCTAGCTTGATGTTGTCGTAGTCGTGCTCGAGTGCTGTCAGTACTTTGTCCTCGGCGGTGGTTTGCAGATTGGCGTCCTCTAGGGCGTCCACGGCGCTCTCGATCTCCGTCTCTTCGGGAAGGGCCTGCTCGATTTTGTCGGTGTTAATGTTGTACAGACTGGTGAGGTTGCGCCGGGTGACCGTTCCTTCTTTGTTGGCTGTTTTCTTGAGAAGACGGAAACGCTGGCGCAGGCCGCCCCCGGAGGCGGCCAGTTTGGCTCGGTCTTCAGTCTTCTTGTCTTTTTCGATGGAGGGGGTGTCGTCGTCGCTCGACATCTCGGCGCCTAAATTTTGTATATTTGTTTGGTAAAATTTTGAGATGACGTCATCGATTTTTTGAGAGGGGATAAACGCATTTTGACTACAAATTTAATATAACAATCTGTCTAATAAAAATCGACACAGACGTCGGACAGCTGGACAGACAGACAAACGGAAACGGGAATTGTTTCGTACTCTAAAAGTCCATTTATAAACTCGTCGCTGACGTTGCTATTCGCCGTTGACTTGGGTTTTCAACCAATCAAATTGCGGTAGTGTGCAGTCCTGCCAACTTGAAGCAAAATCCCCTGAAGTAGGGGACCTTTTTGTGCCTTTGAACAACACAATACTCAAAAACATGTTTTTTATTTCTTGTGGATACGGATTTTGCAATTAAGCTCCGCCCTCTTGGCTCACGACGAATAAAAAAATAATTACAATTGAGATAGGGTGGGTGGGCGGGGCTACATTTTGCCTTTTTTTTCTTAATGTGTGTAGTCATCTTTTGACAACAAGAAGCTTAAAACATGTTTAAAACGGTAAATTTGTATAGGGGAATATCGATTTTGCAATTAGGCTCCGCCCCTCAGTTTGACAACAAATGACAAATTCATCACGATTGAGATCAGGACGAATAGGTGGGACTTCTCTTTTGGTTTTCTTTTTTAATATATTTCTCGTAGAAAAATAAGGACTTTACAATTAAGCTCCGCCCCCCAACTTACGACGAATAAAAAAAATCATCCGAATTGAGATTGGGCGGGTGGGCGGGGTTTATATTTTGCCTTTTATTTCTTAACATACATAGCCACATTTACACAACAAGAAACTTAGAACATGGTACATTTTTGCAAGGAAATATGGATCTTGCAATTATGAGGCGGAGTATTATTCCAAAATCCAGATTTCCTTATACAAATTTTCCATTTTAAACATGTTTTAAGTTTCATGTTATGAAAAAAAGTATATCTCTATTGTAATGATTTTTTGATTTCTTGATTTATCGAAATTTCGACGCTTCGATTATTATTATTATGCGATTCTTCAATTTCCCAATTTTTCGATATTTCCATTTTTTGACTTTTTTTTAGTTTAAAATTTTTCAATTTTTAATTTCTCGATTTCTCGACATCTCGGTCTTTTCATGTTTCAATTTCTCGAAATATCAGTTTTTCAATTTTTTGATGTTTCAATTTTCTAATTTTTTACATTTTCTATTTCTCATGTTTTCGATTTTTCGATTTTCGATTTTTACATTTGCAATTTTTTAATTTTTGGCATTTCTAACTTTTTTTTATTTTCCCATTTCTCGATTTCTAGACTTTTCGGTGTTTGATTTTCCAGTTTTTCAGTTCTTGAATTTTTCGATTTTCAGGTTTTTGATTCTTCAGTTTTTCCATATTTTAGTTTTGAGTTTTTCGATTCAAAGTCTATTTTTTTTAAATTCCGATTTCTTGGTTTTTCAATTTATCTATTTTTAAAATTTTTATCTTTCGATTTAAAATTTTTCAATTTTTCGATTTTCTGACGCTTCCACTTCTCGATTTTTCAGTTTTTTGATATTTTCAATTTCCGATTTCTCGATTTTTCAGTTTTTCAGTTCATAAATTTTTCTATTTTTCAATATTTCCAATTTTCAGAATTTTAAATTTTCCAATTTTTCGATTATTATAAGATTAGTTTTTAAATTTTTCAGTTTTTAATTTTTGTTTTTTAAATTTTCTAGTTTTTTCTATTTTTCAGTAAGTATTTTTCAACTTCTCGATTTTAATTTTTTTTATTTTTAGTTTTTGGATTTTTAAATTCTACAGTTTTCGATTTTTCGATATCTGAATGTTTCGATTTTTTGATTTTTCATTTCTCGATCCAGACTTTTTGAAGTTTCGATTTTTCAAGTTTTCGATTTGCTGAATTTTAGACTTTTTTCGACTTTAATTTTTTCGATTTTTTGAATCTTCGATTTCTCGATTCTTCGGTTTTTCGATATTTTCAATTTCCGGTGGCTCGATTTTTCGATTTTTCAGTTCCTCGATTTTTCTATTTTTCAATATTTCCAATTTTCAAAATTTTAGATTTTTCAATTTTTTGATCTTCTGATTTTTCAACTTCTGGATTTTAGATTTTCCGGTTTTTCAATTTTTCGATTATTGTTAAAATGTTGGTTTTTAAATTTTTCGATTTTTAAATTCTTCTATTTTTCGGTTTTTCAATTTTTTAATTTTTCATTTCTCGATTTCCAGGCTTTTCGATTTTTCAGTTTTTCGGTTCTTCAGTCTTTCGATATTTTCAGTTTCTGATTTCTCGATCTTTCAGTTCATCGATTTTTCTATTTTTCAATATTTCCAGTTTCCAAAATTTTAGACTTTCCAATTTTTTGATGTTTCAATTTTTCGGTTGTTGAGTTTCTCGGTATTTTCAGTTCTCGATGTCTCGATTTTACAATATTTCAAATTTTAGATGTTTCAGTTCATCGATTTTAATATTTTTCAGTATTTCGAATTTTCAAAATTTTATATTTTTCAATTTTTTGATTGACTTGATTTTCGACTTTTCGATTTTAGATTTACCGGTTTTTCAATTTTTCGATTATTAAAAAGTTGATTTTTAAATTTATGGAGTATTATTCCAAAATCCATATTTCCTTATACAAATTTTCCATTTTAAACATGTTTTAAGTTTCATGTTATGAAAAAAAGTATACACATATTACAACAAAAAGGCAAAAAGTAAACCCGCCCACCCGCCCTATCTCTATTGTAATGATTTTTGTAATTCGTCGTGAACCAAGGGGGCGGAGCTTAACTGCAAAATACTTATTTTTTTACAAGAAATTAAAAATGTGTTTTGAGTATCGTGTTGTGCAAAGAATACTGTGTATATTAAGAAAAAAAGGGAAAATATAAACCCCGCCCACCCACCCCATCTCAATTGTGATGATTTTTTTTATTTTTAGAAACTTAAAACACGTTTAAAATATGGTAAAATTTGGTAAGGCAGTATGGATTTTGCAAATAGGCTCCCCCCCTACGTTGGCAACGAATGAAAACTTCATTACTATTTAGATTAGGGCAGGTATGGGTGGGGCTTAATTTTTCGCTTTTTTTTTTTCTTAATATACATAGAATGCTTTGAACAACACGATACTCAAAAATATATTTTTAATTTCTCGTAGAGAAATAAGGATTTTGCAGTTAAGCTCCGCCCTCTTGGCTCACGACGAATAAAAAAAATCATCACAATAGAGAAAGGGTGGGTGGGCGGGGCCTATATTTTGCCTTTTTTTTTAAATATATGTAGTCGTCTTTTCAGAACAAGAAACTTAAAACATGTTTAAAATGGTAAATTCTTGTAGCAAATATGTATCTTGCAATTAAGCCCCGCCCCTTGAACTGACAGCGAATAAAAATGCATCACAATTGAAAATTGAGGTTGGGGCGGCTATGGGTGGGGCCTAATCTTTGGCTTTATTTTTTTCTTAATACACATAGTATTTTTTGAACAACACGATACTCAAAAACATGATTTTAATTTCTCGTAGAGAAATAATGATTTTGCAGTTAAGCTCCGCCCTTTTGGCTCACGACGAATAAAAAAAACATCACAATAGAGACAGGGTGGGTGGGCGGGGCCTATATTTTGCCTTTTTTTCTTAATATGTGTAGACTTATTTCGACAACAGAAAACTTAAAAACAGCTCTAAAAGCAACGTCAGCGGGAACTTCAGCGTTTAAAATTCCACTTAAGGGTCATGAAACTTCAAGAAAACACGAAAGTAGCCAGTCGTCCGATGGACTCGATTACTTTCTTAGCTTACGCTCATAGGTCCAAAGTTATTTAGTTAGAACTTCAAGCACAAATAAACAAAGACAGTTTCTTAGATAAATTATACTATTTGATTTTGCGATTTTTATTATGATAGACAAAGGAAAAGTCCAAAAAAGTCAATAAAAAAAAATACAAAAAAGGTGACTGAAAGAAAGCCGTAAGAAAAAATTAGACATAAAAAGATTACAAAGACTGAGAAAAAGTCAACAAAAAACGACGAATAAAAAAGGTGACTACAAAAAAAAACACAAATTTGAGACAACAAAAACTATAAAAACTAAGATAAAAAGAAGATGGCAAAATGAACAAAAATGGCCTCTTGTTTCTTTTTAAATAAAACAAAAAAAGTCCGCAAAAAAAACATTTAAAAAAAAAAGAAAAAAAGGTGACAAAGCTTTAAAAAAAAGCGATAAAAACAAAATCTTCAAAAAAAAGTAACGAAATTGGGACACAAAAAGGCGTCATAAACGGAGGTAAAAAGTTGAAATAAAATATAATTAAAAAAAAAAGGCGACAAAAAAGACGATAAAATAGGAGAACTAAAAACACCGTGAATCAAAACTCAAAGCGCATTCATAAACCACTAGTAGAATTTCCTAAGCAAAATCAAGGTGACGTCAAATTGTTGGTGGCGATGATCAGACAAATTTTGGTTAACGTTTTACTATCTGCACGATATTCCTAAAATACAGACGAAATTTGAGTCTGGTAGTTTTGGAAATTATTCGTCTAGTAAAAATCGACACAGACGGCAGACAGACAGACGATACAAAACGACAATTTCAAAAATCGAAAAACTGAAAAATAAAAAAAACTTAAATTTCAACACGGATTCATACACCACAAGTACAAGAGTTTCTTATTTTATAAAATTTATTTAAAAATTTCCAGTTAAAATTGGATGAAAAAAAATTAACTCAAGTTCGAAACGAGAAATCCGACTCACCTTCAGTTGTAGACACAATCCCACAAGTTTTCGATATACTGCTCTCCGATAATTCCTCCGAGTCCGAAACACTGGAATTATCTTTGCTATCCTTCACTATTCTACCCTTAAGAGGAGAACCTTCTTCCTGATTGCGTGACTTAATTTCTGTGATTTTATCTTCGACGCTTTTAGTGATTTTGCCCTACAAGATCTCAAATTGTACCCTCATTAAAAAAAAACAAACAAACTGAATTACTTTAATATCTGAAAAAAATCTCCATGGGTCGGATGGTGGGGAGGCATCTATGGTAGAGCTAGGGGTGATGTCTATACTCGTCGAACGCTTTACCAATCTAGGAAGGTACTTTAACGGACTACTGTCCGGTTCGTTGATTCCTAAAAACCACACCCAATATTTTACGACCAAAATTAAAAAATCTCACTCTGGTGTTTAAAAAAAGCGATCATTCAGAAGAGAAATTGACCGAAATTTTAACGAATTTGGCGATTGTGTGCGAAATGTCAAATGGCCAACTGTGTTTGCCCACGCGTCATTCAAATCTCTAAAAAAGGGGTAGCATAATCAAATAAATTTCCACCAACATCGTTAACTTTATTTTATTTCCAAACAAGCTCATCTTATTTAATGTGTTCATAAACACATCTTTAATTGCGGTAATAACAATAAATAAGAACACGGTATTATTTTAAATGAAATCTGCAATTCATATTAATAATTGCGTACTTTCAAACCGCACAACCAATCTTTACAATATTTGTTTCTTATACACACAATTAGTGTTCAGTTTACAGCCGCTATAAAATGGGAGATAAACCTCTCGTAAGTAGCGTACTTTTTCAATTTTTCCGCACATAATGGCCCCTAAAATCGCTAGCTTTAGACAACCGTCAATTTAATACGCCGGCCTTGACCACACTCATTATGACTAAATAAATACTATCTGGTTAATAATTGCTACCACGTCAAAATATCTTAATCACCCAATTGAAAACCAGCGAAACAAATTTCTATGAAATCAATCAATCACCAGATTGCAACACTCTTTCACGGAATTAATTCCTTGCGCAATCCACTATCTACACAAATACCTGTGGCCCCCGCGGACGCCGTTGACAGCTCGTTCCCCGTGTGCTCCTCATCGCTGGCGTAGAGCTCCTCCAACTGTTCGGCATTGGCGTGGAACTTGATGGAAATAGTCGGGACCGAAGTCGTCACCGGCTTACCTAAAAAAACGCCCGTAATCCGCGATTTCTAGACAACGTGCTGCTAAAAACGCCACAATGTGTCTACAAAGCACTAACAACAAGTGATAAAACTAGAAAAAAGTGTCACAATACACGACATATACCTTTTACCTTTTAACATTCCTAATGTAATTTTACCATCAGTTTTTTTACTCATAGTTACAGGGTGTTAGTAACAAACTAGAACAAGCAGTTAATTTTCTGCAATTTCAAATGAAAACATCAATGGCAGCCACTGAGTCGAAATCGGGAAGGTTTTACCTTTAGGTTGTTCCATTTTCATACATGGGAATTGAGTTGGGCTTGTATGGACAGGCTGAAAATCGATTCTGGGTTGTAAACACTTGACAACAAGCTATTTTCGTTTAATTCGCGATTAATTCACCGGAATTTAATTAGAAGAATTTAGTTGTCATCGGGAAATCGTTACTGTCAAAGTACAGTCGTACCAACGGAGGTTTTAGTTCACGTTCGAACGAAAAGCGAAACAACAAAGCAATTTAATTTGAAACTTTAACACAGAAGTGGTTGTTAGAGATAACACCACGAACCGTATTTGTTTCCGATTTTGTTACCCGTGATATTTTTTACGAAGCGTTTTTATGGAACACTAGTACCAACCGTGCTTGTGTCATACTTGTCACTTGTCAAAAAAAGAGCTTTGTTGTTGATGACTGGCGATTATTGTGATCTGTGCTAAAATAACTCAGTTAAATACAGTAAATGTAAGTATTCGCACACGCTTCACCTAAATGTTGCTATTTAAGTCACCAAATTGCGCAAACTTGCCTTTACTTGTAACCATTTCACAAAAACACTTTTGAGGTTATGTTTGTGATAATGCAAAAAATGTGTTTTAGTAAAATTTGGCAAAAATGGAGAACATAGCCACCGACTCGGGGAAAATCGTCAAGATGGAAGTCGACTATAGCTCGACGTGCGACGAGAAAATCCCCGAGTGCCAAAAACTGGCGAAATCCGGGAAACTCCATGACGCTCTTGACCAACTCCTGGCCCTAGAAAAGCAAACGCGGACGGGGGCTGACATGGTCTCCACCGGGCGCGTCCTAGTGGCGATAGTGCAGATTTGCAGAGAAGCTAAAAACTGGGCGGCTCTCAACGAACACATCGTGCTTCTAACTAAACGAAGATCTCAGCTGAAGCAAGCCGTGGCTAAAATGGTGCAGGAGTGTTGCACCTACGTGGATCAAACCCCTGATAAAGACACCATGATTAAACTAATCGACACTTTGAGACAAGTCACCGAAGGGAAAATCTACGTGGAAGTAGAAAGAGCCCGGTTGACACACAAACTAGCCAAAATTCGTGAGGAAGAAGGAGACATGTCAGAGGCGGCGAATATCATTCAAGAGCTTCAAGTGGAGACGTACGGTTCCATGGAAAAGCGCGAAAAAGTTGAACTAATTTTGGAACAAATGAGGTTATGTTTGGCGAAACAGGACTACATACGAACGCAAATCATCTCGAAGAAGATTAACACGAAATTTTTCGATGATGAAGGCACTCAAGACTTGAAATTGAAGTATTACAGGCTTATGATGGAGCTGGATCAGCACGAGGGATCGTATTTGGCCACTTGTAAACACTACAGGGCGGTTTTAAATACACCCAGTATACAATCAGAGCCTTTGGAACGACAAGCAGCCGCACGCGCTGTAGTTCTCTATCTAGTTTTAGCCCCCCACGATAACGAACAGTCAGACTTAACCCACAGGGTGTTGCAAGACAAAGTTTTGGAAGAAATCCCCATGTACAAACAACTCTTGAAGTTGTTTACTACGTCTGAATTAATGAAATGGTCTGGGCTTTGCGAAATTTACGAAAAAGAATTAAAGTCGACGCCGGTTTTTAGCGGAAATGAACAAGCTAAGAAGCGCTGGAACGACCTAAAGTGGGTTGTTTTTTTGTTTTGAACAAAATATACAGTGTGTATGTTTCAGGAATCGCGTCGTCGAACACAACATTCGCGTTATGGCTAAGTACTACACGAGAATCAAAATCCAGAGGATGGCGGAGCTCCTGGATTTGTCCGCTGGCGAGACCGAGGAGTTTTTGTCCCAAATGGTGGTCAGCAAAAGCGTGCAGGCGAAAACAGACCGACCGTCCGGAGTAGTTCATTTTCAACAAAGCAAAGATCCGAGCGATGTTCTCAACGATTGGGCGCACGATTTGTCGTCGTTGATGCAACTAGTTAATAAAACTACTCACTTGATTAATAAGGAGGAGTGCGTGCACAAGCACCTCCAAGCTAGTGCTTAATATAGCAATAAGTTTTGTAATTGTGCTTGGTTAATATAGTCTATGAAATTGAGTTGGGTTTTAGTTCGTTGGTTGGGCACGCGGAGCGCTTCTTTGGTGCTAATTAAAAGATAACTTAATCTGTTTGTGCTCATTACAGAAACAAGTGTGAAGATTTAATTGATAAAATCGCTATTGTGATAATGGATTTGTCTGGGTTAACCTTTATTTATTGAGACGCAGTGTGTCGAATTTCGATGTTAAAGGTCATGGTGGCTGCTGATAGTGTGTTGAGTCGAATTTATATTATAGTTGTAAGACAGTAATTGCGGCGATTAAGGAGAACAATGGTGGAGAAAGGTTAAAATATTTGCATTTTGTGTATCTAGAGTGATAAGTGGTTCAAGTTTACTCCAATTAGTTGTGAGTAATTGACACTCAAAAAATACTTTGTTGCTTTAGGAAAGATTTACTGATAAAGAGGGAATGGTAAGATACAAACATGTTTACCATTGAACAGACAATTTTTATTGTTCTAAATCATGTGATTGTCACTTGTTTCCAAAAAAGATGTAACATGCGCGTCACACGGTCACAGCATAACGTAAACTGCCTCAACAAAACCAGTTACCTCGTTCTGCAAGTCACTAATTATTCTTCGCCGTTTTTAGTTGAGCTGAATTCCTCTGAAGGCTTTTTAGCGATCTGACGGCCGTAAAATGGCATCGACTGAAAATATTGTAGAACCGGTATGTGATTGCGTGTTGTATGTCATTGTGATTGTTTGCCTTTAGACACTAATCATATTTCCATTATTTCAAACCCATTATTTAATTATTTTTTGTAAATAAAAACCGCAAAAGTGATTATTCATGCAACCTGGCTGGGTATTTGTTCTTCTTATTATATCGCCTGAATTATGCAAATTAGTCATTTTTTTAGAATGCGATAGCATTATGGATATAATATATTTAATAATGTGTTGAACATTCCACTCGTGTTTGTGTGATGAAAGAGAACGGTAAGCACTAGACGTGATTTTTGATTGTATGTGCTGTATTTACGATATAATGTTATAGTATTACGCTAATAATAATAATAAACGCAATTTGTATTATTATTACGTGATTGATCTATCGGTTTTTAAAGTACAATAATAGGGGAGACTAGGACAATTTAACTTCTAGACTGACGTTAGTTTGAGGATACACGGTTGTCAGACCTCCCGTAATTTGTTAAACTGTTATCGTGTGATCTTGGTGTCTCAGGAATAAGATTAGTTAATCCTTCAAAAAGCTCAAGTGGGATTTATAAACTTGCTGTTGACGTTAAAGTTGCCGTTGATAGTAACTTTGATGTTCAACTTTTGTCATGTTTAAAGGGGTTGTAAAAGAAAAGTAGCATTGTTGTCGAAATAAATCTACACATATTAAGAAAAAAAAAAAAATTCGTCAGATCGAGGGGCGGGGCTTCATTGCAAAATTCATATTTCATTTAAAAAAATTACCATTTTAAATGTGTTTTAAGTTTCTAAGAATAAAAAAAAATCATTACATTTGAGATAGGGCGGGTGGGCGGGCTTACATTTTGCCTGTTTGTTTTAATATGTGTAGACTTCTTTTCACAACATGAAACTTAAAACATCTTAAAATGGGAAATTTATATAAGGAAATATCGATTTTGCGATTAGGCTCCGCCCCATAATTGCAAAATCCATATTTCCTTGCAAAAATGTACTATTTTAACCATGTTTTAAGTTTCTTGTTGTAAAAAGATGGCTATGTATATTAAGAAAAAAAAAAGACAAAATATAAGCCCCGCCCTATCTAAATTCTTATGTTTTATTTTATTCGTCGTAATCGTGTTATACAAAGAAAACTAAATGTATTAATCAAAAAATAAAACCGAGAGAGCTCTACCCATTCGTCTCGATCTCAGTCGTGTTTAATCATACTTTAAGTTTCATGCTGTGAAATGAACAAAGAGGTCTGCACATATTAAATCAAAAAGGCAAAAAAGTAAGCCCGCCCACCCACCCTGTCTCAATTGTAATGAATTTTTTTATTCGTCGTTAGACAAGAGGGCGGCACTTAAATGCAAAATTCCTATTTCTTAACAAAAATTTACCATTTTAAACGTGTTTCAAGTTTCTAGGAATAAAAAAAAACATTGCAATTGAGATGGGGTGGGTGGGCGGGGTTTATATCTTCGCTTTTTTTCTTAATATACACAATATTCTTTGAACAACATGATACTCAAAAACATGTTTTTAATTTCTTGTAAAGAAATACGTATTTTGCAGTTAAGCTCAGCCCCCTTGGTTCACAGTGAATAAAAAAAATACCACAATTGAGACAGGGCGGGTGGGCGGGCTTACTTTTTTGTCTTTTTGTTTTAATATGTGTAGACTTCTTTTCACAACATGAAACTTAAAACATGCTTAAAATAAAAAAATTGTATAAGGAAATATCGATTTTGCAATTAGGCTCCGCCCCATAATTACAAAATCCACATTTCCTTTTAAGTTTCTTGTTGTGAAATAATGGCTATGTAGATTAAGAAAAAAAAGGTACAAAATATAAGCCCCGCTCTATCGTAATTCTAATGATTCGTAAGCCGGAAGGCGGAGCTTAATTGTTCAACGAGAAATTACCATGTGAAATATGTTCTTAAGTAATTGACTAATCGTGTTATACAAAGAACACTAACTGTATTAATTAAAAAAGAAAACCAAATGAGAAGCTCCACCCATTCGCCTCGATCTGATTCGTGATGAATTTTTCATTCGTTGTCAGACTAAGGGGCGGAGCCTAAATGCAAAATCGATATTTCCTTATAACTACAAATTTCCTATTTTAAGAAGATTGAAAAGAATAAAAAAACTCTACGCATATTCAAACAAAAAGGCAAAATTTAAGCCCGCCCACCCGCCCTGTCTCAATTGTGATGATTTTTTTTATTCGCCATCAACCAAGGGGCCGGAGCTTAACTGCAAAATACTTATTTTTTTCATATTTATATAGAGTTTTCTTTTAACAACAAGACCGTTAAACATAAATTGTCATTTTCTTGTTGGTACAAGAAGACTTCGTATATTAAGAAAAAATGGACCAAATATAAGCCCCGCCCACCCGCCCTGTCTCAATTCTGGTGATTTTTTTTATTCAAGTTCTCAATTGTGATGAATTTTTCATTCATTTTCAGATCGAGGGGCGGGGCTTAATTGCAAGATCCATATTTGTCCACAAGAATTTACCATATTAAACATGTTTTAAGTTTCTTGTTCTGAAAACACGAGTACGTATATTAAGAAACAAGGCAAAATATAAGCCCCGCCCACCCGCCCTATCGCAATTCTGATGATTCATAAGCCGGGGGGTGAAGCTTAATTGTAAAATCCTTATTTTTCAACGAGAAATTACCATGTGAAATATGTTCTTAAGTAATCGTGTTATACAAAGAAAACTAACCGTATTAATTAAAAAAGAAACCCAAATGAGAAGCTCCACCCATTCGTCTCGATCTGAATCGTGATGAATTTTTCATTCGTTGTCAGACCAAGGGGCGGAACCTAAATGCAAAATCGATATTTCCTTATACAAATTTCACATTTTAAGAAGATTGAAGAGAATAAAAAAGTCTACACATATTAAAACAAAAAGGCAAAATTTAAGCCCGCCCACCCGCCCTATCTCAATTGTGATGATTTTTTTTATTCGCCATCAACCAAGGGGCCGGAGCTTAACTGCAAAATACTTATTTTTTTCATATTTATATAGTTTTCTTTTAACAACAGGGCAGTTAAACATAAATTGTCAGTTCCTTGTTGGTACAAGAAGACTTCGTATATTAAGAAAAAATGGGCCAAATATAAGCCCCGCCCACCCGCCCTGTCTCAATTCTGATAAATTTTTCATTCGTTGTTAGATCAAGGGGCGGGGCTAAATTGCAAGATCCATATTTGTCTACAAGAATTTACCATATTAAACATGTTTTAAGTTTCTTGTTCTGAAAAGACGAGTACGTATATTAAGAAACAAGGCAAAACGTAAGCCCGCCCACCCACCCTACCTCAATTGTGATGATGTTTTTATTCGCCGTGAACCAAGGGGGCGGAGCTTAACTGCAAAATACTTATTTCTTTACAAGAAACTAAAAACATGTTTTTGAGTATCGTGTTGAAAGACTACTATGTGCATTAAGAAAAAAAGAAGCTCAAATATAAACCCACCCCATCTCGTTTCCGATGTTTTTTATTCTTACAAGTCTAAAACACGATTAAAATGGTAAATTTTTGTTAAGAAATATGGATTTTGCAATTAGGCTCCGCTCCAAGGTCTGGCGACGAATGAAAACTTCATTACTATTTAGATCAGGGCAGGTATGGGTGGGGCTTAATCTTTGGCTTTAATTTTCTCTTAATATATGTACATAATATTCTTTGAATAACCTGATACTCAAAAACATATCTTTCGTGGTAATTTCTTGTAGAGAAATAATAAGGATTTTTCAATTAAATTCCGCTTCTTTGGCTCTCGACAATTAAAATAAAATCATCACAATTGAGATGGGGCAGGTGGGCGGGGCTTATATTGTCCTTTTTTTCTTAATATACGTAGTCGTATTTTCAGAACAAGAAACTTAAAACATGTTTAAAATGGTAAATTCTAAACAAATATGGATCTTACAATTAAGCTCCGCCTCTCGATCTGACAACCAATGAAAAATTCGTCACATTTGAGAATTGAGATTGGGGCGGCTAATCTAATCTTTGTCTTTATTTTTTCGATACGATACTCAAAAACATGTTTTTAATTTCTTGTAGAGAAATAAGGATTTTGCAGTTGAACTCCGCCCTCTTGGCTCACGACGAATAAAAAAAATCATCACAATTGAGATAGGGCGGGTGGGCGGGGCTACATTTTGCCTTTTTTTTTTCTTAATATGTGTAGACTTGTGTCGACAACAAGAAACTTAAAATATGTATACCGGATGATCTTGAAAAAAAAATTATGCAATCATCAGTGTAACTTGGTTATAATATAAGAGGGCAATTGAAATATTTTAAAGGAAATGCTATTCACCAAGAGATATTTTAAGCCTTTGGATTAGTTTTATCTTCTCTGATTTGTGAAAACTTTAACATAAATTTTTGAATGAAACATTCAGGAGTGGATACAATTTCATGATAATCAGTTTCCTCTTTAAATGAGAACCATGTTGGTAACATATACAGGGTGACCCACTATTTTGTTTTTTCTCAATCTCAATCCCATTGCGGTGTCCAGTCTCCCCTACACATATTAGAAAAGTAGGTTATTTGCGCGCGGGGTGGTAGTTCAGTTTCAAAGCTTCTCAAAATTAAATAAAGAAAATAAACACATTAATAAAACGCCTCACTGTTATAATTTATAACAAAAGAAAAATTTTACAGCTTAAACATCCACTACAGACTTAACAAAACGAAAACCTGTCTGTCATCAGTAGTTCTAAAGTCCTCCCCAGTAGATAAAATTCAAAATTCCGCTCTCAAAACATGTGCTTTATAAAACCGACCACAATAACAAAAATAACAAAAGCGCAGCTTCCGTAAGTCGTTTTTTACTGCCCGTTTGTCCAAATGTGCCGATCAGTTGTCTCAAAGCACGAAAAATTGCCGGTAATTTCGCTATAACCTCACTTTTTGTTGCATAGTGCAATCGTCTTGAACTATTGTGTAACATCTAAAAATATGCCCCAATTTATACTTTTCAATCACTACATATAGATGCCTCCCGAACCATGGCAGCCCCCTCGCCCCCGAAAAACCCTCCTCTATTACCTCAAGCTGATAACCGTGGAGCCCACCATGGTGCTGTACATGATGGCCTTCATGACCACCACGGTAGTGGAACAAGCCTTCTTCGTAAACAAAGCGTGTCGTGTAAACCACGGCTTAAACGAAACCGTTTGCGACAACCTAACAGCTAAAGAGTACGAAGACTTGAACAAGCAAGTGCAGGTGAGACAAATCCGTGTTTTAGTGACACACAAAACGAACAACACGTTTTAGATTACTGTATCAGACTTCCATTTATGGAACGACGTGGCCGGCCACGGGGGCCCCATCATTCTAGCTTTATTCATGGGGGCCTGGTCCGACAAAAGAGGCCGCAAACTGCCGCTCCTCATCGGTCTCATCGGCAAACTCTACTACTCAGCCATGATTGTAGTGAACGCCAGCCAAAACGACTGGCCTTTGGAATACGTGGTGTACACCGCCACTCTCCCTATGGCTTTCACGGGCGCCGACGTCGCGATTTTCGCCGCCGCCTTCACATACTTAGTCGATATAACGTCGCAAAAAAATAGAACTATGAGAGTTACATTGTTAGAGGTTTGTTATTTAGCGACGATGCCCACGGGAGTGGCCCTCGGGAAGGTTTTGTTCAACCAAGTCGTGAATAAATCATACGCGGTCATGTTCGCTATCAACGTGTCGTTGTTAGTTCTTGCGATTATTTACACGTTTTTGAGGTTAGATTGGCGCACGAGTGCCCGCCAAAAACCGTTGTCTGAAGCTTCCAATCTCTTTACAGATTTTTTCGACTATAACCATGTTGTGACTACCGCGGTTACGTTGTTCAAACCACGACGTCACAACCGTAGGTCGTATTTGTTGATTTTAATTCTCATGATGGCGTTTTATACGTTCCAAAGGGACGAAAAAGACATGAGTTATTTGTACGTGAATTTAGTTTTTAAATGGCAGTTTAACGAGTTTAGTGATTTTCGGACCGTGCAGTCGGCAATTCAGGACGTTTTTCTTCTGTTGGCAATACCGTTGATGAGTCGGGTTTTGGGGTGGCGGGACACTGTTATTATTATGATTGGGGCACTGGCGCATTCTGTGGGACGCATTTTTTATGCGACTGCTGCAGACCCATGGGTTTTCTATTTAGGTATGGGTGGGTAGTGTGACGTTTGGGTATTTTTTTTTTATTTTCAGGGGGTGTTTTCGCCGCTATTGGTCCCATTGTGGCTCCAGTGATTCGGTCGATGGTTTCGAAGTTGGTAGCGACGTCGGAAAAAGGTGGGTCTAGAGTGCACCAATCAAAAGCGCGTGGGCGGGGTTTGTCATCATGAACAATTTTTCAGGCAAAACACTCGCGGTTCTGGCGGTAGCCGACAACGCCATCCCCCTTGTCTCCGGGACAATGTACAGCAAAGTCTACAACGCCACCATCCACACCAACCCCAACGCCATCTTTTACGTAACAATGGCGACTCAAATGACCGTATTCCTCCTAGTTTTGTAAGTTAGGGAATTTTTACCAAACACCAACTGTCATTACTGTCATTACAGATTTATCCACGTAAAAGCAAAAGACAAATACTTAATTCACGAAGACGAAGACGCAAAAGCCGAATGTTTAAGTAAGCAAGAGGACCCTCCCTCCGAGTAGTATTGCGACCGCAGCTCCACCTCTAGGCAATTTAGTAAAGTTTAGAAAAATGTAGTATTAAAGACGGAAATTACATTCCATTTTATTTACTTACGTTTCTATGAAAAATAAATAAATAATGACTAGTTTTGACTTAACCTATGTACAATCATCACACATTACATGGCAGCTGCTCATACGTCAAACACATCCCGAGATTGTCGTCAGGTGGCGCCTCTCTCGCACTAGACCCAAAATGGACGCCAATGGTAAACGGAGTGACGCTGCTTTCAATCCTACAGGGGGTTTCCCCAGACGGACAAAGAGACTCCCCACAGTGAATCAAGTCGCAGGTTCCCGGACCAACATCACTGGGCTACAACACCACAAAAATATACATTACACCCACCTAAAAATCGTTCAATACCATTAATAAATCTTCCGAGTCACACGGTAGCACGATTCTGTCCGAACAATCATCCATATTCCTGGGTTCAGCGCCATCTCCTGACCCCACGTCCTCACTAATCGTTTCGTTGTTGTTCGGCGATATTCGGAAGGAGTTCTCGTGGCACGGCTCGTACGCTATACTGCACATCTCCTCCTCCTGTCGCATGCAAATGTTGTAGTCTTGGTCGGCTAGGTGGCGCCCGTTGTCGGCGAAGTTCATGGTCTGGATGGTCCCGGTGACTCCCATATGGTACTGTAAACACCCAGCAGGGGCCCGTTGGGTGAAAGGTACCTGGATGACTCTGACCTCCCACAGCCTGGACACTGCGCGTCTGTTCAGCTTCATTTCAATGGAAACCGAAGTGTCAATGTCTTCCACGTCGAAGTAGGCTACAACTGGAAGTTTTAGGAGGGTTTGAGACACTAAAAATTATTACCATGTTGGCCACTATTAAGACCACAAAGTCGCAACTCGCGGGTTTCGCCACCACTAAGAACGAAAATGTCGTCTTCGCAAACGCCGGTCTTTCGGTTGGGTTGTCCCTGGGTTTCAAAAAAGTAGACATAAAAGTGTGCTGACGTCACAAGTTTTGGCGCCACTTTTGAAATTTCGACTAAAACGACTCACCAAATTGAAGTGAATAAAATCCAGACGCAACTGGGATATCTCGGGGTCGATTTTCTTGACACTTAGTGTACACGAGTCCATGTTTTTCGACAAATCTGGAAAGTCTGGATTCACGAAATAAGTGATGTTGTTGTGAATTTCTTCGTTACACGTCGCTGTGACTAAATTTGAATCATTATTGTGTAATTTCGCAAAAACGTCAAACTCACATACACAGCATACTCCAAATCCTAGGGCGCAAGGACCGTGAGAAGTGCCACTTTCAATTCGACATTCGTAGGCATTCATACAAATGCCTTTTCTTCGACCATCGTTTGACAGGCATTCTTCTTCGACCGGCACAGGAAAGAAATTGAGAACTAAATTGAAAAAAAAAAATCGCAATTTATTATAAAAAACAAATTAATTTTCGGCTCGATTAACCGCCTCTGTTTGTCTGGTTTATTAGGTTCTTACTGTGTTATTAAAGTAGGTGGAAAGTGTGCGAAATTATGAAACGCGATATGTAATTTGATGTGATGCAAACAAAAAGATAATTCGATGTTAAATGGATTTCGATTACATCTGCTCGAGTAACACTTTCTTTGCAGATTGTGCTCGATGTTGTACGAAATGTCAAATTTCTTCAACTGCGCTAAAATGTGTCCCATGCTTTTAGCGTTGCAAAAGTGGACAAGTGGACCGTGCGAAAATAAAATGAGTTGGAGGAGGCTGTGAAGCATCCCTTAAGTTGGCATCACCGGTCGCTTAAGGCACGTTTCTCGTTTATAAAAATGATTGTTGCTTACTGAAAACAAAGGACTGCGTACTTTATAAGGAGGGTGCGGTCGTTTTGGCTGCAGAGAGCTTGGAATTAGGTTTGTTTAGAAAGTCTCGTTAGTCATTATTGATGGCATTCTAGGAATTGTTTTCTTGGTCTACTTTGAATCACATTTTTTTCGATCGCACAGTATGTATTATGTATGAGGTAGAGAATATTTTGGTAACGATAATCCTCTGCGTGGATTAAAAAATAACAGTGGACTGTATAAAATAGATTTTATCAAATGAAAAAGAAACATGTTTTTTTGCAAGTCGTAAAAACTATGATTGAGAATTTGATTATATTTATAAAGTTATTTGAACCGAACTTCCCTCGTTTGTGAGGCACAACCCGTATTGTATGTCTGGTTTTTTCAATAAAGAAAAATAATGTCGCTTACGTTTTTTTTTTTTTTAATAACTCTTATAGGTATATAAAAAGGCGACAAAAAACAATTGAGACCGAAGAAGATCGAATAAAAGGTTGCCAAAAAAGACGATAAAAAGGGAAAAAAGTGACTGAACAAAAACGCGACAAAAAAGTGAAACAAAAGACAAAAACCGATATGAAAGAGTGTCGATAAAAATAAGGGACAAAAAAAGATGACGAAAACAGAGAAGTCAATAAAAAAAAAGTAAAAAAATAAAACAGGCTATACAAAAGAAGACAACAAAAAAAAATAAAAAAAGCGATAAAAATCACTAAAGAATATCAAAGGGAACAAAAAAGCCACAAAAAAATTAGACAAAAATGAGGACAAAAACTGAGACAAAAAGAAAATAGCAAATAGAACAAAAAAAGTCCACCAAAAAAGCGATGAAAATGGGACAAAAAACATACAAAAATTGACAGAAAAAAGAAAGTCAACAAAAAATACATTAAAAAAGGCAACAAAAAAGTAACTTAAAAAAGACGACATAAAAGGCCACAAAAAATATATAACAAAAAGACAGTCGACAAAAGAAGAAAAAAAAACAACAAAAATGACTTTTTACACTTTGGTCACTTTTCTGTCGCCTTTTTTTTGATTTTCTTGTTTTTTTTTTAAAGACGATTAAAAAACCCACAAAAAATGAGCAAAAAAACAACAAAAAAAGATGACAAAAATAAGACAAAAAAAAGATAATGCAAAGACAGAAAAGAAGACAAAACCGAGACAGAAAAAAAGTCAACAAAAAAGACAAAGAAACACAAAAAGCAGCAAAAAATAAAACGAAGAAGATGACGAAAAGTGAGACAAGAAGAAAGTCACAAATGGATCAAAAATGATAACAAAAAGTCTTTTTTGTTTTTCTTGTTTTTTTTTAAAGGCGACAAAAGTGTACACAAAATGGGTGATAAAAATGTAACAAAAGAGGAAAAAGGTAAGAAAAGACGACAAAAACGGATGAGACAAGCGAAATTCGACAAAAAATTTGACTAAAAAAAATCAAACGAATAAGCGATAAAAAACGACTAAAACCGACACAAAAAGAAAATCGACAAAAATACAATAAAAAAGGCAAGAAAAAAGTCAGTTGAAAAGACGATAGAAAAGGCCACAAAAATATGTGACACAAAGAAAGTCGACAAAAGAACCAAAAAAAGCAACAAAACGATGACTTTTTATACTTCAGTCACTTTTTTTTTTCACTTTTTTTTATTTTCCTGTTATTTTTTAAAGGCGATTAAACAAACCACAAAAATGAGAAAAAACAACAAAAAAACTGACAAAAATAAGACAAAAAAATAAGATAAAGACAAAAAGGAAGACAAATCCGAGACAGAAAAAATCAACAAAAAAGACAATGAAAAAGGCGACAAAAAGATTATTAAAAAGACGAAAAAAGAAGACAAGAAAAATGCGACTAACATGCAGAAAGGAAATACAAAAGCAGCAAAAAATAAGACGAAAAAAAAAACAAAAAATGAGACAAAAAGAAAATCAACTACTGGAACAAAATTGGTAACAAAAAGGTGACTTTTTACACTTTGATTACTTTTTGCTTTTCTTTTTTTAAAGGCTACTAAAAAACCCACAAAAATGAGAAAAAAGCAACAAAAAAAAAGTGCCAAAAGTAAGACAAAAAAAAAGATAAAGCAAAGACAAAAAAGAAGACAAAACCGAGACAGAAAAAAGTCAGTAAAAAAGACAATGAAAAAGGTGACAAAAAAAGACGATTAACAGAAAGAAAACATAAAAAGCAGCAGAAAATAAGACGAAAAAGAGGACAAAAATGAGAAAAAAGAAAGGCAACAAATAGAAAAAAATGGACAAAAAGTGACTTTTTAGTCCCCTTGGTCACCTTTTTATCGCCTTTTTTTTTTGTTCTTGTTTTTTTTTAAAGGCGACAAGAGTCCACAAAATGGGTGATATAAATGAGACAAAAAAGGAGAAAGGTAATAAAAAAGACGACAAAAACGGATAAGACAAACGTAATTCGACCAAAAAATTTGACCAAAAAAAGACGATACAATAAGTGACAAAAAAAAACAACCGACACAAAAAAACACAAAAAACGGTCATAAGGATGACAAAAAATAATAGAAAAACATAGACAAAAACGAAAGGCAACAAAAAAGACATAAAAAAAATGTGAGAAAAGAAAAAAATACAAGAACAGAGCCAAAATGCAAAAAAAAGGGACAAAAGAAACACAAAAAAAAAGAGGTCAAAAACTGACAGAAAAAAGAAAGACAACAAAAAATACAATAAAAAAAAGGTAAGAAAAAAGTGACTTAAAAAAGACGACAAAAAAGGCTACAAAAATATGTGACAGAAAGAAAGTCGACAGAAGAACCAAAAAAAGCAACAAAAAGATGACTTTTTATACTTTGGTCACTTTTTTGTCCCCTTGCTTTTGTTTTTCTTGATCTTTTTTAAAGACGGCTAAACAAACCACAAAAATGAGAAAAAACAACAAAAAAGGTGACAAAAAAAAATTAAGGCAAAGACGAAAATGAAGACAAACTCGAGACAAAAAAGTCAACAAAAAAGACAATGAAAAAGGCGACAAAAAGATGTCAACAAATGGAACAAAAATGGTAAGAAAAACTTTTTCGTCTCCTTAGTCACCTTTTTGGCGTCTTTTTTTTGTTCTTCACACAAAAAAAAAATAGACAAAAAAAAGAGGGCAAAAACTGACAGATAAAAGAAAGACAACAAAAATACAATAAAAAAAGTGACTTAAAAAAGACGACAAAAAAGGCCAGAAAAATATGTGACACAAAGAAAGTCAACAAAAGAATCAAAAAAGCAACAAAACGATAACTTCAGTCATTTTTTCCTACTTTTTTTGTTTTCCTTGTTATTTTTTAAAGGCGATTAAACAAACCACAAAAATGAGAAAAGAAAACAACAAAAAAAAGGAGACAAAAATAAGACAAAAAAGATAAGGTAAAGGCAAAAAAGAAGACAAAACCGATACAGAAAAAGTCAACAAAAAAGACAAAAAGTTGACTAAAATGACGAGAAAAGAAGACAAGAAAAAGGCGACTAACAGAAAGGAAATACAAAAATCAGCAAAAAATAAAACGAAAAAAGGACAAAAAATGAGACAAAAAGAAAGTCAACAACTGGAACAAAATTGATAACAAAAAGGTGACTTTTTACACTTTGGTCACTTTTTTGCTTTTCTTTTTTTAAAGGCTACTAAAAACTCACAAAATGAGAAAAAAAGCAACAAAAAAAGGTGACAAAAATAAGATAAAAAAAAAAGATAAGGCAAAGACAACCGAGACAGAAAAAAGTCAATAAAAAAAACAATGAAAAAAGTGACAAAATGATAACCAAAGCGACGAAAAAAGGAGAAAAAAAGACGGCTAACAGAAAGGAAACCTAAAAAGCAACAAAAAATAAGAGGAAAAAGAGGACAAAAGTGAGAAAAAAGAAAGTCAACAAATGGACAAAAAGTGACTTTTTAGTCTCCTTGGTCATCTTTTTATTCTTGTTTCTTTTTAAAGGCGAGAAAAGAATCCACAAAATGGGTGATATAAATAAGACAAAAAAGGAGAAAGTTAACAAAAAAATACGACAAAAACGGATAAGACAAATTCGACCAAAAAACTTGACCAAAAAGAGACAATACAAATAAGTGACAAAAAAACGACAACAACCAACACAAAAAAGAAAGTCGACAAAAACATACAAAAAACGGTCAAAGGACGACAAAAAAGGCTACAAGAAATGACAGACAAAAAGGAATAGAAAAACCTAGACAAAAACGAAGGGTAACAAAAAGACATAAAAAAAAATTGAGAAAAGAAAAAAATACAAGAACAGAGCCAAAACGAAAAAAAAAGCGACAAAATGATCACTAAAAAATATCGGAAGGGCACAAAAGAAACAGACAAAAAAAGAGGTCACAAATTGACAGAAAAACCAAAGACAATAAAAAATACAATAAAAAAAGGGGAAGAAAAAGGTGACTTAAAAAAGACGACAAAAAAAGGCTATAAAAATATGTGACAGAAAGAAAGTCGACAGAAGAACCAAAAAAAGCCACAAAAAGATGACTCATTAGTTATTAGATAGGTACTTTAATAATTTTTTTGTCGCCTTTTTTTGCTTTACTTGTTCTTTTTTAAAGACGACTAAACAAACCACAAAAATGAGAAAAAGCAACAAAAAAGGTGACAAAAAAAAATTAAGGCAAAGACGAAAATGAAGACAAACTCGAGACAAAAAAGTCAACAAAAAGACATTGAAAAAAGGCGTCAAAAAGATGACTAAAAAGACGAAAAAGTAGACAAGAAGAAAGTCAACAAATGGAACAAAAATGGTAAGAAAAACTTTTTTCACTAGCAGCCTGGACGCATGCAAATGTCGACTCATTTAGTGGTAGCAAATTCAACTTTTGCTACCACGGGTTCAAAAAGAAAAATTGAGGTTATGTACGCAATGTTTGATGTGATTATTTCTTAAAAAATGAACAAATGTGTGCTACAAACATTACTTGAGTATACGCATGGTAGTTGGTAGACGGTAGAAATAAAATGATTAACTCAGCGACAAGTATAAACGGTTTTCTTTGTGTTGAAGATTTAGATCAAGTTTGATTAGAAATCAAAACAAAATCACGTTGCGTCAAAAAATTGAACGTTTATTTTTCAGTTTATTGTCTTATGGTTTCTACTAGTGAAAAAATAGTATATTAACCACGGTTGCAAAGCCATTTCTAGACCTCGCACTTAGAGCCCTCGACGCTGCGCGTCTCGGGTTCTAATTTGCGCTCGGTCTAGAATGCTTGGCTCTGCAACCTTGGCTAATAATATACTATTTTCGCCAGCCGTCTTAAAAGATGTCACTTTTAACGTCAATTTTGGACGGAAAACTTGACGTTTTTGTGAGAGTAAAAAAAAGTTGCGTTACTAAAGTAACAACGTCATTTTTGCCTTTTTAATCCTAGCATTAATTTTTTTTTAATCCTAGCCTTAAAAAGTTAAAATTTTTTTGAGATTTACTTTTTGGCTGGCGAAAAAGTAGTATGTTTCATTCGGATTAAAAGTCAGTTTTTGACTCGCAATTTTGCATCCGCTCGGCTTCGCTTCGCTCCGCCTCGCAAATGCAAAATTTGCTCGTCGCAAAAAATGGCACTTTTAATCCTAATAAAACAATCTACTATTTTCGTCTCCTTAGTCACCTTTTTGGCGTCTTTTTTTGTTCTTCACACAAAAAAATAGACAAAAAAAAGAGGGCAAAAACTGACAGATAAAAGAAAGACAACAAAAATACAATAAAAAAAGTGACTTAAAAAAGACGACAAAAAAGGTCACAAAAATATGTGACACAAAGAAAGTCAACAAAAGAATCAAAAAAGCAACAAAACGATGACTTTTTATACTTCAGTCACTTTTTCCTACTTTTTTTGTTTTCCTTGTTGTTTTTTAAAGGCGATTAAACAAACACAAAAATGAGAAAAGAAAACAACAAAAAAAAGAGACAAAAATAAGACAAAAAAGATAAGGTAAAGGCAAAAAAGAAGACAAAACCGATACAGAAAAAGTCAACAAAAAAGACAAAAAGTTGACTAAAAAGACGAGAAAAGAAGACAAGAAAAAGGCGACTAACAGAAAGGAAATGCAAAAAGCAGCAAAAAATAAGACGAAAAAAGGACAAAAAATGAGACAAAAAGAAAGTCAACAACTGGAACAAAATTGATAACAAAAAGGTGACTTTTTACACTTTGGTCACTTTTTTGCTTTTCTTTTTTTAAAGGCTACTAAAAACCCACAAAAATGAGAAAAAAAGGGGACAAAAGAAACGCAAAAAAAATAGACAAAAAAAAGAGGTCAAAAACTGACAGAAAAAAGAAAGACAACAAAAAATACAATAAAAAAAGGGCAAGAAAAAAGTGACTTAAAAAAGACGACAAAAAAGGCTACAAAAATATGTGACAGAAAGAAAGTCGACAGAAGAACCAAAAAAAGCAACAAAAAGATGACTTTCCATACTTTAGTCACTTTTTTGTCCCCTTGTTTTTGCTTTTCTTGTTCTTTTTTAAAGACGACTAAACAAACCACAAAAACGAGAAAAAACAACAAAAAAAATGTGACAAAAAAAATTAAGGCAAAGACGAAAAAGAAGACAAACTCGAGACAAAAAAGTCAACAAAAAAGACAATGAAAAAGGCGACAAAAAGATGACAAAAAAGACGAAAAAGTAGACAAGAAGAAAGTCAACAAATGGAACAAAAATGGTAAGAAAAACTTTTTCGTCTCCTTAGTCACCTTTTTGGCGTCTTTTTTTGTTCTTCACACAAAAAAAAATAGACAAAAAAAAGAGGGTAAAAACTGACAGATAAAAGAAAGACAAAAAAAATACAATAAAAAAAGTGACTTGAAAAAGACGACAAAAAAGGCCACAAAAATATGTGACACAAAGAAAGTCAATAAAAGAATCAAAAAAGCAACAAAACGATGACTTTTTATACTTCAGTCACTTTTTCCTACTTTTTTTGTTGTCCTTGTTATTTTTTAAAGGCGATTAAACAAACACAAAAATGAGAAAAGAAAACAACAAAAAAAGAGACAAAAATAAGACAAAAAAGATAAGATAAAGGCAAAAAAGAAGACAAAACCGATACAGAAAAAGTCAACAAAAAAGACAAATAGTTGACTAAAAAGACGAGAAAAGAAGACAAGAAAAAGGCGACTAACAGAAAGGAAATACAAAAAGCAGCAAAAAATAAGACGAAAAAAGCACAAAAAATGATACAAAAAGAAAGTCAACAACTGGAACAAAATTGATAACAAAAAGGTGACTTTTTACACTTTGGTTACTTTTTTGCTTTTCTTTTTTTAAAGGCTACTAAAAACCCACAAAAAAAAGCAACAAAAAAAAGGGGACAAAAGAAACACAAAAAAATTAGACAAAAAAAAGAGGTCAAAAACTGACAGAAAAAAAGAAAGACAACAAAAAATACAATAGAAAAAGGGCAAGAAAAAAGTGAGTTAAAAAAGACGACAAAAAAGGCTACAAAAAGAAAGAAAGTCGACAGTAGAACCAAAAGAAGCAGCAAAAAGATGACTTTTTATACTTTAGTCACTTTTTTGTCCCCTTGTTTTTGCTTTTCTTGTTCTTTTTTAAAGACGACTAAACAAACCACAAAAATGAAGAAAAAACAACAAAAAAAGGTGACAAAAAAAATTAAGGCAAAGACAAAAAAAAAGACAAACTTGAGTTAAAAAGAGTCAACAAAAAAAGACAATGAAAAAGGAGATTAACACAAAAAGCAGCAAAAAATAAGACGAAAAGGCGGACAAAAAAGTGAGACAACAAAAAGGTGATTTTTTTGGTATCCTTAGATACTTTTTTGTATTCTCTTTTTGTTATTCTTGTTTCTTTTTAGAGGCGACAAAAGAGTCCACAAAATGGGTGATAAAAATGGGACAAAAAAGGTAGCAAAAAAGACGTCAAAAACGGATGAGACAAACGAAATTTGACAAAAAAAGTGACCAAAAGCCAACGAAAGCCGACACAAAAAAAGTCAACAAAAAGTGACCTAAAAAAAGACGATAAAAAAGCCACAAAAATATGTGATAAAAAGAGCGTCGACTATAAAAAACAACAAAAAGACGATCTTTTACACGTTAGTCGCTTTTTTGTTGCCTTTTTTTGCTTTGCTCGTTCTTTTTTAAAGGCGACTAAAAAACATAAAAAATGAGGAAAAAAAGTAACAAAAAAAGCTGACAAAAAAAACCGACGGAAAAAGGGGACCAAACAAAAAGGTGAGAAAAAATCGACAAAAAAAATGATCGAAACCGAGACAAATATAAATACACCGATAAGCCATTTGAGATAGGATTTATCCAGCAAACTTTTAAAATGACGTCATCAAGCTTTTGAAGTAGATAAACAAAACACTTTTATTGGCGATTTGCCACCTTTCCGATAACCTCAAACATTTCAAGTTAAATTGAAAAATCTTGTTCTACAACGTTAATTTTTTCCTAAAATCTAGACAAAGATACAAAAAAATAAGGGTGGTCTAATAAACGAAGCACATAATTTTCTAAAATTTATGGAAATAAGGGACCTAATTTTCCATACCCAGGGAGTTATGAAACGTGGGGAAAGCCTGAAATTAACACCATTTTGTATAGACAAATTTTGGTGAAGTTATATAATATTTCTTAGAACGTCAAAGTAAATCTAAACTACAAAATTGAGCAATCAGTTATAAATTACATAACGTTAAATTAAGTCATTGATCATTCCCTCCGAGAAACCCGATGACGTCAGCCCAAAAAATTGTTAAAAACAGTAATGTATGACCGACTTGTTTTCTAATTATCTCTACGCTCCAAAAAACTGTATCATCACAAAACCAGATGTTTATAATTTCCACATTTTTGTTGATTTTTGTTGCTTGTAATTGACACTTATCATTGTTGTTAAATATGATAAATTTTGGACCAAAATTGGTTTCAGTCCCCGCTATGCTGTCGTAGTGCTATAAATACGCTTCTTATCGATCAGGTTCGTTAAAAAGTTCATAAAACATAAAAAAGGTGCACAAAAAGCCTTTGTAGTGAAAGTACAAAAAGTAGCACTTTCCATTGGGAGCTTTTTTCTTCAGAAACAAAAACCACTTCAGAGAGTTTATTTTTAGCCCTAATATAGCCAAATTTACGAAACAATAACAACAACAATAGTAATTAATGCAAATACAGACCCTTTTATGCCTTCGGCAACGCTGTCACAAATAAATAACAACTCCAACCAGAACCCACCTCTTGGAAGCCTTGAAACGTTGGCCGGACTCTCGGCCAGCGCGTTCTTTTCTCTCCATATATCGAAATTCGGCAGCTTGGGCGCCGACACCGCAAAATCCAAAACCAGAAGAAAGCACTCCAGCACTTTCCTCATTATGGCTTTACGCACAAACGCACTTAATTAAGCAGAACAAATTCCGCGTTTCAATTGTTCGACATGTGCACGGCAGACTAACAGTAGTCTCTCTCATCTTCTTTGCAGATAATGTGGGTCACCGGGTTAGCATAATACTGTTCTTGTTGCATAAACTTGAACTTGCGCGGAATTTCCGCCTAGAAGAAGCCTGGTAGAAAGGGAGAAATTAAAGAAAAGTGTTTTTGTGTCGTGCTGGATGGTGACGGATCGCCGGCCGGAGGTTTCCATGATGGGTTAATGATTTAATTGACATTTAGTTTTTATGGGTTTTGTTAATTGCCGCAGGCAGAGCTGACCTCTACCTAAATTCGTCGCGGACAGGAAACCGAACATGCGTTAGGGTGCAGGCGAGATTTCGCAACACGCGAGGGAAATTTATGAGGACAGGGCCGGACTCGGCACGGAGAAGCGCCAATCGCGGGTTTACAGCAATGGTCAGTTATACAGAAAACTGCTGAAAAATTTTTGTCGTTCAATTTTGAGAGATTTTTACATTAATTAAGAAATGTCACATATGATGCAGCATGATGTTTCTGTAATACTCCTTGACATTCTGACAACATGGTTACGTAATAATCAGTGTTACACTGTACGTGTCACACTTGATATATTTATCCCCAACTAAAAGCTGAAAACATTATTTTAAAAAACATCAAAGAATGTGTCAATGAACTGAATGTTTTTTTATTCTTTTCTAGTAGTGTTCTTCTACTTCTTCTGGTCAGTTATTTTTGGTTTTCAAGTAACTTGATAATAAAATCCTTTTTTACTTCCCGGGTGTAAGCTAGTGGATTAATTATTATGACATTTTGTAGTCATTTTAGTAAATATCGTGCTGATGGTAAAGTGCAAACCAAAATTTGTTTGATCATCCCCACTACAAACTAGTGACGCCACTTCAAAATTTTGCAAAGTGAACTCTAGTCAAATTTTACAAAATAATATGCGTCTTCTATACATAGGTACACACGGTTATTACTTCATCCTTTACAAAAATTTAAAATTATAAAAATTTTACACTTCAACTATGAAACCGATTGCTCTGAAATCAAATATTTTGAGGTGATGATAGTAAATCGCTAATCAAAATTTTTGTTTATCCGTTCCAGAAACTTGATGTCGTTCCAAAATTTTGCTGGAGCCTATCTAAAATATGACTTTTCTCAGCTTTTTTGCTTTTTTTTGTTACTTTTTATGGTGGTTTTGCCTCTTTTCTTAATACATTTTCGTTATTTTTTAGTTTTTTTTAGCATTTGTCGTGGATTTTTTTTGTGCCTTTTTTTAGCCTTCTTGTTGCTGCATTATTTTGTTGTATTTTTTGTGTCACTTTTCCTACCGCTATTGTTTCTCGTTTTCTTTTAGTCACCTTTATTTTTCTTCCTTTTTATGTTACATATTTTGACGTTTTTTTGGTTGTTTGTTAATCCTGTTTTTTGTAGTTTTATTTTTGTCCTATTCGGTGGAATTTTTTAAATCGCCTTTCACATATTTTGTCGATTTTTTCGCCTTATGTTTATTATTATGTGGTCCTCTTCGGTTGTATTTTTTGCTGTCATCCTTTTTTTATTGGCTTTTTTTATCGTGTTTTTTGTTCCCTTTTTTATAGTCTTTTTTGTTGTTACATTTGTTTATCGTCTTTTTTATCTCTTTTTCATGTCTTGTCTTATTCTTGTCCCATATTTTTGTGGTTCTCCTTTAACGTATTTTTTGTGACCATTTTCGGTTGTCTTTTTAAGTGATTTTTGTCACTTTTTATCGCGGTTTTTGTCGATTTCTTTCAGTTACTTTTTTGTTACTCTTTTTTTTGTCGAATTTTTTTTAGTCACCTTTTTTGGCGCTTTTTTGACCTTTTTCTTATGGTAATTTCTGTGGGTTTCTTTTGTCACCTTTTTGTGGACGTTTTTTGGGGCCTTTTTTGTTAATATTTTTGGCACGTTTTATTGTTTTTTGCTCCTCTTTTGTCACATTTTGATCGGGTTTTTGTCCTTTTTTAAAAGACCTTTTATCGGTTACTTTTAATAACTTTTTTTTGTTGTTGTCTTTCTTCTTTTTTTATAGTTTTTTCACCTTATTAAGACTTTTTTTCCACCTTTTATTAAAAAAAATGGCCCTTTTTTTACATAATTGCTTTTTTCACTTTAATATTGCGTCTTTTAAACGTCTTTCATCTCGATTTCTTTTAATCATTTTGTTTGTTGTTGTCTCTCTTCATTTGTTATTGTTACTTTATTCACCTTTTTTAGTCATTTTTTATTCCCTTTTTCAGTTGTATTTTTTGTACAACTTTTTGTCGTCTTTTTTTGTAGTTTTTTTTTTCTCTTTTGTCGCATTCTTTTGTTGGCCTTTTTTGACACGTTTTTGTGCCACTTTTTATGTCATTTTTTGGTTTTTACAATTTTAATAACATTTGTTTTGGTAGTTTTCGAATCCCGTTTTTTTATTATTTTATATTTATTTTTGTTTCATTTCTTTGCGGTTCTCCTTGATTATATTTTTTGTGACCTTTTCCTTTTTTCATGATTTTTTTGTTGCTGTTTTTGGTCGTTTTCTTCGTGTTTTTTGGTGTTATAAATTTTATCTCCTCTTTTTTCAGTTGTAGTTTTTTAAATTCCATTTCTTTAGTCATATTTTTTGTTGCTCTTTTTTTTGTCGAATTTTTTTATTCACCTTTTTTGTCGCTTTTTTGACCTTTTTCTTATGATAATTTCTGTGGTTCTCTTTTGTCGCATTTTTGGGGACGTTTTTTGGGGCCTTTTTTGTTGATGTATTTGGCACTATCGTTTTTTGCTTCTCTTTTGTCACTTTTTGATCCGGTTTTTGCCCTTTTTTAAAAGCCCTTTTATCGGTTACTTTTAATAGCTTTTATTGGTTGTTGTCCTTCTTCTTTTTTTATTGTTCTTTCGCCTTATTAAGTCTTTTTTTTCCACCTTTTATTAAAAAAAAAATGGCCTTTTTTTGGCACATAATTACTTTGATCTAATTTTTTGTCACTTTAATATTGCGTCTTTTAAATGTCTTTTATCTCGGTTTCTTTTAATCATTTTTTTTGTTATTGTGTCTCTTCATTTGTTATTGTTACTTTTTTCGCCGTTTTAGTCAATTTTTTACTCCCTTTTTCAGTTGTATTTTTTGTATCACTTTTAGTCGTCTTTTTTTGTAGTTTTTTTTCTTTTGTCGCATTTTTTTGTAGGCCTTTTTTTTGACACGTTTTTTTTGCCACTTTTTGGTTTTTACAATTTTAATAACCTTTGTTTTGGTAGTTTTCGAATCCCGTTTTTTTAATCACTTTTTGTAGGTTTTTTTCGTCTTATTTTTGTTTCATTTCTTTACGGTTCTCCTTGATTATATTTTTTGTGACCTTTTCTGGTTGCCCTTTTTTGATGATTTTTTTTGTTGTTTTTTGCCATTTTCTTCGTGTTTTTTGGTGTTATAAATTTTATCTCCTCTTTTTTTAGTTGTATTTTTTTAAATTCCATTTCTTTAGTCATATTTCTTGTTGCTCTTTTTTTGGCGAATTCTTTTAGTCACCTTTTTTTGTCGCTTTTATGACCTTTTTCTTATGGTAATTTCTGTCGTTCTCTTTTGTCGCATTTTTGTGAACGTTTTTTGAAGCCTTTTTTATTGATGTTTTTGGCACTATCGTTTTTTGCTCCTCTTTTGTCACTTTTTGATCGGGTTTTTGCCCTTTTTTAAAAGCCCTTTTATCGGTTACTTTTAATAACTTTTGTTGGTTGTTGTCTTTCTTCTTTTTTTATAGTTTTTTCACCTTATTAAGTCTTTTTTTCCACCTTTTTATTTAAAAAAATGGGCCTTTTTTTGGCACATAATTACATTAATCTGATTTTTTGTCACTTCAATATTGCGTCTTTTAGACGTCTTTTTTCTCGGTTTATTTTAATAATTTTTTTTGTTGTTGTCTCTCATTTGTTATTGTTACTTTTTTCGTCTTTATTAGTAATTTTTTATTCCCTTTTTCAGTTGTATTTTTTGTATCACTTTTAGTCGTTTTTTTTTTTTGTAGTTTTTTTCTCTTTTGTCGCATTTTTTTGTAAGCCTTTTTTTGACTCGTTTTTTGCCACTTTTTGGTTTTTACAATTTTAATAACCTTTGTTTTGGTAGTTTTCGAATCCCGTTTTTTTAATCGCTTTTTGTGGCTTTTTTCGTCTTATTTTTGTTTCATGTATTTGCGGTTCTCTTTGATTATATTTTTTGTGACCTTTTTTGGTTGCCTTTTTTGACTTTTTTATGATTTTTTTTTTGTTTTTGGTCGTTTTCTTCGTGTTTTTTGGTGTTATGCATTTTATCTCCTCTTTTTTTAGTTGTATTTTTTTTAAATCCATTTTTTTGTCGCTTTTATCGCCTGTTTCTTACCCCAATTTTTATGATTCTCTTTAGTCGTATTTATTGTGGACGTTTTTTAGAGCCTTTTTTGTTGATGTTTGTGGCACTTTTTATCGTTTTTGCTCCTTTTTAGCCTTTTTGTTGGTGCATTTTTGTGGCCTTTTCTGTAACTTTTTTTTGCTTTAGTCTAATCTCATTTTCTCTGCTTTTTTTTTGTCATAATATTTGTGACCCATTTTTGGTAATTTTTTTGTCACTTTAAGATCGGGTTTTTGCCCTTTTTTAAGACCCCTTTTTATGTTACTTTTTTTGGTTGTTGTCTTTTTTAGTTTTTTTCCCACCTTTTGTTGACCCCTTTTTTGTGCTCCTCTTTTGTGACATTTTTTTTGTGGACGTTTTTTTGCTAGTTTTTATCGTTTTTTGTGCTTTTCTTTTGTAGTATTTTTTGTGACGCTTTTCTATAACCCCCTTTTTGGTGATTTTTTTTTGTCACTTTTTTATCGCATTTTTTAGACGCCTTTTTTTACCTGTTTTTTTCAATAATTTTTTTTGTTCTTTCCTTATTTGTCATTGTTTCTTTTTTAGTCGTTTTTTACTCCCTTTTTCAGCCGTATTTTTGTAGCATTTTTAGTCGCCTTTTTTGTAGATTTTTTCTTTTTTTGTTGGCCTCTTTTTCACAAATTTTTTGATACTTTTTATGGCATTCGTTGGTTTTTACCTTTTTAATAATTTTTGTCTTTGTAGTTTTATATTTTAATCGCTTTTTGTGGCTTTTTTCGTCTTATGTTTGTTTTTTTTTCTTAGTGGTTGTCCTTCATTGTATTTTTTGTGACCTTTTTGGTTTCATTTTGTATCATTTTTCTTGTCGTTTTTTTGAGACGGATAATAATTTCAATTAAGGTCATGGAAGTTCTAAATCAGAATGTTTCACCAAAGGCAATTTGTCCACTTCTTTGACATTTGAAAAGAAATATTACGAATCTTGTTTTCTTTGATGCATTGTTGTGTTTGTGGTCTCTCTTGTCCTTGCTAACTTCGATGTCGTCATCACAAAATTGTACTGAAGAAACGCACTCGAAACGTTTTTTCGGTCAAAAGTCAGGTTAAATAAGAACATCTTAATTAGTTTTTCAAGAATCATAAAACACGAAGTGTTCCTGAAGTTCGGTACAGATAATGAAGTTTAAAAAAGTCCAACTTTCGTAGACCTTTTTTTTATTATATGTCCGGTTTTTTTGAAAGTTCGAGCATCGAAGTCGCCTCAGCTTCTGCTCTTGCACGCACCAACAACCAACACCGGATTTTCTCAGGCGCAGAACCGCCAGCCCGACCCTGGAACGGGCCTTGAACCAAATCACATGACTCAAAAAAGACAAGTTTTCAAATGTCGTCACAGTTTTTGTTATTTTGCGGTGCGTTGACTCGCAAGATTCAGGTCGTAGACATTCAATTATTTCATATCGACCACATCGTCTGATCAGATAATGGGAATGGCCGCTTTGTTCACCAACAAAAAATGAAAATAAACGATGCTCGCTTAAATTCGCAAATTATAGGTACCGTAATCGGAAAAATTGGGTAACGAGTGATGAAGCCGTTATCTCTTTTTGCGTACGGGGTACGTACGCGGCAATGGGGGCTCTGGTATGTAATACGGGAAAAATGGCCAGGAGAAAGAGCCGGGTTATGATTTATTTCTGATTTTACGGACGATAAAACTGGGTCTGGGGTTAGGCCCGTGGTGGATGACCTCACCCATCGGCCAGCTGATGGTAATGATGTCATACCATGGTATTAAACGACACAATTACCCAAAGGGGCGTCGGCTTTACGAACGAAAACGAAAGTGTAACACTACCCTGGGGCGAAATTTTGAGATATAAAAACCTCCCGACCAAAAGCACCCATCAGATCAACCCAAACACCCAACATCATCCACACAATGGCTTTCAAAGTAAGTCAGTAGCTGTACATTCTTTAACAAACACAACTCGTAATCACTATTTACATCACTCACACTAATTATTACTACTTTTGTAATATTCACATTACTAACATGTCGTCCATCCATCCTTGTTCTCAAATCAAACATTTGCACTTATTATTTTTTCTTTTACTTCATAGTTCGTCGTCTTCGCCGCCGCCTTGGCTTGCGCCAACGCCGGTCTGCTCCCAGCCGCCGCCCCCGTGGCCTACTCCGCGGCCCCCGCCGTCGCCTACTCCGCCGCCCCCGCCGTCTCCCACGTATCCTACTCCAGCCCCGTGGTGTCTTACGGCGCCCCCGTCGCCGCCCCCGCCATCACCTCCCAGCACTCCAACATCCTCCGCAGCTTCGGCAACTTGGGCCAAGTCTCCACCTACTCCAAGACCATCGACACCCCCTTCTCCAGCGTCTCCAAATCTGACGTCCGTGTAAGCAACCCCGGACTCAGAATCGCCGCCGCTCCAGTGGCCCACGCTTACGCCGCCCCTGTGGCCCACGCCGCTTATGCCGCCCCTGTGGCAACCGCCGCCTACGCCGCCCCTGTGGCCCACGCCGCCTACGCTGCCCCTGTGGCCCACGCCGCCTACGCCGCCCCTGTCGCTAAGGCCATCGGCGTCGCCTACTCCGCCGCTCCCGCCGTCTCCCACGTCACCTACACCGGCTTGGGCGCCAGCTACGGATGGTAAACGATGACGCGTATTTATTTATTTATTCTGTACTCTCTTGTATATAATTTCTTCAATAAAAGTTTGAAAATATAAGTGTGAAGTTGAGCGCATGCGCGTTAGCGCAGTTCCCGCCAGTTTTTGAAAACTTATTACCTATTTGACGTAGAATAAACACATGGGTTATCCAAGAGTGAACATACTGCAGGTTTACGTGCCATCAATTCTTCAGGATAAGAGAGTAATAATAATAATCAACATAAGTATGAAAATAACTACATATTCAGTCATAGCGTTACAGCGCATGCGTTCAGACACGCCTTCTCCATTTCGCGCCATTTTTTGAAAAGATCCAATGATGATTGAGCAACGCCGGTCTGAAATGGTGCGAGGACAAATAACGACGCACATAAATGAAATAATTTATTTATCGATTTACAAAAAAAATATAGGCAGCCAATATTATGTACAGACACTAGTTTAGTGCTTATAATCCGAAACGAAGAGGTAATGATTTGTTACAAAATTTCGCAAATTATAGGATTTAAATATTTTTGATACATTTTCAACATCGTTATTTTAAATAATACAATAATGATTAACTGAAACGTGATCGGTCCGCTTGGGGAAAGATCACGACGTACCTGACAATTTCCAAATTTCTTTACATTTAGTAAAATTTCCTAGAGTAGTTTCACATTCATTTTTACATGCATAACTACATAAATTGCGTAAGCTATTTCAAGATTATATAGCATTTTATTAAATATCTTTTCTAAATTTTATTAATGATATAAGTCAAGGCTCTTTCTTAGTTTACGGTTTTCGTGGAAGTAGTTCATAAACAGATCAAGAGAATTCGACCTACGACGACGTTACGAAAGAAGAAATAAAACCGAACGTAAAAAAAGTGTTGAAAGTTCTATGGGTTAAAAGCAACGAAAATAAAATGCTAATATCTTAAAAAAAAACGTGTGTAAAGGCACTGTCATCATTTGAAAAAGAAAGGAACAGCATCGTGTGTGGTTGTAGACTTTTAGCACCTGTTGTGTATAAAAATTTTTCACTTATCATACATTTTATGGCAGTTATGTGGTGGAACATGATGTTTGGTATTCTTTTTCCTTTTTAAATATACTTACTTGATAAACGAATATAAATACAAATAAATTAACACTTACAATGTACAGCTTATAAATAAAAACGAAAAAATGTCATTTCATGACTATATAGGAATTATAAATTGAGCCTCAATAATCATAATAATAAAATATTACACGTTACAACTCGCAGCTAACTACATCATTATTTAAAACCTATGTTTTAATTACAATATCTTTCTTACAAACAGGTTTAGATAATATAGTACATTTACATAACATTGCTTTAAAAATGTGGAATAGAAATATTTAATTACAATAAATTGTTTACGATTCATCCTTGTATATAAAATATTTTCTTTATAGTGATGATACTAACGATACACCTAAAACTTTCGCTAGTCTGAGGGAAATAATTTTCTAGTGATTGTGAATCTCTTCGAATTCGATTCATCTCGGAAGATCACGAATAAAATCAAAACCTCGTGGAATGCACTCAATCCTACCCGCGATCCCCCCCTCTCTCGTCCGAGATCATCAAACGAAATTAATATCAAAACATTTAGCGTACACGTTTCCTTCCAACACTTACTAAGACCTAGACAGATGTCGCCACAGTCCCTCGCCCGCTCGGCCGAACCGAACCGAGTCGAGCCGAGCCGAACCCCGGCGGGGAGGTGATATGTTTACAAATTACGTTACTCGTAAATATTCTCCTATAATTTGCAAAAAGAAAACAGAACCGCCCAACTCAACAAAAACGAATTTCCCTACTCTTCGCCTACAAACAACCATTCAACAACCGCAAGTCATCCCGATATGACAAAGTCCCGGTAACAGAATTACCTAATCAGTCTCTTCTAGTGCTTAACCTTCGCGTTCGTCGCCAGCGAGTTGTGCTTAAGCCCCTCGCTCTTCACGAAGTCGATGGCGGCGTACGTTAGCGTCACCTCGGCGCCGGCCTGCGCCTCCCCCGCCGCCCCCTTGACGGTGCGCGGGCTGCGGTTTCCCTCGTCCAGGTCCAGGCTGGCGTAGTGCAGCTGCACGTCCGCCGAGCTGACGGAGGCGGGGCGCGCGCGGTCGCTGTTGACCGACTCCGGCCGCGACCCCACGACCGTCGACCCCGACGAGCACAATTCGCTCGACGTGGAGCTCGGCCGCGACAGCGAGCTGCGGCCGCTCTCCGGCCGCGCGCGCAGCACCTCGTACGGCGGGTCCGGCCCCTCCGGGGGCGGCGCGTCGTCGCGCGTCTCGTTGATCGGGCGGAACTGCGCCGAGTCCGACAGCTGCATCACCGCCATGCGCACCGACGGCGAGCTCACGCGCACCCCCGGCTTCATCACGGCGTAGTCCTCGTTCACGGGCGTCTTGGGGTTGTAGTTGACGTAGTCGGAGCGGCCCTCGAAGTCCATCGGCGTGTAGTCACTCTCAGTCTTCTTCTTGTCCGGCTTCGCCGGGCTGCACGGGCTGTTCAAGCTGAACGGGAATATCGTCGACGAGCTGGAGGGCGTGGTCACGCTCGAGCTCGAGCTGTCCTTGGAGTCGCGCCGGCGCTGTTGGCGCGGCAGGCTGGCGTAGGGCGTGGCCTCGGCGAGCGGTAAATGCATGGGCGGGGTTCCCGTCGAGTACTTGCGGCCCAGGAGGGCGTAGCGCGGACTGCTCGAGCCCGCGCTGCCCTTGGGGGCGTTGCCGCCGGGGTTCTGGATGGCGATGGGCTGCGACCGCGCCTTCTCCTTCTTGCGGGAGTTGCGGTCGCGCTTCTTCCCCATCGACATGTTGGCGTAGTCCTCGTTGACGATCTGCGCGCTGTCCAGGCTGGACTGCCGCTGGTGACCGCGCCCGAGGGACATCTCGACGTAGCCGTCGGGGGTGGCCGGCTCGGTCTTGGGGCTGCCGTAGTGCGAGTCGAGGTAGTTGCCGCCGAGGGGCGACGCCTTGGCCGGGGAAAGCTGGTAGTTCGACGGCGGCCGCTTGAACGACATCGTCAAGTAGTCGCCGTTGTTGTTATTGTTGTTGTTGTTGTGGTACGTGGAGTTCTTACGGGGGTCCATTTCCATGTAGTCGTTGGAGACGTCGCTGAAGCCGTCGGACTGGGGGGAGATGTACGACGGCTTGGCTGGGGAGGAGCCTTGCGACATGTCCACGTAGGGGGAGGTGTCGGGCTTGCGGCCCGGCTTCATCTCCACGTAGCCGTGGTTGTTCTTCGGGCCGGGGCGCATGTCCATGTAGCCCGAATTGTTCACGCTGCTGCCCGATCTGAAACAACAATAACAATAAGACGAGATCTGTCAAAGACGATTCGCGGCCGGTAATACAGATTCCTACCTCCAAATGACATTACAACACCAAAAAAGTAACTTAATATTGTCGGCGTTATCGTCGCTCATTCTTATTTATCAAAACATTTAACCAAGAAAAACAACAATGCAAACTATTTTAATTTCTTTTTGAAGTTTGAAGTGAAAAACTCGAAATTTTCGGATATTGATTCCGTTACCTAGGCAACGTCAGTGTCACCAACATATTCCAAAAAAAAACAAAAACTTTTTTTTAATAATTTTTCTTTCTTGAAAATAAAAAGCAATAAAATACCTTCACTGAAAAAAACATCAATACAAAATCTTGTTGGATAAGGCCATTATGGCGCTCGCTTTTTAATCTTCCACAGCGTAAGCAACAAATTCTTTTTGAGTTAGCTCCAGAAAGTGAGGTTATGATATTTTAGTAACAATCAAGAACAAATTTAAGAATGTTTGGAACATATTCTTTATTTACTGAATTTGTTACGTTACCTGCTGCTGAAGTCCATCTCCATGAGGTCGTCCATCGGGCCGATCGAGTTGTGCGAGCCCTGCCCCCGCGAGTTGCTCAGGATGGGTGCGCTCGAGGACTTGGCGCCCTGGTGCGCGTGGTAGCCGTGGGGCGGCAGCACCCTCCCGGGCCCCTTCTTGGACCCCACGCTGAGCGCGCGCACCCTCAGGTTGTCGCTGTTCCCGGCCAGCATCTCCGTGTACTTCTTGTACCCCTCGGGCTTGGAGCCCACCGAGTAGGCCCTCGTGGGCCTCGCGTCGTCGTCCTCCGACGTCAGATACGACGTGACCTTCTCCAGGCGAAAATCGGCGAAGCGCATGTCCGTGGACGGCGTGCCCGACGTGACGCTACTCAGACTCGCCGTGGGCGAGTTGTTGTGGTGGCGGCCCTTCGGCGACATGTCCACGTATCCGTCGTCGGAGCTGTGCATCGCCATCGAGACGTAGTTGTTGGTGTAGGGGGGGCTGTCGGGGCACTCCTCTTCGGCGATGGCCTCGTCCGGCGTGAGCGAGTGGCCGTAGCGGCCCAGGGTGGGGTCCAGCTCGGTGCAGACGTCGGTCTCGTCGGTGAGGCTGTACGAGGAGCCCGCCGAGTCGGTCGAGCAGCCGACGGAGGGCGGGCTGACGGGGCTGCCCGAAGGGGGGCTGTGGGAGATGTCGCGTCCGTACAGGGACGCGGGACGGTAGGGGTTGAGGTGGCAGCGTCCCGTCTGGTTCCACATGGGGTGCGTGCCCTCGGAGGTGGTGCGCGCACGGGAGGGCATGCTGTCGCAGCGCTCGCGGCCGCCGCTCATGCCTGCAAGAGAACGGTGGCCTGAGTGGGGTGGACGGGGGCGGCGACGCTGACGAGATTTGGAAGAGAGCTGAGTTGGCGCGGGTTAGTGAGTACACTTTCAAAATACAGTCAATCCGCACTCAGACTAAAGTAAAAAGAACAGTGACTTAAGTACGTTGGTACGATTGACAGACAGTTCTCCCCTTCGCAAACTCAACTTAGTGCCCTTTCCTACCACAGCGAGAGCGCTGAAGCCGCCCTCGACTTGAAGGTCCGCTTCAGCCCTTCCGCCCCACCACCCCGTTAGTAATCTTCAATCGTACAGAGCCATGTGTTACGTTAGTACACAGCTTCCTCTGTTAAAAGCGCGATGTCAACGAGCGAAATGAAGAGGTGGTTTTTCTGCGTGATACATACATTTGGAGGACTGATTGGAGCGCTTGGCAACGACTCGCAAAGGGTGTGAAGTGTTTTGATCAGAAATAGGTGCAGGAGGATTCGCTAAGGGCAGTGATTGAGTGCGCTGATGGCTGATTGTTCCAGACTGGGTTACACTCCCTGCTACGGATAAACAAACACCCCATGATGGTATTTCTCACCCGGTTACACCACAATTTGCATACAAGGTACATTGACGTGACAACACAGAGGCGACGAAACGGGATACGTGCGCAGGTTACGTACCTGACGGTGTATCCCGGTTCGGCGCCGAAACACGTTGGAGAAAATGTATTAAGCAGTTACAGACCTGATATCGAATGGCGACGCTCCGCTGCTTTCGACGTTCCCCTTTGGATTAAGTGCTGATAAAAACTGGCAACACCGCTCACTGTAAGCCCCATGCAACCAATTAGCACATTTAAGAGCCGTGTTAAGCGGTCGAGACACGACCATCCAACATTTTTATTAGAACGTTGTTAAAAATGTTTCGATGGTACACATTAAGAAATGCATTATGTTGTTTTAGACACATTCCACCCTCTACGCCCATGGTTAGGAGTACAGCGCACGCGCCTGATTGGTTGCCTACCTCCAGGCGCGTACGATTTTTATATGGGTCATTCATGCCCAATTCGCGAAAATGACAGTCGAAAACGAACTTTAAAAACAACTAACATTGAGAAAACCGTTCGACTGTCATTTTCAAACACGCACGCTATGCAACCCAACATACATCCGCGCATTTCGCGTTGCATAACCTCGCACAGCGAACATCAAGGTAACCATACCGATAGGGTGCTGCGAAGAGCTGCCTGCAGTAGGAACCTGTGTGTCAGTAGTAGAGTGGGATATATCTGGAAGTTAAAGGAAACAAACACTACTAACTATACTACAACACGAGGTGGGAGGAAGAGAAAGGTGTAAAAACAAACAATAATAGAAACAAAAGACTGTAAAAGCGCACCTTCGTAACTCCGGTCTAAAAATGGCCTAATTCCGTCACTGTACAATGACGTACGTAATAACAGTAACTACCGAAAAAATTAATGGGACCGTACAAACGTCATGCATTGTTAAGAAAACAAGATTACTGGAAAGGTGCGACAAGAAAGAAATAAAAATGCGTCTCGTGTGTATGTCGAAATGCGGGATTATTTTTAGCCGGCGTTACCTTGAGGTAAGATGTGACATTTCGGCGGGATGTTGTGGATTTTCCGCGTCATGTTGTTGGGTTTGGAAGATTCGGTCGCCGAGGATGAGCGATTTCGGCTCTTCGGACAGAGGTCCTCTTTGTTGCTGTTGGTTGACATTGCGCTGAAAAAGGAAGCAATTAGGAGGCGATCTCGCAACGATATAGCCCCAAATTCGGAAAACCATTAGCGTTCGTTCGAAAAACATCAAACCGATCGAACCTATTAGACGCTGAAATTGTCGAGTAACGGTTTCGTTATTAATATAATTCACCTACAACATTTTTCGCATAAATTAAAACGCGCTTGAAAAAATTCTAATCTTATCTTGCTCAAGGTTCATAAATTTTATGCAAATGTTCGTAAAAAATTTTATGAGGGCTGTCGAATCAAATAAAGATCCGTGAATATTTTGCCACAAATTAATCTGTCAAACGGGTGATTGACAGTTATTACCGTGGAGTTTTGCGTTTGCTTTATAAATATTTGATGGACGTACACAGACGACGAAAAAACAACCTAATTTTTATTTATGATGATGTAAAAATTGCTTCAGTCGGGGCACGCTCGGCTTTCTTTGTTTCAACAGAAAGGCGAATTTTTGACACGAGGCGACACCCAATGACAATTCCACGTGGACAATTTAATAAACACGTTATTATAAGGAGAAATTGATTTTTGATTGTTCACGTGGGATTTCGGAATTTTAAGGAACGGTGTTGGCGAAATTAGCACGACATAGTTTCAAAATTGTGTGGAAAAAATCAAATATGTAAAACAAAATTCTTTTGTAGTTTATATTCTTCCACTTTTAAGTAATTTACCCAACTTTAACCGTCAAAAATACGCCGTAGGTTTAAGATTACTTAAACGTCAATTAGAACATGACACTGTACAGGGTGAGTGAAAATTACAGTTAAAGATGTGTGTGGTTTTTGGAGTAGCATACACTAAACTTATTTTTAACTACTCAGAATGACATTTCTTTTTTATTGAACACCTGTACATTTTTACATAGTCTGACCTTTTCTTAGACTTTATAATCATAGTTTATTTTTGAAACTCCGATGCGACGTTGCCACGTTTTATATTATTATTTAAATTGTTTTTCAACTGAATTTTTGACCTTTTTTCGAACATCTTCCAAAATTACCGAAAGAGATTTTTTTTCTATTCGGCTTCAATTCTTCAAAAATTTCTACCATATTTGCAAAATCGTGGACATAAAATATGGTATTTTTTGAATTTTTAAAAAATTTCAATTTCCAAGTCGAATACATATTTCGAAATTCTTGTTCAGGGACTATAAACACATCAAATTTTTTTCTGACTTTCAAGGCAATTTTTGCAAAATCTCAATTTTTCAAAACCATCCCCTATTAAATTTTTGACCGTTTTTTCGAGTATTTTCCAAAATTACCCAGACATTTTTTTGTAGATTTCGATCTCAACATTTTTTTTTTTGGCTTATTTCTTCGACAATTCCAGCCACATTTCCAAAACGGTCAAACGAAATATGAAGGCAAGTTTTCCAAAATCCAAATTTTTCAAAACCTGTGAAATTTTTGACCTATTTTCGAGCATTTTCAAAAAATTTTACTTTTAAATTGGACATTTAAAAAAAATCTTGTTCCGGGCCATAAACATCAGGTTTTTTTGAATAAGTTCATCGAGATCTATTTCTCGGAATTTTTAAGGCAAATTTTCCAAAATCTCAATTTTTGACACCCAGTATAATTTTGACATTTTTTCCCAGCGCCTTTGAAATTTATCTAAGGACTTTTTTTAGTAGACTGCGATCTCCAGAAGTTATTTTCGGCTTCATTTCTTCGGAAACGTTTACCATTTTTCAAAAATTGTCAATATGAAATTTGGGTATTTTTGGATTAAAAAAAAAAATTACTTTCAAACCGAATATTTGAAAAATCTTTTTCCGGGTCCATAAACACATGTGTTTCAAAATCAGCTCGTTGAGATCTATCTCCTAGAATTTTCTTCTGAATTTTTAAGGCAACTTTTCCAAAATCTCAATTTTCATTACCTTCATCTTCTGAAATTTTTTACCTTTTTTTCGAGCACCTTCAAAAATTACTTAAAAGAATTTTTTTGTAAATTTCGATCTCCATAAATTCTTTTCGGCTTTATTTCTTCGAAAACCCCTCCTGCCACATTTCCAAAATGGTTAAATGAAATATGGCAATTTTTTGGATTTTTAAAATTTTTTATTATTAAACCGAGTTTTAATGAAAATCTTGGTCCAAGACTACAGACAGATCATGTTTTGGAATCAGCTCGTCAACATGCATCTTCCAGAATTTTTTCAGAATTTTGAAGGCAACTTTTCCAAAATGCCAATTTTTCAAGACTGAAATTTTTTACCTTTTTTTTGAACAGTTATAAAAATTATCCAAAGGCATTTTTTGTAGATTTCGATCTCCAGAAGTCATTTTCGGTTTCATTTTTTACAAAACCCGTAACATTTTTCGGAAATTTTTTGTATTTTCAAAAAATTTTACTTTAAATTTAAATATTAATAAAAAAATCTTGTTTCGGTACCATAAACATGTTTTTCTTGATTCAACTCATCGAGATCTATCTCCCAGAATTTTTAAGGCAACTTTTCCAAAATCTCAATTTTTTAAAACCAACCAGTATAATTTTGACATTTTTTTCCAGCACCTTCGAAATTTATCCAAAGACATTTTTTTAGTCAATATGGAATTTGGCTATTTTTGGATTAAAAAAAAAAAAACTTTCAAACCGAATATTTCAAAAATCTTTTTCCGGGCCCATAAACACATACTTTTCAAAAACAGCTCGTTGAGATACATCTCCTAGATTTTTTTTTTGAATTTTTAGGGCAACTTTTCCAAAATTTCAATTTTCAATACTTCATCCTCTGTGAAATTTTTTACCTTTTTTCGAGCACCTTCGAAAATTACCCAAAGACATTTTTTTGTAAATTTTGGTCTCGATAAATTCTTTTCGGATTTATTTCTTCGGAAATTCCTGCTACATTTCCAAAATCGTTGAATGAAATATGGCAATTTTTTGATTTTTAAAAAATTTTACTTTCAAACCGACTCTTCTGAAAATCTTGATCCAGGACTATAGACATATCATGTTTTGGAATCAGTTCGTCAACATGTATCTCCCAGAATTTTTTCAGAATCTTGAAGGCAATTTTTCTAAAATCCCAATTTTTCAAGACTATGAAATTTTTGACTTTTTTTCGAACAGTTATAAAAATTAACCGAAGGCATTTCTTGTAGATGTCGATCTCCAGAAGTCAATTTCGGCTTCAGTTCTTCGAAAATTCCTAAAATTTTTCCAAAATCGTCAACACAAAATATGGCAATTTTTGGAATTTTAAAAAATTTTACTTTCACATTGAATATTAAACAAAAATGTTCCGGGACCATAAACATCATGGCTTTTTTAAAGAGCTCACCGAGATCTATTTCTCAGAATTTTTAAGGCAACTTTTCCAAAATCTCAATTTTTTAAAACCAACCGGTATAATTTTGACATTTTTTTCCAACACCTTCGAAATTTATTCAAAGACATTTTTTTAGTCAATATGGAATTTGGCTATTTTTGGATAAAAAAAAAAAAAAAACTTTCAAACCGATTATTTCAAAAATCTTTTTCCGGGCCCATAAACACATATTTTTCAAAAACAGCTCGTTGAGATACATCTCCTACATTTTTTTTTTAATTTTTAGGGCAACTTTTCCAAAATTTCAATTTTCAATACTTCATCCTCTGTGAAATTTTTTACCTTTTTTCGAGCACCTTCGAAAATTACCCAAAGACATTTTTTTGTAAATTTGGGTCCCGATAAATTCTTTTCGGATTTATTTCTTCGAAAATTCCTGCTACATTTCCAAAATCGTTGAACGAAATATGGCAATTTTTTGATTTTTAAAAAATTTTACTTTCAAACCGACTCTTCTGAAAATCTTGATCCAGGACTACAGACATATCATGTTTTGGAATCAGTTCGTCAACATGTATCTCCCAGAATTTTTTCAGAATCTTGAAGGTAATTTTTCTAAAGTCCCAATTTTTCAAGACTATGAAATTTTTGACTTTTTTTCGAACAGTTATAAAAATTAACCAAAGGCATTTCTTGTAGATGTCGATCTCCAGAAGTCAATTTCGGCTTCATTTCTTCGAAAATTCCTAAAATTTTTCCAAAGTCGTCAACACACAATTTGGAAATTTTTGGAATTTTAAAAAATTTTACTTTCACATTGAATATTACAAAAACAAAAATGTTTCGGAACCATAAACAACATGTGTTTTTGAATGAGCTCATCGAGATCTATTTCTCAGAATTTTTAAGGCAAATTTTCCAAAATCTCAATTTTTCGATACCACCCAGTATGATAATTTTGACTTTTTTTCCAGCACCTTCGAAATTTATCGAAAGACATTTTTCTAGTAGATTTCCATCTCCAGAAGATATTTTCGGTGTCATTTCTTCAGAAAGAAAATCGACAATATGAAATTTGGTTATTTTTGGATTAAAAAAAAAACTTTCAAACCGATTAATTCAAAAATCTTTTTCCGGGCCCATAAAGACATGTTTTTCAAAATCAGCTCGTTGAGATCTATCTCCTAGAATTTTCTTCTGAATTTTTAAGGCAACTTTTCCAAAATCTCAAGTTTCAATAACTTCATCGTCTATGAAATTTTTTACCTTTTTTCGAGCACCTTCGAAAATTACTCAGAAGACTTTTTTTTGTAAATTTCGATCTCCATAAATTCTTTTCGGCTTTATTTCTTCGAAAACCCCTGCCACATTTCCAAAATCGTTAAATGAAATATGGCAATTTTTTGGATTTTTGAAAAATTTTATTTTTAAACCGAGTCTTAATAAAAATCTTGGTCCAGGACTACAGACACATCATGTTTTGGAATCAGCTCGTCAACGTGTATCTTCCAGAGTTTTTTTTAGAATTTTTAAGGCAACTTTTCCAAAATCCCAATTTTTCAAGACTACGAAATTTTTGACCTTTTTTTGAACAGCTATAATAATTATCCAAAGGCATCTTTTTGTATATTTCGATCTCCAGAAGTCATTTTCCGTTTCATTTCTTTCAAAACTCGTAACATTCT